TTACAATAATATCTTCCCAAGCAAACATTTATACAGTACATATACATCTTTTGTTATAGAAAATAGTCGAGGTTCGCTTGTTGTATCTGCATAATAATGATAATATAACACAACATACAATCATTTTGAACAGAGGTACACAAATATAACTCTCTACAGCTCTTGAATATACAGTACATGAATGAGAAAACAATTTGTTACTGGCGATTCGTTCCAAGTGAATTGTTCCAAGTGAATTGTTAGGCGTGAATATATGTAAGTACTTTATGTAGATTTCCAAGATATTGTTCTTTATTCCAATAACAATAACAAAAACAAAAATGGGACTGCGTGATGAAATGTATTGTAGTTGTTCAATATCGCAACATTGTCGGTAACTTACTTGTGAAGTATATATCAAATGTGAAATTCTCTTCAGGTAAAAACTGTCCGGAATACTGTTTCATCTCATTACAATAAAAGACTTAACTTAGAAATCCATTCAAGGGCGATTTCAATATATTGACTAAAGAAATAAAGTTCAACTTCTGTATTACGACATTGTAATAATATTGTAAATAGCATATTTCAAGTTTACAAACAGGTCGATATTTTGCCTTTGCCATCAGTTGTCTGTATAAATTCAATACATATTCTGAGGTAATGCTATCACATCATGGGACAGTTATTCCAATCCTAATCTTGGTCTGATAACTCAGTGGCCGATCAGGTAGGGGGAAGGGGGTGGGGTGACCTTCCCAATGCTAAATCTCTTATACTTGCTACATGTGTGCACCCTCCCTTTTTTCCTTCATAGTTTGGAAGTTTTATACTGATACTTTCCAAAACAAAAATGAAATGCTGATAGCTTAGTGTTCGTGGGATAATTGTATATTGCCTTTTTTTTTCTAAGACAAACTGCTAATTTTGTTACATTATTCTACTATTGCTCAATCATTGCTTCCATTTCTATGGTAAGCATTCCATTCAAGAATTTAATCATGTGTAACACATATTTCGTATACTCCACATATGCCATATGATTTCAAACATAACATGGCAAGATTTTGCAAATTAATCATTCATTATCATACCTCTTTCACAATTTTCATAATGAACACCCAATAGAAAAACATAATTTTGAACACATTATGGCCTTTAGAACAAGTCATACCTATACCATTGGCACTACAACACTATGCTACATCTGATTTACTGTTATGAATGTATTGTGTATTCACCAACCGGTTGGTATCTGAATATTTGGGCACTTCTGATGGTTTGTTCTTTTTTGATATTTTCTATATATATAGTTTTCTAAATGGAGATTATTTACACACTTGTGCATATATCGTTGAAAATAAAAATTTACATTGCAAAACGTACATGGATAATCCCAGTTACTTGCAGATATCAAAATGCACACACAGTTATGGCTGGTACTTGAATCGGACATTGGACGTCAATGCTAGCTTTCAATTAGCAAACAGGTTTCTCTTTCCTGCAAAGTAATGATAAATATTGTACTCTCTTTATGGAAAGGCCTAAACTTTCTATCAAATCTAACATACAAGCATAGAGGACACCATGGGGGTGTTTCACAAAGCCTTTTTTCAATGAAAATTGACAAAAATCAGCGACAAATCCGCTGATGACCAATCAGAAGCAAGGATTTCAGTAGCTTATAACAAAAACTGTCATTTGTCACTGATGACAAGCTTTGTGAAACACCCCCATGTCAACCATAGTACATCAATGATGAATATGTTACATGCAAAAGACCCCCACCCCCCCCCCTCCCCCCAAAAAATAAAAATAAAACAAAATATATAGATATATATATATAATAATAATAATGACCTACAGAGTCCAACATGTGAAATTAAAGTCCACCAATCACCAGGAAAATTAAACTGACTAAAGGAATAATATATAAAGTCAACCTAAAAATAAGTTAACTTCGTATTCTATATAGGTTGACGGTATTAGGAATACGGTATGAAGAAAAATACAGGAAAACATAATACTCTGCGTATAGGGCGCGCATGTGTGCGGTTAATAATCTACTCAACAAGATGGTTTCCTGTTTAATACTGGGAGTGTATTTAACTGCAATACCCCTTTGGAGATGGAATATTTGAGGCTCACAGTTTGAATACAGTATAGCAACAAGGAACCCCTTACATCAAGACCAAAACAATGTTTTGGTGACTGGTACACTTTAAAACAAAGAAAGCAGGGGGGGGGGGGGTAAATGAGCACTAATTATTTTGTGAACCCCCCCCCCCCCCCCCCCCCCTTTGAGCAAAAAAAAAATGAAGGTTACCATCTTTAAACAAAACTATTTATTGGGCCAGGGGAGGGGGCCTGGCCCCCTGGGCTCTCCCCCCTCCTGGACTTACAACCACACACAGACAAATACTTTGGAAGAGTTTTGATACAGTCCCCTTGTAAAAGAAATCTTTGCACACACATTTCATACATGTACCTCTCTTTCCCTCTTGTGGCAGATATTTTCTTGTTTTCACTAGCACCCAAAATCACATTACTGACATGCATGCATTTTTATCAATACTGACTGGAGTCTGTTGAAACAGTTATGTTTGAAATATAACATCTGTTTGGAGCCAAAAGGGCACTAACTCTTATACTTAAAGGTAAAGATCAGTTCTGGTCATGCGATTGCATTGTGAAAGAAACGTTGTGGAATCGATCAGAAAAGGTTGATCATTAGTGAAAAACATATTCTTGCATGATTGGTAATAGAGCTTCTATTTCATTTTTTGAGAGGGGGCGTTTCCAAAACTGGTCTTTACCTTTAAGACATACTTTAAAGGGATCCGGTAACTTTGTCTCAGATTCTGAAACAAAATTCTGGATTTAGCTCATGATGCAATGATAATTATAAACCTTTAGGTCAGTCAGGAACCCCGTGACTTTTACAAGCCGATCGCCTGTCTCATTATCAAGATATTTATGATTGGAATTACAAATTTTGAAAACCGTTCGCCTGACGGTTTTCATAACACTACAGTCTATTGGGGAAAATGAGTATGGTAAAACCGGTCACTCAAAGATTTTTACTTTTTTGAGGCACTTCTTGATCTTTTTGAAGCGCAATTTTTTTAGGGCTTCAATATTACACCATATCACAGACACTGATAACACGTAGGGCCGTGCATCTCAGATTTAACATTGTTAAACGATCCCTTTAAGACATAGAGTCAACATCCTCCTGGCTCTGAACAGACCATGCACAATTTGGCTACTTTGATATTCTGGTTCCTCGTATGTAGAAAACTTTGGAGAGCCAGAAGGGTCTAACTCCGGGGGAGTGTTTCACAAAGACTAAGATCGACTTTAAGTTGGACTCAACTATGGCAGGCTGTTCATGCCACTGGTTGCTATCGGCATTGTTCTCTCAATTATGATCTTCAGAAAATATTTTTTCCTTCAGTAATGAACTATCAGAAGATGTAGATTCTGTAGATTTGTGACCACGATTGGTACGTCCCTTGAGAAACGAATGCCAGTAAATGGCGTTGGAAAATAGTGGCATAAACGGCCTACCATAGTTAAGTCCAACTTAAAGTCGATCTTAGTCTTTGTGAAACACTCCCCTGTATGAATAAGTACACACAGAGTTAATGCCTTCTCGCTCTCAGCAGACAAAACATGCTATCAAAAGTACATTTCTGCTGTGTGAGTGATGCTGAGATGTGGCATGGACCAGTGGTTAGCTCACTGGTCTTGAAACTAAACAACCAGGGTTCGAAACCTGGTTGGTAAAAAAACAAAGATAAAACAACTGAACACAGTTTTAGACACTCCCTAAAAAAACAGCTACAAGTATACTGCACCAATAATTTATAAAATGCATTGTTCTGGGTACTCCATGGCATTCTTGAGGGCCTCACAAAAATTGGCTGAGATCTAGGGGTTCTAGTGGTGTCTGTTCAATACTGATCCATTGCGATAAGAATCTGGGTCATTTCATAAAACAATAACAATTAGCATTCAACATGGATTCTACACATATTTACTGTTAATCAAGTGCAGTGATGTTAGCACCTTATATATAATTGCTCATCGAAACTTCCTACTTCTGAAGTTCTGACAAATGAAACAGACCAAAGTACAGAAATAATATAACATTATTATTCTTCAGATGATCCTCATACTCCTGTACTCTGGCGTCAAAGAATATATTCCCTTACGATATCTGAGCATTGAGGGCAGCATGTATCAAACTCTCGGATGGGAGACAAATTTATTTTCATTTCAAACATATATTTGATGGGTTCTATCCAAGTTTCGCAGCTCAATGGGAAAACAAATTCAACATGTTACTGCAGGGCTACAAACACAATAATAAACATTTTCGCTAACAAACAGTTTTAATATTCAATCAATCTGGGAATTCCATGACGATAATGCTGTGACCTGTCAATAACACAAGACCAAATACTTCTGTTGCTATAGCAGGAGAAAAGTACATCACCTGGGGTTGGGCAGTGCAGGTGATAAAGGATTAAACTTTGACTTAATGCTCGTTCAGTTGTGATGCTGTAAACCGGATCCGGGCTAACTCAGACCCGGGGACAACTTGGCCCCGCTGCAAAAACTGTCATTTTTTTGTCATTTTACCCTAACCCTAACCCTAGCCCTAAACCTAACCCTGAACCTGCAAAAACTGACCGTTTTTGCAGCGGGCCCGAGTTGTCCCAGGGTCCGAGATAGCCCGACTCCTGTAAACCGCTGCAAAAAAACGCTACAGGTGTTCTCACTATGAACATGACTGACAAAGAAAGCGGACAAAATATACAGTTCCTCAGGTAGATAAAGGAACATCCCTTCACTGCTATTATGTAAACATGTGTAGAACAGGTGTCACATGCATATTCACCTTTTTACATAATAGCAGTGAAGGGATGTTCCTTTGTCTACCTGAGGAACTGTATATTTTGTCCGCTTTCTTTGTCTGTCATGTTCATAGTGTCTTTAGGTGTAAATGAATGGCAACTGCATGCAACAAAGGTTCTAAGGGTAATAACTGAGGTATGTGATATACGATACAGAAAAGTAAAGAGCATTGCACTTTACATCATCATTAAAGAAATATCTAAACAAGGTTTAATTGAGTTCTGTGTACCTTTTCTTAAACCTTCCGTCATCGCTCTTGTAGTTCATCACGCTGTGTTGTTCAGATCCGTTGTCCAACAAACAATGGATACATGCATTTTCCAAACGCATTTCTTTGTTTCCCTGATGCGCAAGCCATTTATTACACTCCTCGCAGCAAGCGACACCACACCACATGAAAGTGACATTTCCTATAAAGAGGTCCATCTGTATTAATGTTGATATATGAAGCCTCGGTGGAGCAAAATACAACGAAACATCGCCAGATTTTTTAAGTATTGTCTTGATCATGAACAGGTCTCTCGTACTTTGATGGCTTTCCTCAGTAGTTCATGCATGTCTATTGCTGGATAGTGCTGGAAAAAAATTATGAAAGAATGAACAAACATTAAAAATCTGTGAAATAAAATCATTGATAAACCAAATGTCATCTGGATTAAATTTTTTAGTGATGAACAATCAGCAGAAATCCATTCATATTTATTTAATATTTCTTGACTTATTAAGTCCCACTTATGTCTAACAATTTTCACTCTATTTTGTACATAATTTTCTTTCAAATCATTCATTCACCCATAATATTTGAAGTAAATTATAAAATAATTGCTTTTAATTTAATTGTAAAAATGAAAAGGTAATATTTGTGAAGAATGGTCAAATACGTTCTCGATCCATCCCATATCATTAAAAAGAAAAAGAATCTTCTTTATTTCTACCCGGTAATCACATTTACAATAAAAATGTATAGATATTTGCTCCGGTAAAAATTGCTATGGGATTTACTTTGTCAGAAGTATAGCAGGTTAGGATTACAGTTGCAATTGGGTTTTACCTGTAGGTTAGGTTATGTTTGGTTAGGTGAAGTTAGGGTTAGGGTTAGGTTGAAATTGGGTTTTAGGTTCGGTTCAGTTAGGTTAGGTTAGTTTAGGTTAGGTTAGGTTAGGTTTAGGTTAGGTTGAGTTTAGAGTTTTGGTTAGGTTAAGTGTTGGGTCCAGGGTTGAAGTTAGGAATACAGTTTGAATAATAAATTACTGCAGAGCAATTATTGGAGGAGCAAGTGTTCGACCATATCAATACTTTTAACATCCTTAACGAATCCTCATATGATAAGTTGAGTCCAACAGCTTACCTGTAACATCTTGATATTTGTAGCAAAGTCTCCTTCAAGGATGATTTTTCTCTGGGACCTAATGGTATATACAGAAATGAAACATGTTTTAACATTTCTAACAATATCATGGAGGATCACAAGATAGTGCTTGCATGAAAGTATATATTTCATTCCTTTCTTTTTTCCTTTAAATATTTTGTTTTCATACAGAGCCCTTTTTTGCAATATGAACAAGTCATTCAAAATTTACCAACATGAAAATCGTGACAATTTGTTAGATGAATGCAAAATATGCACATCTTGCATAAAAAAATTTCCAAATAGTTTGTTACTTAGTGCATTACTTGCTAGTACATAAAGATCACTACATAAATGAATAAAAGAATTTAAAAAAAAATGTCTACAGTACTTCAACCTTTCACAAAGTGTAGGCTGTTATGTATTTTCCCATTAATTGTGATACCAAGAGACTTTGAATAGGTCTCAGACTTAAAGAGAAGGTTGAGTTCTGGGAAGAGGTGAAAATAATTTGTGAGCATTACTCATTCTTATTATGCAAGTGTGGAAGAACATCAGTTAAGACATGTTCCCTAAAAAGCATGGCTCTTCAAATGCCTTCATATTCTAAATATGCATGTAACATCGTAAAAATCTGGGGGCCGGCTTTTTACGCCACGTGTTCCTGTAGTCCCATATACATCTTTCTGTGCAAGTGTTTGTAACTTTACCAAGACTTGGCCACATTTCTTATCATTTTGATGATTCCAGAACCTTGCAATACACACAAATTCTTATATGCTAGATGATCAACCTTTTCTGGTCGGTTCCACACCGTTTCTTTCACAATGCAATCGCATGACCAGAACTCAACTTCATCTTTAAAAGCGATTTTAAAGTCAATCACACTCCTTTAAAAGATTGGGCGTATATCAAATATGAATAATTATATATTTGTGCTAAGGACTTTACTTACAGAATCATAGCACAGCACACACAAAGAAGAAACTCTGGCTTGTCTTCATCACATAGTAGAGAGTCCCATAATCTTGTCACATCTGAAATGCAAAAAAAATCAAACACAGATTTCTCAAATGAAAACTATATAAATGCATAAAAACAAAGATATGAATCAGGAAAAGATATAACAAAAGTGAAGAGTGGGAATATGATATAATGTTCACAACTACAATGTATATTATTCATATCCAATGTAAATTCAATGTTTTGGGGGTGATTTCTGTAACTCAAGAATGAAAGGTGGACTAATTGAATTACTGCCTTTGTTGGATAACTTTAGATGTAAGCCTTAATATGTTACATTATCAAGAACTTAATTTTTCACATATTAAAACAATGACAAAACTTGGTAAGGGTATGAATAATTTAGTTGTGAACTGTACATGTGGTCTACATGCAATGTTAAATTATAAAGATTTGTGACCTGCACTACCTCTGATAAATCTCACAAGAGACTGAGATGGTATGGAGATGTGGCTAGGAGAGAGGAAAGCCATTGGATACAGAAAGCAATGCATTTCCTGGTGACTAGCTAAAAACCCTGAGGCAGACCTTGTGATTTTCCTTTTAAAGGCCGCCTGTATTAGTTCAGCCAGAAGGGATTAGACCACACTGCGAGGTCACTGTGACAGGTGGCTATCTCATTAACTCATCTCTCAATAAACATAATAAAATGAGGACCATGGGGGACCAACAGGCACCGATTTGGGAAGTTTTCTGTAAGAGGGAGCAAGTGGCTACAAGTAGTACAGTGTGGCTTTAAGGCATTTTACCACACCATATGTAAATGAGGCCTTCACCCCCCCCCTCCCCCCCCCCTCCTTTAGCAAACTTTATGAAACAGTACCAAAGAATCTCACCTGGAAGAGGAAACTCCTGGGTGAGCCACAAGGTCAGCCATCGGAAGGCGAAGAACTGAGGCTTCAGTTCCTGCTTCTCGAACTGCAACCAGATCTTGGAGTCGCAACGCTTGACCATCAGCATCAGCTGGTCCATCTTGGCGTTGATCCCCGATGGTGAGTCGTCCAGCGTCTTGATGAAGGTGTCGCGCATCTTGGACATGAGGTTGGTGAAGCAGAAGAAGGTATCCGCTTCGGCGTGTTCTGCAGGAGAGGTGTGATGGATGGTGGAGAGGAATGAAGAAATATACATTATGTTTGTTTTACAATGACAATAATGCCTGGGGGTGTTTCACATAGATTCTAAGTCGAACTTAACTCTAAGTTGAACTTAAATATTATGGAGAGCCATTTGTAGCCTTAAAATATAATATATTCAAGAGCGAAAATTCAAGTATTTTAGACTTTTTGTAAATTCCTCTTCAAGAACATGAAATCTCCTTGATAATAGAAAATGTGGATGATTTGAATCAACATCTTATGCCTTTTAAGATAAATTTTACCAAATATTTTCATTGATGCTAACAACTTTCCATAATTGTTAAGTCCAACTTAGAGATAAGTTCAAACTTAGATGCTTTGTGAAACACCACCCCCCCCCCCCCCCCCCCCGGTATGAACATGTAATTAATGATCAGTGAATATCTGAAAAGATAATTACCATGTACCTGAGCCATGATTCGACCTAAATGTAACACCCAGGATTTTACAAAATTAAGTTAAAGAGCGGGAATAACCACAAAGATGTGGAAGTAACAAAAATACCATAAACAGTATACCCTAATCTGTCTTTGATCCTTATATGGGACTGAATGAATGATGGACAAAACCATAATGATGTGTTGCTTTAGAATCTGATTAATGGTATAATAATCCATTGAATCATCCTCCATTATGATTTTGGTGGCCTTCAGTTTTGGAAGATATCAGAGTTAGAGTGTTCTTAAAGGTATAGACCAGTTTTGGAAACGCCCCCCTCTCAAAAAATGAAATGGAAGCTCTTATTACCAATCATGTAAAAGAATATGTTTTGACTAATACGTGATGAAAAAAATTTTGCCGGGAAACCGCCTACTAATTGATATACCTAGTATTTGGTAAATTATCATATCTTTCCGGTCTTGATAGATATTACGCATAGTCCCATATACATCTTTCTGTGTACAGTGCTTGTAACTTTACCAAGACTGGGCCAAATTTCTTATTATTTTGATGATTCCAGAACTTTGCAGTACACACCAATAATAATATGCTAGATAATCAACATTTTCTGATCAATTCCACAACGTTTCTTTCGCAAAGCAATCGCATGACCAGAACTGGTCTATACCTTTAAATAAATCATTTCACAATGCACATCCATCAAGACATAGTGAGAAAGAGGGATAATCTAAAAAGGAAGATAACAAGAGAAAGAGGAGAAGAAGGATTGAGTGTTAGAGCAAGTGTGAAACAGATTAACTGAAAGAAAAAGAGGTAAAGAGAGAGAATCTTGGTATACCTCGCAAACTCAAGTCCTTATCAGCTGCAAATGCATAGTAGAGAGGGCCGATGATCTCGTTCATGCCCTGGACATAGCCTTGGCCTGGGTTGAGCTTGGCATAGATGAAGAGAATTCTTTCTAAGACCTCCCAATGAGCCTCTTGACCGTCATCTAACGTGTCGTGACCAAACTCCATCTTCATAGGCTTCTGAGAGGTTTTCATCTGAAGAAGAAAAAATTCTTTATACTATAAAACCTGCTTTAGTGACCACCTGTCTACAAAGACCACATTTTTTTGTTTCCCTTGAAAATGGTTTCTCATTAAAACATGTACTAAAGGAACCTGTCTAATAAGACCAATTTTTGTGTTTCCCTTGGGCGGTCACTATAAATAGGTTTGACTGTACTTTATATCAGATGTATTCAAGACTTATGTGCAACATTATTTTCAATAGTATTATGAGTAGAGGTGTTGTTGTCCAGTGGACAGGTCTTAGGATTGTGAACCACAAGGTACAGGGTTCCTTACATACAAGCATATACTTATGACATAAAAGCATATACTTATGGCTTTCCTTGCTGTCATGTAAAATAAATAGCCGATCATTAACCCTTTGAGAGCAAGCCCGCGCACGGCGATTGTTTCCCCTGTGACGGAGCGATTTCGGTAACATCGCCAGTAATGGAAAATTTGGCAGCTCTTTCTACTTTCAATGCCCATTGCGCCTCATTCAGTCATTTTAGTGATTTTTAGTAAATGTAAAAATGAAAGATCAGACTTTTTTCTTTCTAAAAATATAAGTTTTGTTCATCAATACAAAAAATAAGGTCTGTTATTTTTGAGGAAAATTGCCGTCTTATTTTGCTGAAGCTTCACGTCTTGATCAAGTTAATGAAATGAAAAGGCCTTGTTAATTATAGGGGAGAAGAATTACCAAGTCCTTTTATCAACGCATACTTTTATACTTGCACAATTATAAGGTATTTGTAGCCAAGTGAAACGCGGCGTGTCTCAAATTTTATTTAAAAGGAATAGTCCTATAGGCCTTTATGAATAGGCCTACTATAGGCCTAATAATATTATTATATGAATAACTACAATACATCTATGGATCATATTGCCCAGCGAAAATCATCCAATTACCGATGAAAAATCACCATGTAATCATCTTCATCAACAAAACCAATAATCCAAAGCCTTGAATCAAGGCAAGAATATCGAACGGACGCGACAGGTACAGGTCCGTCTCCAGCTGTACGGTTATTTTGAGGGCCTTTTTTTTATCCGAACACTATCTTAGGGTAAAGTTGAAATGATATCACCTTTTCTCAATTTTTTTCAACGTAACTTTATTATTTTTTTAATAGATGAGATGAATGAATATATCTAAATGATACTTCAAAGAACTTTAGCACATAATAGCTAACAATAAGCTGGAAAACTTTGTCAAAATATTAGGGATACATCTCGGCTTCTGTAGAAGCCCGTCGTCACAGACTTAACAACTCGCTCGGCTTCTGTAGAAGCCCGTCGTCTCTAAAGTATTAATGCACCGGTAAGTGTCAGATCAATATGGTAAAGCCATGACTTACATTTGTAATGCCAGCTCTAGACTTCGCCACAGCAACTGAGTGGAACATGGTGTGCTCTATTCGCTTCCTCAGCGTTTCTAGCGAGGTAGACGCATCGACAAGCTCCTTGCATGGGTAGTCTGTGGCTATCTGGAAAAACCCAATGTCGGGCTGCAATCTCCTACAATAATAACAAGAAAATTGCTGGAGTGAGAGTAGTCGATTTTTATGCAAGAAATAAGATCAAGGTTATCTAGGGGGAAAAACACTTTTGTCTGAAATCTTCCATGATAACGTCATGAAGATTGGGGAAAAACATTGTAATTACATTTCGACTGAGAGCAGTATGATTATAAAGGTTTTCCAAATATATTAAAAGTAATGCAATAGAATAGAAATAGAAATAGAAAAATAAATCATTTTCTTTCAGTCATTCACGATTGCAATCTGCACAATTTTGATAGGATGTAGTTGCAATGATCTGATTTCCCTTGCAAATAATATAGAAGAAGAACGTTTGAAATAAGTACTTTCACTCTTTCAGTGAAAAAAATGTCCTGCCAATAATTTTTGTTATCAAATATTGTGATTTTCATTAATTTTCAAGGGTCCTCTAAAAAGACAAGTGTGAGTTTTCTGGAAGTATTTAATCGCACTTAAGAAGACTCAAATGCCATGAAAGCGTTAGTACATGCAGAGAAATTTTTAAATCTGAAAAAATTTTATCCTTCAAATATTTTGACCGTAACCATTTAAAAATCATTTTACATGTTTTTGTAGGTCATTAACAAGCACAACTGCTAGCTTAACACACACTCCATTTCTGTTTCAAATCTTACAAAACATAAGTGCCTGAAACTGAGGCAGTCGAAAAAATGGCCTACTACTTACCTTGTATCTTTGTCAATTTGAAGAAGAACGTCATTGTCTTTGAAGTACTGCGACCACTGGCTGTCTGGTTTGGGGTTCAAAGGCTAAAAAGAAAAGATCATGTTGCAATCAAATAGTTATTTCACATTTTTTGTATGTAAACTTACTCTAAAGCCCTTCTCAACCTTGTCATGTAAAACCACATTGAAAAACTGCCTTAGGTACCGTGGCAGCAAAGCTTTGACAGAACTCTTGAAAAGAAAAAACAGCTTTGGTAGAAAACAGAAGAAGAATAAAGAAATTTTACTTTTATATTCTTAAAATTGCTATCAGGAAGTCTCACATCTGCAAGGGGAAATAAAACATGAATTGAGGCTGTATAAAATGAATATAAAGTCTTACATGATCTTCCATTGTAACGTCGGTCCTCTTAGTACTGTATTCCTTAGACCCGGGCTGTATAATCATCTCTTCAAGAAAATCCTTGTATAATTGTCTGAAGTTTAAAAAATAAAATAAAAACACCAACAATATAGCAAAAATGAATTATTTGCTCAAAGAAAAGAGCGTGAATTAAAACCTGAATTATTATTATCAATTAGAGTTTCAGACTATGATAGAAATGTCAATGCTTATTGAACAAGATTTTTATATTATAAATAAAATTGGCTGATATTTTCAATGAGGATATTGCAGAACAAAGGTTTTAGATGCAAAGCTGCAAATTCTATGATATCTGATAAACAAGAACAAAAGAAAATCCTATAATGAAACAAAATATATACATGTATATCATTCCTGTATGAAACAGGAGATATTTTAAAAAGATCCCCTCACCTTTAGGGGCATCGGTAGGGGTAAAGCTTGGAATTTCTTTATTTTTTAAATTTAAATTCTCAGAGTCAAATCAAAATACTTAAATGAATCATATGAGGCTCTAGATATAATTATTTCAATGAGCCAAAAAACAAAAACCCATATTTAAAAAATACATACATCTATGTCAATTATAAAATGTAAATCAACTTTAGACACACCTCTGTTTTGCTAATGCATCTTGCCATGCTGATCTAACTTTGGGAAGGTAATTTAACAAGATCTGTAAAATAAACATGAAAACAAATATCAAGCAAAAAAATTGGTGTTAAATTTGAAGTGGAGACTGGAGAAAATTGACATATAAATGCCTTAATCAATCATTGAAACCAAATAATCAGTACTCAAAATGGTGTTATTACATGCCCAACACGAAATATTAATACATACCCAGTACCCTGATCAACTGAATGTCTGATAAGACTGATATGCACTGTTTTCAGCTTGAATGGACAGATTGATAGTTTGCTTTAATGGGGAGGTCCACCCTGATATAGTTTGAATAGAGGCAGAAAATGTGAGAAGCAGGTCATGTCTGATATGTCACAGAGTTGCCAATTTTTGTTTGATTTATCGCAACTTTAAAAAATCAGAACTTTCTTAATTTTGATCAGATTTTGCTCAAACTTTAACTGATCTGTTTCTCTTATTTTTTCTGCTTCTATTAATACCAACTTAATATCAAGGTGGACTTCCCCTATAAATTCTAAAAATGGCTAATTTAGTTTTAAAAAAGGTTTGCTGACATTTTAACATTTCTTTCTTGCTCGAATCAGGATACAGATGTTATTATAGGACCAAACAGATGCTGAGCCAAATCTGAACCGAAAGGTTAACTTAAATAATAAGTGTGAATTGTTTGACACCAAGATCAATTTGAAAGACTGGGATTCTTTCTTGTCTTGTATAATTGAAATTTTGAATAGTGTACAATTACATTGCATTAGGGGATAATTGAAGGATTAAAAACTCTGACATACTTTCCAACAAACTGATCTCATTCCTGCAGAGTCCGGAACACCTAAAGATAAAATTACACAGAAAAAAATATTATCTGTACATGTAACTCGTCAAATGACTAACTAATTCTTTTAGCTGTTAACACAGGAATGTATATTCCATCATTTCATTAATAGTCGAGATGTTTTTGTTAATCCAATCTTGAATTTCAAAGCGTGTATAGTCATAGCCATACTCATAGAAAATTAATAGAGGAAGCTGTTGCTTTTTTCTTTTTCTTTTTTTTTTGGGGGGGGGGGGAGGGGGGTAGCATTATGGTTATTTGTCCTTGACTAAAATATTGAAAATATATTACAGACTACGACGATGTTTTAGTCCAAATATTAGTCAGGTCACTGATTTGTTGCAACTCCGCGAAAGTGCATATTTCATGTTTTATGTTATGACATGTGACTGGGTTGGGGTCAGGGCCATTATTAATATTATGAAAGATTGTCATGAAAACGCAACCACTCACTCTCAGTCCTGCTTATTTTGTCCTCTTTCTCTTAGTTTTCTACTTTTATTTTAAAATCAACTCGTCTTAGGAGCCCAATTTAAATTAACCCTTAATACTAGGCCAATAGTATTATTCGCATTGTATAATAATAGTCTTTCTATGCATGATTGCAAGAAACTATTACATGACCTATAAAATCAAGCACTTTTCGGCACTCCAGCAAAGCATAGAGTCAATCTTAATGCATATTGACCTCTAGCACTGCACTACGTGTTAATAGGCAGCATTTAAATACATGAATAGTCAATACACTCACAACACACAAATGCACACAATCATGCCGATGCGGCTGATCGGCAAGTTTGACAGTAGACTCACAATTTGAATTTTAAAATTATTCTTTCTAACATCAGAAAGTTGAAAAAATTGTATAGAAAAAACTGCTAGAGTCTATTTAGGGGTCATCAATTGTCACTAAAGACTAAAGTACAGATTTTGAGTGAAATCAGTTTAGTTTTGTACAGTGGTGTTTGAAATGTTGAGAATCAATAGCACAGCTTTTAATACACAGCCAGGATAGTAATGCAGCTATGTGTGTCATCATGACATGGTCATTCCTCTGGCGCTAGTGTAGTTCCGTATCCATTTTTTTAGCAGCTTAATATCCATTACTCCATTAGATATTAGCAAACGAGTTTTAGCCCAATTTTTTACTCATTTTAATCATAATCATATATCGCAATTTCCACCTGAATTTGGATCAAACCTGAAATCGGGAAGCCTCCGTTTAGGGCTTCGATGTCGACGTCGTCGCTCAGTACTGTCTCTACGCTATAGCTCCGTAACTCGAACTGAATCGGTCCAAAAATATGCAGACTTCTCGTATGGTTAATGATTATGGTATTATGCGCATGCACATTGCACGATACCATAAACCATACAATAATTTTGCATAATTTTGGACTGATAGCTTCAGTTTGAGGTGCAGGACTACAGCGTAGAGACGGTACTGAGCAACGACGTCGACATCGAAGCCCTAAATGGAGGCTTCCCGATGTTGGATGTGATCCAAATTCAGGTGGAAAATGCAATAGGCCTAGATTTATGATTTAAATGAGTAAACAATTGGGCTAAAATTCTCTTATTTAGAATGGATATTAAACTGCTAAAAAAAAAAGGATACGCAACTACACTAGCGTCATTCCTCTTTCTTAGTTTTTTACTGTAAAATGTAAGGAGCCCAATTTAAATCAGCCCTTAATTCTAGGCTAATACATCATTCACACTGCATAATATTCTCTCTATGTATGATTACATGACCGATAAAGTCAAGCCCTTTTCGGATCCTACGTCTTCCGTCGACGTCTACATTTCAAAACCCTATATCATTATACAAGCTCTTCTAACGTAAATTCCCATATGTGGGACTACAACATACTTGCTTACCATTGAAACACATTTTGGACAGCTCCAGGATATCTATTTTGGGACCTTTCAAGACATCTTCAAAGGACGAAACCCTGAAATATAAACAGAAATATATGATGATAATGTATAAAATAACATACTAACAGATTAAATGGGACTACTATCATGTATTATTTACAAACAAACAAAGAGGGAAACTCCCACCTTTCTGAATAGGAGGCTGCCATCTTGAAATCATGACAACTGTTAGAAAAATCATGTAAAGATCAAATATAAAATATTTTGAAAATTTATTTAACTAAAAAATATTACTTAATTTGTTTTAAGTATTTATAAGATTCGCACATGACACTTTAATTATGTTCTGATTTTTTAAACATTTTTATAAGTTTAGTTTCGATTTTATGAAATACTTATCTAATTAAAACGGAAGTAAATCATTTGGTATATTTTTTTATTAAACAATTATGTATTTCCCTTAACTTTCGTTGCATGCATACCTTGAGCTAACTTCAAATTAAGCTAATTTGATAATTGACCACCTCTTGGCGAGTAATGTTTCCACCGATTATGGGGCCGGGCCGGGGGGGGGGGGGGGGGTGACGGGGGAGGGGGACCCCGGGGGGGGGGGGGGGGGGGGGGGGGGGGGGTGATCACCGTGGCTCAGGCACTAGTGCTACCCAGCCCGCCAACTGTGTCCATAGTACAAGTCCACTCCAAAAATAACTTACTTTCAATGGAAGCAGAAAAATTAGACAAACCAATCAAAAAAAGTTTGAGCAAAATCGGATATTAACTAAAAAAAGAAAGTTATGAATTTTTGAAAAAAGAAACTATGGAACAATGGAAATCACTACACAAACTGCCAATATCCCTAAAAACTTGATTTCTTCATGCCTTTGCCCAGGTTATATGATTTGTATCATATTGTGTGCAGGACATATTTCACAAAAATTTTGTTGAACTGTTTGAAGAATTGATACTTTTTTCTGAATATTGTACATTCATAATGGGTATATACGTGGGCGTGCTCAACTATAGCCTATGTAATATTCGTATTGAATTATAAAAAAATGTATACTATTATTGCATTCTAGAGCACTAATTATGAAGAATTAGAAGCTATATGGCAAAATAGGTAATTTTACAAAAGCGAGTCAAACTATATTCATTCTCATTATCATAGGCCTATTGGGCCCAGGTTGGGCCCATGTAATGCCCTCTGCAATAAGACTGCTTAACGCGAATCTATAAATCGTTTCATTATTTTATTAATTCATAAGTGTTCCTTTAAAAAAAAAAACTTCAATTGTATGCCCTTGCTAAATATTAATGTTGTGCTTTTTATTTCTAATATAATGTGCAATATCTTATACGAAATTATGTAATATTGTTATTCAAATATCATTTTTTTTCTTGTTTCAGATGAATGATGTCATTACAATTAACAATGGCAATTGTTGAATACACTCTTTACTATATTTTTTAGACAAATAACTTTCTTATTCCCATTTGGTTTTAAACAAACCGGTATAATAATTTGCAATATACACTTTTATCCAATTTACTCTCAGACTGCCTAAAACTTTAAACATATTTTAATCCGTTGTTTCATTAGGTCATTAGTGTTCCCTTCCTTTATATATTTTTTTTAATACAAATTCATGCCCTTGCCAATTATTTGACTTGGGTCTCTTTTTCCAAAGTAATGTGCAATATCTAATTCGAAATTACACTATATTGTTATGTAAATACTCATTTAAATTTTATTTGAACAACTTTCTCGATTAAGATGAATGCTGTCATTACATTTATATTAAAGGGGAAAACGGAATAGAGACTGTCATTTTGACTTTTACGGTTTAATTTCATCCCATTCAATAGGTTTTTTTTTTAATGCTTAATTTCATTTTTTGTAATAGAAATGTTTGTTTAGCCATTGTTAAATACTTTCTCAACTATTTCACTCAAACAACTTCCCTTTTTCTTCTACATTCTCTCCTTCCCACCGTCTTGGTTCTTCAACATGAAAGTATATTATTACATTACTGTATAACTTTGTTTTGCAATTTCGATTTCATCTTACAATGATTTACAATATGTATTTTAGTTTTGTATATGTTTATATCTCTCTATATTTTTAACTTGTTTGTAAATTGAACATTTTCAGCCTGCGAGCTGCTTGTTTGATGTGATTTTTCAATAAACCAAACCAATCCAATCCAATCCAATGTACGTAGTATATTCATGAATGTTTTCTTTATAAATATAAAGTGATTTTTGTTGTTGATATTGATCAATTTGTATGCAGATCTATTTTTCATAGAATATGCATTTTATTGAAGTCAAATATATCAATGAAAATATAAACAAGCATGCTGGAATGTTCTTTCATGTTCATGTAGACTCTGACACCGAAACCCGTGACAACTATTGGGCTTATTTTAGTCGACTAGGTTCAGTGCAGTGCAGCTAGCTGTGCATGTGGGAAGTCCCAAATATTTACATGGCGTCGTTCTCAACTTTGACATAGGCACAGTACAGCTGACGATGTGTTTCGCAAGGCGAGGCCAAGGAAATGGGTCAACGTTTGACTAATTGTAATTTTGCATGACATTACATGTCTCTGCTCCGATATCCGGTAGGCCCCTCATGTTATAGAATTGATGTCTTTTGGGTAGAATTTATGAAATCTCGCAATCTCGTTTTGTTGTGAATGTGACTGAGTGAGTCTGACTCTGACTAGAGTCTAGTGCATTAGTGCAGCATGTAGTGACGTGACGTGACTGAGTACTGAGTCTGACTGAAAGAAAGTGAAACAGTGCATGAGTGAGACTGAGACTGAGAGTTAATTGCATATCATGCAGTGAGAATTTACAGTGAGAGTGCATGTGCAGTGAGAATTGTCTGAATTCCACTGTCTCTGTCTCTATATTAATCTTTAATTTATAATAGCCTAGGTCGTGGAGTAATAGAATGATGATTCATGATCATTCACTGAATTTAGAGCTGAGACTGGGTTAGAGATTGTGATTGAGTAGATCTAGATCTACATTAAAACTCTGTGATTTAGATTATTTAGGTGAGATTAGTTCCATTGGCATTGGGCATTGTTTATTGTTGCAATGAAATATTAGTAAGATATCTCTCAGTCAATTTGTAATGTTGAGACAACTTGTTGAGTTGGAGTAGAATCTAGACTAGAGTCTAGTTAAACATCATAGTTTTCATACGGTACGTGTTAAAAACAAAAACAATACATTTGATATGATAGGAAACTAGATTTCCTTTTGCGACGGCCACCTAATCACTACCTATGTCATCTAACCCTAACACTTACCCTAAACCTTACCCTAAGTTAACCCTATTTTATAATGTTTTATATATCATATTATTATCAGATACATCATTCTAAGCTGTACCCATATTTTTTTTTCAAGTTGAGTGGCTGTCGCAAAAGGAAGTCTTCCCATTTGGGAGAGTGTCCTGAGATATAGCAAACATTTAAACAATAATTTGGAATGTGATATTCGATCCATAATTTCTCATATTCTACACAAATTTATATTAGATCAATTGATACCAAATGAATGTCCAAATTTTAACATACAAATAATATAATAAGTGATACTAGAAAATTTATTGTCAAAATTCTAAAACTTCGATCTAGAACCAGATTGCACTACAACTGAAGAAAAAAATATAAAAACATCAAGTACTTAAATTTGCGCATGAGATTTTACAAGTAATTTATCAAAAAAAAGTGATCCATCAAAAGTAATTTATTTGCATAAATTGCAAGTCAAAATGTCGTACAATAAGTTGGTATCACTTTTTACTTACGGTTTTAGGTTTTGTCCAACTTATTTTGGTTGCAAGTTACTTGTAGGGTCACCTTTAAAAAAGCTTTCTTGTCAAGCAAACTGACCATGAATGTCCAAATGGTTGAGGAAACAATGCACGTTTTATTCTGGAACAAAGTGTTAATTAATCTCACTGTTATTTTGCCCGTTTCTCTTTTTACAGTGAATCAATCCATAGATCATTGCCCACCCACGAGGGGACATTAAGGAAGGTCAGTGACCCCTGTGGACATCAGCCATGGCTCTAGAGGTAGGAGCAGGGGATCCCAGTCCTCCAACTCTGCAGGAGTTATTGATAGAGTACACCCTGAATAATCTTAGAACGGTATGTGTGGTAGACACGAACGGAAAGGTGGTTTCCCTACGCGAGGATGCGTACCTCCCCAGCATCATCAGTGATAGGATTATCAACACGCTTGCAAGGAGAGGTGGCCTGGATGACAGCAAACTCCAAGCACTTTGCGACAAGAGTAGAGTCCAGTTGAAAAAGATCAATCTTAGTAGGACAACCCTTTCGGATGAAAGCCTTGAGAAGCTGTCCAACCACAAACTCGTTGAGCTAGACATTTCAGAATGCGAGAACCTAAGTAAAGACTGCTTGCCGTCCTTGCTGAAGTTCACGTCCCTACAGCTACTGAATCTCCATAAGTGCAGAGAAGCCCTGGAGAAATACGGACTTCCCCTATTTGACTTTCCTTTGAAGAATCTGAGGAGTCTGAACATAGGATACACAGACTTGAGTGGGGTACAACTTCATTGTCTTGTCCAAGAGCTTCGGAACCTGACGGTGCTGGATGTCTCAAGAGTGGTGAAGAATGGAGATCTATCTTTCCTAGAGCCTGTGAGGCATCAGCTTAGGTCCCTAGTTCTTCATGATTGCGTTCTGGTGGAAAGCAGTCTGGAGTATGTGTCTCACATCCCACAACTAAGGTAACATTCCTGTAGCATACTTGGTATGCATCAATCGTGCTGTGATTAGGAAACTCAATTGCCAACCAAAGTTAGGTATGAAATAAGAAAAGGGCTGATTACTGTGAGTTCATGTCTTAATTCTGAATAATAATTCCTCCAATTTTTCTTCTAATACACACAGCGTACCACAAGGTTCTATCCTAGTTCCTCTACTATTTTTCATTTACATTAATGATCTTACACATACTTCTAAACAGGACATTGTTACTATTATTTGTGACAAGTTCACTAGCACAAATCAGCGCCTTCAACTGCACCTCGCAGTTAAATGAAAGTCCTTCCCCGCGTGAGTTTGCTTTGTTTTTTGTTTTGTTTTTCCCCAAGAAATATGCAGGTGCGTCATATACACAGAGATTTACGGTATACCTTTATGTTTTTCCAGCAAATGATTTGGAAGGGTATCATTAGATATTTTATCTTTATAGGGATTAGGGAATCACCACAGGTGGAATTTAATTTTTCATAGACTATAAGGTCATTGTGTGGGAGGGTTATGTTGTTTTACAATTTTTACCTTGATTGTAATCAAAAATATTTGTTGCCAATGATATGTCGCTCGTCTCAATTCCAGGCATTTAGATATTTCTGTCAACAACGAGGGTTACAAACTACCCCTGACGACAGCCATGTTGAAGTTCCTTGTGAAAAGCCTCCCCTCACTCCTGTCTCTAGACCTGTCTGGAAACGACATCAGGAATCACCAAAGAGTCGACAACCAGGAGTGAGTAAAACCCACACATAGCTGCATTACTATCCTGGCTGTGTATTAAAAGCTATGCTATTGATTCTCAACATTTCAAACACCACTGTACAAACTGATTTCACTCAAAGTCAGTACTTTAGTGACAATTGATGACACCCAAATAGCAGTAAAATACAATTTTTTCAACTTACCGATGTTAGAAAGAATAATTTAAAAATTCAAATTGTAAGTCTACTGTCAAACTTGCTGATCAGCCACATCGGCATGATTGTGTGCATTTGTGTGTTATGAGTGTATTGACTATTCATGTATTCAAATGCTGCTTATTAACACGCAGTGGAGTGCTAGAGGTCAATACGCATTAGCATTGAATCTATGCTTTGCTGGAGTGGTAAAACCCTATTCAGATATCTCCTGTTTGGAGCCACAAGGTCGTTAATGAATATACTTCTCAGAGGCAATGCCCTTGTGGCCTTGCACAGACGATGTGATGAATGAAACCGCTTAAAAAAACTGCAATGACATCAAAATCCGTAACACTTTAAGTGAAGGTTAAGTTTTGTTGAAGGTTAAAACTGAAATTTGTGAGCTTTGGAATAAACTTTTTATGTGAGTGTAGAAGAGTTTCATGGAAGAAAGGACCCCACGAATAGAAGAGGATTGCCCTTCGAATGTCCTCCTATCTAAAATGTGACTAATAAATAGCTAAAAATGTGTGTAGTCAAGTTTAGCACGACTAGAGTTTACTTGAGCTACACGCTACCTGCAATATCGGACGGTCCATTTAGCCTAATGGGAGTATCATAATTCAGTAGTTATTAGGAATTTGGAAAAATCAAGAGAAACTGACTATTCTGATCTTGATAAAAGTCAGACAAATTTTTCAGAAGATGTATGATTTTTCTTGCACTTTGCAAAGTGATATCACAACAAGGTTTTAAAGATAGATAGATAGATAAATGGTATTTTATTGTATCTTTCATGAATGGCAGTTTCACAACTGAATTGCACATGAGTTACACGAATTGGATATATACATTGTAAAAAACTTACATAACATTTAGTTAAAAATTATTAAAACGTGACACGTTACTACTGCCTAAATACCATAAACGATTAAAAAACACTTAATGAACATAATTTCTACCAAAGAAAAAAGAAAAAAGGTATAAACATAATTACATGCCAACATAATATGGACTAAGGCAAATCATACAACAGTTCGTCATGTTACAATATTGCAGTAGTGGGTATGGTGGTAAAGTAATCAATGATAGCGGCAAAAGCAGGTGTATGAACATTTAGTAATATTTGAAATAATTATTCAAATTTAAAAGTAAAAAGCAATTCAATATCATTAAAACATACCGGTACGATATAAAAAATTATTACAAGAATGTACAGGAATCGAGTCATTTCAATGATAAATCATTACAATAAATATAAACATGAGCAAATTAACTGTTATTATACAGGCGAATCAAATTTGGAATAGGACTATTTTGCATGCGACTGGTTTTACATTTAAAATCCGGAATTTTCTTTGAATTTCTAAGTGTTCTAGTACAATGTTTTTGTGGGAGAAATTGTTTAAATTGATCAGTGAGTGATAATGTTTTTTGAAAGAAAGTAGTACATAAATATTGGCGTCTTTCATCTAATCTTTGTAATTGAGATTGTGCGAGTGAAAACTGCTATTTAAACCTTCCCTTGTTGAATCATCAGACACAGCCAACTCATTTGTACAACAAGGCCTTCCTTTTGTTTTTAAAGTGTATAATGATTAGGTACAACAAATCATTCACCTTATATGGATACAGAGATGCAAGCCTTCCCAGATTTGTTGGGAGACTCCCGGAAAATCCACCAGTTTCCCGATATCCCGACACACATACAAATCTTCTGGATTCTTACGATTTAAAAAAAAAAGGGAAAAAAAGATCATTTCATGTGGGATTTCATGTTATATCTAAGTGTAACTTCGCACATTTATGAGCTACTTCATGTTGACTTTCTTTGATCTAGTCTTTTATATATCGTATTTTCATGATCTTTGGAAACATTTAAATGGGAATATATTTGTACAAAATTTTGTGAAAGTGTACTTGATAAGCTAAAAATAAGGTTATAATTAGAGCTCATGTTTTTAATACAAAAGTGGTCATTTTTATAAAAAAAAATCTTCAACACCATCGGCCCTGGAATCTAAGAAACCTCACTGATCCCTTATAAATAATACCCAAATTTACATTGTACTTTCAAAATATTCAAATACCATTAAAAATTTGTGCACATAAAGGGTGTCAGAATGGCTAAAAACCAGGAGCTCCAAGGGGCTGGACCCCCTTGGACCCCACCCTCAACGACGCACTTGCTTCGCTCGCTCGGTTGAAACGCTCGCTTCACAAAAATCTCCCTGATTACAAAAACCAAATGTGGCAGGTCTGTGGATTGTGTTGGAAAAGTAATAAGCAATCGTGGATGCATTGCCCTGAAAGTGATAAACTGAAAATAGTATCTTTTCTCATTTGAATTGTGTTAAATGTTTCTTCCTTGCACTTACAGGGGTGGAGATGCTGGAAAGCTTGATAATGGAAACAACGTAGAGCTTCAGTTGTTAGCGCAGCAAGGAGCGATGGACGGCGATGATTCGTCGTCTTCATCATCGGAAGATGAGAGAGCGGTGGAGCTGGACTCTGACTACGGAGATGAGGAGGATGAGGATGAGGATGATGGTGGTGCTAATGCTGAGGCTAGAAAGGACAACGTGGACCGTTGGCCTGCCCCGGTAGAGAAACCCATGGATATCGACGATGATGACGATGAAAACACGGGGACTAGTGGGAATAGGAAGGAGGAGGGGGAGGAGGAGGAAGTGGAGGAAACGATTGTTAGCAGTATAGAAGGACTTAAAGGATTGAGACATAAACTGAATTTTCTTGGACTGGTTGGAATGGACGAGTGCGAAGGACAACACGTCCCAGCGATCAGGGTGAGTACATCTAATTTTATTGTAAGGCATTCTTAATGAAAAAATAAAAACAAAAATCGTTGTTTTTATAAAATGACAAAAATTATATCCATGTCCAAACAAATATTTCCTGGAACACCACCTTCAGGACAATTACCCCCTAGGACACTTTAATACCCTGGACATCTCCCCTTGACAATTACCCCCTGAAGTGATTACATTCTTGTTAAAGGCAAGCCTGCCCTGATATTAAGTTAGTTTTAATAGAAGCAGAGAAATGAGAGGAAATCAAAGGTCACAGGACTCATTATGTATGCAAAAACAGCTCGTGATCGCGGTATCTCAAGAACCCATTGATGGATTCCTGCCAAACTTGGGTCATGTATGTATCTTGCAGAGCCAATGAACTGAATATATTTTAGGGTCATAAGGTCACAGATCAAAGGGTAAAACATGTATATGACACATACATGTAGCTTGTAATGATGATATTCTGAGAACCTTTTAAAGGATTGCAATCAAACTTGAATTTTAAAAATGCTTCGGTTTTGGTTTGTAAAATTGCTCCATGGCGGAGGCATCATTTTCTACTGCGCACAGTCAAAGGTCCATCTTGTTATTACTGTTTGTTTATACCAGGTTGCTGGACTAGCCAATGAAGACCAGATCCTCATCACAGTAGAGAAATACGTTGAAAGGAGAGGTTTCCTGCTCAAAGGACTCAACGCCTACTTTGATATCCTGAGAGTTATCAATTGCAGATCCCCTCTGAGAGCAGTACAGGTAATATTGGTCAAATAAAGTCAATTTTGTTTGAAAACCTGCAAAAGTACGAGAATCATGTTGGTTAATGATTTGGAAAGATTCTGAGAAAGGAAAGTTACTAATTCTTGAAGAACTGCTTAAAACAAAGCTCCTATATTTCATTTGCCACATATTTTCATATGTTTTTAACACAACTCTAATATCAATGTTTAGTGTTCCTCTTCTTGATTGCTGATTAAAATATTGATTTATTTTATAGAGAACTCACAGTGTAGAGTCTAAGATATTGTTTTCGTTGGTATGTTTTGAAAACATACGTTTTATTAGTTTGTTTACATTTTGCTGATCCAAACAACCTATCTAGTGCATGACAATATATCTTGAAATATTGAAATGCCATTTCATCACTAGAACACAATATTAACTTTTGGAAATGTTTTACGGTAATGACATCTATTTCCATCGCCAGAATTCAAGAATAGTTGTTATAAAGATGTTATGACTACTGCTCCAGTGACAGTTACTTTTGGCGTTGATTTGCCATATGAATTAAAGTCTATCTTTGACTGTAGACTCAGCATTATACCTCGACCTAACACTAAACCTAATCTAAATCTTGAGTCGCAACCCTAACTTTATATACGTTTGAAAAGTTAAAGCCTAAGCAAATGTCGTCAGAATATATGTCAGATCATCTTCACCCATTGAATGCTGACTTCTGGCATTCCCATCAGCTTTATACAGGCACCACCCAGCTTCTGTAGGGGATGGGTTAAAGGTCCTATGTCCCATTTGCAGGCCAAAAAAAATGGAAAGGTCAAATTCCAACGGCATTTGAAAGACAATACTAATTTAGAACTTCCCTAAAAAAGAGGGCGCTTGAAAATGTCTTAAGTGGGAAAATAACGACAATTAGTTGTCGAATCGACTTAGGAGCTATAGAGCCAGTAAGTAATAGTCTGATTTTTCAGACCATTGTATCGAATGGTCGTACGTTTTATGCTGCTCAAAGATTCAATTGGTTTAATTTTGGCCATTGCCAGAAGTGGATTATTGATGTAGACAAATGCTCATGTACCCCTTTACAGCTCATTTCATGTATGTCATTACCAAAGATGAAAAAAAGCCAGTCAGTCACTCAATAGTGTCTGACAGTGAAGTTTAGCAAGTAAATGGGTTTCCTTGCCTAATTTGAATATTAGGACACTGCTAACGTTTAAATTTCACAGATAGGACATACATGACATATTTATAATTCCTGCAAAGTTCTACAGAATTTGATGCTGGCTGCAAAAGGGACATAGTATCTTTAATGTGATGACTTGAAGAATCGTTCTTTATAACCAAGGAGGATGGAGTTGTCTTCAAGTGTAATTTGTGCTTGTTTTCTTTGTTTGTGTTTACAGGGTATAATAGAAGCGATGAAGAGGTACCCTAGCGATAACCAAATCCAAATATCGGGAAGGTAATCGACAGTTTAAAATTTAGGTTTATCAGTTGTGTTTTCTCTGCAAATCTTGTCTGTAACATGAATATCATTGTACATTCTGAGAAATAACTTCAATGTTACAACGAAACACTGTTATAGCATTTCCAACTTTTAATAAAGCCAGTCTCAGCTGATAAAATACAAGGTTTCCTTCTGCAAATCGCTCGTTTATGTATAATACCTCAACGCGTCATATCACGCTTTAAAAGTATGATGAATCTATTCATAGACAGTTTAATTTTCATTTAAAGGCCCACTGCACTACTTACCGGTATAGCTACTTGCGCCCGCTATATACCAAACAATGAATAATCGGTGACCATTGGTCCCCCATGATCCTCTTTTTCTTATGTTAATTGAGAGCTGACTTGATGAGATAACCACCTGTCTAGTTACCTTACAGTGTTGTCTAATCCCCCCTGTACACTAGTACAATGGGCATTAACATACATTTTCAGTGCATTCCAAATGATAATTTAATACATTTTGCAACTTGAGGTTGAATATGACCTTTGTCAAAAGATTTTACAATTTAGATTTTGCTACAAGAGAGTATGAATTTCAAAGATCAGAGTTATTGATTGATGTGATATTCCTCTTCCTGGAGGGGGTTTCACAAAGTATTTCATCAGTGACAAATGACAAAAATCATTGACAAATCTGTTGATAACCAATCAGAAGCAAGGATTTCAGTAGCTTATAACAACAACTGTCATTTGTCACTGATGACAAGTTTTGTGAAACGCCCCCCCCCCCTGATCTTTTCCTTTCAGTGCATCGTTATTTCACCTGACAAGAGGAAACTACAAGAAGCAACTCACAAAGTCTGGGAGACAGTAAGTGAAGACTTCAGCAGTTATTCAAATTTAACCCTTTGCTTTAATACTGGAACTGAATGGTACCTGTATTAAGCTTATGGGAATTAGATAATTCAGATGTCATCAGGTTAATTAGAACAAATAGACTATTTATATTGTTCTTTCTGATGAATATGCCATTTTGATTCCAGCATGAATGTTAACTAGTATAGGAAGAATGTGGTGATTAAATCAATGAAAAAAATTAATGGAACAAGTCATCTTTTGTGTGGAAAAAGAAATTTAAATATTTCCTCTTTGTCTGTGTTATAAAATACTGACCAAAATATGAATGAATGACTAAACAAAGAAGTCGCCATTTATTTTTTGCTTTTTGTCACAGTTGAACAAAAAGTTAGAATAAGCATAGGAAATTAAGATTCCTTTAGAAAAAACACAGAGAAATCTGCAACAGCTAGAATTCAGAGTACAATAGTCATATAAATAGAAACATTGCTTTTTTAGCAAACGGATCATTCCATGGGGTTGGGCAAATTTGTGTGACATACCAGAAGTGAGAAACTATGTCTCCTATTGACTGTAACAATGTTTGCTAAAATTGAGTTTAGCTTGAAAACTGAAAAGCATAGCCAACTATGTTTACACTCAAGCTTCATGGTGAATCAAAATATAGACCCAAAGTTTATGTAATGTTATGAATATGATGTCCATGTTACCCTGGTAAAAAGAGAAAAGTGTATTAATTTAATAAGCAAAGATTTTGAAGAGAAGTAACTGAAACAGGAATGATTCTGGCAGGGCACTGCCATAAACATTAATTGCATAAAAATCTTCAACAGATGATTTCATCTTCCATGTGTAGTAGAAGATCTTATACCAACGTTACATGGACATCGTCATATTTTTTGCCCCAACCTTATGGAACGACCTAAATGATAAATGCTATTATTTTATCATGCATTCATCAATCAGAGCGGTAATCAACTGTCTGCTAGATGCCATAGAGGGCGTATCAGACAGCGTGACTCTCCTGCGCAACTGCGGCCTGACGCTCTTCAACTTCTCCATCCCCGAAGACTTCCAGTTCCAGTTCGAGCGTGTCGTCAAGAACCTTGTGAAACTTGCACTGACGGAGGACAGAGAGGGCCTCCTTCAACGAGTCTACGTCCACATGTGCAATTCCATCGTGTGTCATGTCGAAGGCAGACAGAAGCTACAGGTCGGCAAGTTGGGCATTATCACAGTGAGTTTCAGTGGCAATTTTGCAGTATACATTAAAGGGATCGTTTAACAATGTTAAATCTTAGATGCACGGCCCTACGTGTTTTCAGTGTCTGTTATATGATGTTATATTGAAGCCCCAAAAAATTCAAAATGATCATGAAGTGCCTCAAAGAAGTAAAAACCTTTGAGTGACCGGTTTTACCATACTCGTTTTTCCCCAATAGACTGTAGTGTTATGAAAACCGTTTGTCAAACGCAAAATTTGATTCGATTTTCAATCATAAATATCTTGATAATCAGACAGGCGATCGGCTTGTAAAAGTCATGGGGTTCCTGACTGATCTAAAGGTTTATAATTATCATTGCAGCATGAGCTAAATCCAGGATTTATTTAAATGATCTAAGACAAAGTTACCTGATCCCTCTAATGAATACTAAATAAATAGTTTGATATTTTTTAAGTTTCCATACAAAACAAATAGAGAGTAGGTTGAAAATATGAAGTGCATCATTGAGTTTCCAGTTTTTAAAGGGATTTTCAAAACTCCATGACCCAATTTTCTCAGTGGATTTTCTCAAAAATCGACTAACCAATTTCTTTAATTTTTTTGTTTTGTTGTTGCATTTATTGACTTTTTTTAGCATGTACTACAATCAGCTTAATTTTAGGGATTGACTTTCCCTGAAGGAAGAAAAATTGTGTGAGTTATGTGAAATTGATAATTTTAGTCTTATGAGAAGCTGACATCTAATCTATAAAACTGATTGAATATGGTTTACATTTGATTTTTAATCTTATCTTTATTCAATCTTTGCAGTGCATGTTGAAGTTAATCAAGGATCGTTTGGACCGCAAGATCTGTGACGAAGTGATGGAGACAGCTTGGAGTACACTATGGAATGTCACAGGTTTGTTTTTAATTTTTAATTTTTTTTTAATGTCTAATGTAGGCCTGAGTAATTTCGATTCGTAAACCAAGCCAGACTGTGACCCTTGGAACCCAGGACCCTTCTTATAAAGAGTTGCGATTGATCAAGTCATCCAATCAATCGCAAGTTTGCAATACCCCAACTCTTATGTCGATGCAGTTAAAAATTATTTGAGCACCTCATTTGGCTTTTTATATTTAAGTCATTCGTAAAGTCATGCGTAACTTTACGAACAGCTTTATGAAACAACCCCTGGTCAATTTTCTCTCATCCAGTGCACAGATTTCCACATGTGGGACTACAGTTCAGATTTTGCATTGACTTTGCACCTACCATAAATTTGACTCGTGCAAGTCCCCAAAAAGGGGAATAGAATTTCGCTTTTTAGTTCAGATGAAATTTCACCCCACAGTTTATTTACCAATTAGACTATCTATTACTGACTAACATAATAATGTTAATCATATACAATACTTTTATAGTACATATCACAGATATGCCCCTTCGCATTGTAATGGAGAGAAGTAAGAAAAAGAACAGTCAAGGAATCCTTTTATATTAGGGTCCCAACATGTGCTGTTTTGGCATTGATGTTATGAAATAATAACATAGATCCTAATCAAATGTTATTAGGAAGCGTTTGTCATGTAGTCAGGCATTTATTTTCACTTACAATTTTCTGGTAGCTTTATGTGACGTATTCCAATGAAATATTAATTTTTATTTTGTTTTGCTTTTTCAGATGAGACGGCACACAATTGTGAACTATTCTTACAGGGTGACGGAATGCAACTCTTCCTCAGATGTAAAGAGGTTAGTTTAAGTGCAAAGAGTGATAATGATTTGTACATTTCAGTGATTTCAATATACTTCCTTGGCTTATAACCATTATAAGCATCTGCCAAATTAACGAGCAGAGAAAAAGTATGTCTCGACTAGTAATACATGTGAAATTCAGAGAAAATAACAATCAGAAAAACATTCACGGTCCCTAGTGTATTCAGCTAAGTTTCAAATCATTGTTATTTCAAAGCGTATGCAAGACATATAAAGTATGAAATGCTAATACTAAGTGCTTTATCAAATACTTTTATAGATATGATGTGATTGCGTAGTAAGTATGTACATTTATATGAAAGGCTTCTATTTAATTTTTAACAAAAGTCCTCAAACTGAGGATATTAAACAAAATTAAAATATTGTTTATAGTAAGAACTAAATACAAATGTAGCTTTAATTTTTTTTAATGTTTTATCGTTTTCATTATAGACCTTCAGGGAGAGACCAGAGCTACTTCGAAACATGATGGGGCTTATGGGTAATGTGGCAGAGGTCAAAGAACTAAGATCTCAACTCGTCCCTCATGTACCTGTCTTTGCGTAAGTCTAGTCCCCGTCCTATAGAGTGGTGAAGTGTGACGTCATCAAAAATCTATTTTTAGAATTTCTCAATTTTTTCTTTTTTCGAAAGAGCATCAAAAATAATGTCCAACTGTCGAAAACCAATTGAATATGTCAAGTATTGGCTGAGATATGACCATCTGAATGAATATATTTCCTATAGGAACTCAGTGTTATATGCTCTGGCTCCTAACCTACTTCACATATTCAATTGGACATTTGGACATTATTTTTGATGCTCTTTCGGAAAATGTAGAAAGAATTGAGAAATTCTAAAAATATATTTTTATGACGTCACAGCTTCGGTACTCTATACAAAGGTGTGATTGTTCTGGATCAAAAGCAAGTCTTCCGGTTGATTTGAAGGTCATGGGGCTTATTTAACTAAGATCTCAACTCTTCCATCATGTACCTGTCTTTGCGTAATTCTAGTCCCCGTCCTATAAAGAGGTGCGATTGTTCAGGATCAAAAGCAAAAAAAAAAAAAAAAAAATAAAGAATTGATGTCTAGACAATAGTAGACATGAACCCCCCCCCCAAAAAAAAAGCAAGTCCTCCTGTTAATTATGCCTCCGCCACCGAAGGTGGTGCCGGAGGCATCATGTTTTCGGGTTGTCCGTCCGTACGTCCGTCCGTACGTCCGTCCGTCCGTCCCGTTTGACCGTTATCACAATATCTCAAGAACCATTTAAGATTTAAACTTAAGACTCAGGAATAGTATTTATCACCATAGGAAGACGATCTGATTAGATTTTGGAGTACGTAGGTCAAAGGTCACAGGTCACAGAGGTCAACTTATGAAATTCCTTGTATTGAGTTTGTTAGCGCGATATCTCAAGAACCATTTGAGATTTAAACTTCAAACTTAAGGATAGTATGTATCACCATAGGAAGACGATCTGATTAGATTTTGGAGCACGTATGTCAAAGGTCAAGGGTCACAGAGGTCAACTTATGAAATTCCATACATTGAGATTGTTATCATGATATCTCAAGAACCACTGGAGATTTAAACTTCAAACTTAGTGATAGTGTGTATCACTATAGGAAAACAATCTGATTAGATTTTGGAGCACGTAGGTCAAAGGTCAAGTGTCACAGAGGTCAACTTATGAAATTCCATACATTGAGATTGTTATCATAATATCTCAAGAACCACTAGAGATTTAAACTTCAAACTTAATGATAGTGTGTATCACCATAGGAAGACAATCTGATTAGATTTTGGAGCACGTAGGTCAAAGGTCAAGGGTCACAGAGGTCAACTTATGAAATTCCATACATTGAGATTGTTATTATGATATCTCAAGAACCACTGGAGATTTAAACTCCAAACTTGTTTAAATTGCTCTATTGCGGAGGCATCATTTTTGACTGCGCGCAGTCAAAATTCCATCTAGTTTTGATAATGTAATCATATTTAATGCACAAATCTTTGTTAAGCGCGTTATTACAAATTATTTTGTTCACCTGTTATGAAATATCGATAGTCAAAATGAGTTTAAAGACACAAATTTTCTCCTATGTATCACAAAACACATAGTTTCATGAAATCACGTGAAATGTTTTGCTACATTCCATGATGCAGGTCTCTCCTCCAGGATAGGACTGATGGCATCGAGGTGAGTTACAACGCGGCTGGCGCCCTCGCTCACATGGCTTCAGACGGTGAGGATGTCTGGAGGGCAAGTACCAGCAGGGGCGAGGTCCTCAACAAGATGGCCGACGCCATTGAGTCGTGGGAGCTTGATGAACAGAGGAACATCAACTACAGGTCAGTCCAAAACATCAGTTCAATCCAATTCAATTCAAAATCATTTTATTCTTGAACATCAAATAAAACATCAGATTGTACATATTTGGTATGACAGTACTAACCTTCTAAAGTCTGGGTTTAAAAAAAAAGTTAAAAATAGACATTTCGGCCAAGTATTACTCATATCGATTTCGATTTCAAGCGTACCGCTCATGATGGTGGTCTCCTGCGTTTTCTGTTATTTATCTTTTATTCATTGAAAAATATTTGTTTTTGTATGCGTCTTATTTAATGTACTTAAAAATGTATATTTATGTAAAATGAAGAAATAATTGTTATTTTATGTATATGATTATGTTCTATTTTGAAAATGCAGAAATAAAAACAAACAAACAATACACATGAAAGCCTAAAACTGAGACAGATACTAATATTTCAGATTTATTCATTGAAATGATTACTAACCTTGGCCGCTTGATATATTGGGTCATAAACATTCTAGATCACTTAATTGATAGGTTTTCTTTTCCAAATTCTTTCTGCAGGTCATTTGAACCGATACTCAGATTGCTTCATACCTACCACACACCTCATGTTCAACTGTGGGCTACGTGGGCTCTGGCCAACCTATGTACAGTCTCGAGTAAGTATTTCATACAATCAGTATTGCCGATAAGTGGGTGATCATACACATATCCTCCAGTGACAGTTGTTTCTGGCTGTATTTTATCAAAGTTAAAGGTTATACAAAGTTTTGGTATGGGGTCATGAATTTGGTTCAAATGAACATATTGGAAGCCTATTATGTGATCCTACAATATTCAGTGATCGTTGTCGCGGTTGAAGTGGAGTCTAAAGTTATGAAAGTGTAAATAATAAACTCTTTATGTTGTATAGCTCCCTCTCAAGGTCAAGATATTAATTAAGCTATAAAACAATGTTTCTTGACTAAAATCAACCAATTTTCTATTCCCATTTGGAAATTATATATCACAACTAAATATTCTGAGAATTTCATGGTCGCAGCTACCATTGTACGGCCGTAGGCGCTATTTGAAATTTATCAAAATTTACTGGGAGCACCAGTAAATTTTTATGTTCAATTTTTCTTGAAGGCAGAAGTGTTTAAGGGGCTAAATTTTCTAGTGCTCATCCACAGGGGCATCCAAATATATCAATGTTGTAAAGAATCACTATTCACCCAATTTTAAAATTTCCAAAACTTTGTATTACCTTTAATATAGAGACTGAAATGTTGGGGGGGGGGGGTTGTGATTGAATTTTAGTATGAAAGTTTAAGATCAAGTTCAGGGTATTGAATATTTACATGTAGGATTAGGTCACGCAAAGTGTTCGTCACACAAAGTAATCTCAGGGCGATTGTCGTCCAGTGAACTCCAGTTTTCAAAAATGTGTGCAACACATATAATACATTTGATCATTTTGAGGGTAAAGTTCATTCTTAAAAGTTTATGAAAGGTAGGGATTGAATATTCAAATTATGACACGATTTCACTGTGCATCTGTAAGAATCGCATGATTGCATGCATATCTGCAGCAGGCGTCGGAATCAGAAGGAGTAACAATGTATGTCGAGGGTAAAAATGTTTGTTCTATCCTCTAGCTAATTACTTAAAGGGGCTGTAGCATGACGAGACTACGTGTCGTCCCTGTGGCATGACTCAGGGCCAATGGGGTATAATACGACTATGGAAGACGCGACTGCAGTAGGCCTACTTATTCACGTGCGTGCAACATACTCGAAACCGAAGCGTGAGGAAAACTTGGGTCTGTTTCGCGAACGCTAGCGCACTGACCCAGTCAATCAAATCCATTCGTTTACGTGCAGTTGTCCAAAAGAAGTCGTAGATGGCGTTAACCATTATTTGCCATGCTACAGCCTCTTTAATAACTTTATGACCTGAGAGTGTGCCACATATGATCTAAAGTTTGTTTCTTTGTGTTTTTCTCTATCCTGTTACCCCAGGAGAGAAGTATTCTCGTCTGTTGGTGAGCGAGGGCGGGCTTCGGAAACTGGAGGAACTCGTCGCGAGACCAGGTACTTGGTCACGTGTCCACTACTTTGCGAAAATCGCCATCAGATTGTCAAAGGACTACAGAGATGAACCTCCTATTTGATGCCATGTGGGTTAATGTGAATGCTGAACCTGTGAATTGCTGTGCATTAGTGTTGCTATTGTTGGCTGCTGGTGGATATTAAAGATATAGTCGAGTACTGGTCATGCAATTGCATTGTGAAAGAAAAGGTGTGGAATGGATCAGAAAAAGTTTATCATGTAGCATGTAAGTATTGGTGTGTACTGCAAGGTTCTGGGATCATCAAAATGTAGTCTTGGTAAAGTTACAAGCACTATACACAGAAAGATGTATATGGGACTACATATAATCTTGATTTCCTTATCTTTCTATGCTCATTACTCAGTCAGTATACATTTTCTACCCACATTGTCTGGCAAATGACATTTATATGTACTCTTGAACATTCAGTGTAAGTTTAGTTTGATTCTGTGAGAATTAATTTTCTTTTTTTACCAGAACTCAAGTTTATCTTTAAGAACAGATGGTGTCTCGTGAAATTATATCGAAATGATCATGATGCGATATTGTCTTGAGTGTATTTGAAGGTCAACTTCTGGTAATGGAAGTTGGAAAATAGTAGTGGAAGAGAAACTGGCGCCCATAAGTCATTGTTTATGGTGTATTGTGCATCGAATGGTTGTATAGATAAGGGATAAGCAAGATGTTTATAAAGCAAACTTGTGAAAACTTGCTGAAAATTACCAGCTTGATTATGCACTAATGGGACCTCTGGTTTGTTTCTTCACTACCAGCTTGAGTTCCCATCTTTCCTTGTTCATGGCTTAACATTATAACTTTGCTATCATGCATTTTAAGTCATAATACATTTCGTAGATGCTACAAGAAATTTTGTTTGTTATCATTACTAGCATTCAAATAATACGTATAATGCCATCAATGTAGTCTTATCATGTCATATATGTGTTTCCTTCATTTCTATTCATTTTCCCATACTTATGGAGTTTCTGAGGTTGTCAATTTTGACGTACATATTAGAATGAATTATAAATTTATTATATGTATGACTTACTCACTTTCAAGTGATACGCAGCTAAGATGTCAATATTATTGAGCAGATATTTTCAGTTATTTGTCAAAAGAATATATTATGCATGCACTTACTTTCAAGTAAAAAACCTATCATAAAAATTATTGAGAAAACCATTGCAGAATTTGCAGTAAACTCAATCAATGTCAAAGATTTCAATATGCCATCCATTTTTTTCATTTGTTTCCCTGAAATGCCTATTTAATGCGTAAAGAGTCTATTATATTGACAAAATATTTAAGAAAAATGAAGTCAATTTATATCACAATTATGTACTGTTCTAAGTTTCATTTATTTTATGAACTGTCCTGCATAATTTTTGTTCACATCCTGTATTGTTGTGATACGACCTTTCAATCAAGCAGAAAATGAGGTCATACATGTATAATGACCATGAACATTGCCTGGTAACAGCATATGATTGTAAGAGTCATGGTATTTATAGGATTTGTCTATCATTAAAGGCCTGTACTCACTCCTTTACTTATCACTGTGTTTTCCAGCTTTAGCATGCCCTTTTTCCTGTCACACTCCAATGAACTACACATCAAGCAAAACATATTCCAGGAGCCTGTTTCATAAAACTTGATATCAATAACAAGTTACAAGCTACTGTTATAAGCTACTGAAATCAAGGCATCTGATTGGCTGAGAGCAAACTTGATATCAATAACAAGTTACAAGCTACTGTTATAAGCTACTGAAATCAAGGCATCTGATTGGCTGTGAGCAAACTTGATATCAATAACAAGTTCCAAGCTACTGTTATAAGCTACTGAAATCAGGCATCTGATTGGCTGAGAGCAAACTTGATATCAATAACAAGTTACAAGCTACTGTTATAAGCTACTGAAATCAGGCATCTGATTGGCTGGGAGCAAACTTGATATCAATAACAAGTTACAAGCTACTGTTATAAGCTACTGAAATCAGGCATCTGATTGGCTGGGAGCAAACTTGATATCAATCACAAGTTACAAGCTACTGTTATAAGCTACTGAAATCAAGGCATCTGATTGGCTGAGAGCAAACTTGATATCAATCACAAGTTACAAGCTACTGTTATAAGCTACTGAAATCATGGCATCTGATTGGCTGAGAGCAAATTTGTCATAGAAATGTATCATTTGTTGTAGATAATAAGTTTTATGAAACAGGGCCTTGTACCCTGAGCTGAAAATATTGAATTATCAGATGTAAGGGGTAAGCTGATACAAAATTGGGATACAATGGTGTATTTCTTTCTTTTCAATACTCATTGAATTTTGTGAATATCTTAAATGTTTGGGTAGGAAAGATAGGAATTTATCTTTGTAGGAGAGGGATTTGCCAGAGCCAGGGGCCCGTTTCATAAAACTTGTTATCTATAACAACTGCTAAATTTCTATGACAAATTTGCTCTCAGCCAATCAGATGCCACGATTTCAGTAGCTTATAACAGTAGCTTGGAACTTGTTATTGATATCAAGTTTTATGAAAGCCCTGTACCCTGAGCTGAATATGTTGACTTATCAGATGTAAGGGGTACAAACTTGGGATACAACGGTGTATTTCTTTCTTCAAAAATAGGCTTTTCAATACTCATTGAATTCTGTGAATATCTTAAATGTAGGCTTTTCAATACTCATTGAATTCTGTGAATATCTTAAATGTAGACTTTTCAATACTCATTGAATTCTGTGAATATCTTAAATGTAGGCTTTTCAATACTCCTTGAATTCTGTGAATATCTTAAATGTAGGCTTTTCAATACTCATTGAATTCTGTGAATATCTTAAATGTAGACTTTTCAATACTCATCGAATTCTGTGAATATCTTAAATGTAGGCTTTTGAATACTCATTGAATTCTGTGAATATCTTAAATGTAGGCTTTTCAATACTCATTGAATTCTGTGAATATCTTAAATGTTCGGGTAGTAAAGGGATCTACCTTTGTAGGAGAGGGAGGTCAGGGGTTTGCCAGAGCCAGACGTTGTCTCTTTGGAGCATATTCCTTAAAGGCATCGTTTAACAATGTTAAATCTGAGATGCACGGCCCTACGTGTTATCAGTGTCTGTAATATGGTGTAATATTGAAGCCCTAAAAAAATTGCGCTTCAAAATGATCAAGAAGTGCCTCAAAAATGTAAAAATCTTTGAGTGACCGGTTTTACCCTACTCGTTTTTCCCCAATAGACTGTAGTGTTATGACAACCATTAGGAAAACGCAAAATGAAATTCTGATTTTCAATCTTAAATATCTTGATAATCAGCCGGGCGATCGGCTTGTAAAAGTGATGGGATTCCTGAATGACCTAAAGGTTTATAATTATGGTTGCAGCATGAGCTAAATCAAGGATTTTGTTTAAGGATCTGAGACAAAGTTACCGGATCCCTTTAACAAAATTACATACTTCATTAGAATAAGAATGACTGTTTTTCTTTGAATAAGCTTGTTTGAATTTTCACCAAGATTATAGCATCCCCTAATATAACAGAAAATGTATTTCATGTGAAAATGAAAGGGTTTCAGTTGCATTATCAGAATTGTTATATGTAACAAAAACAAATTGGAAAGCTTAGGGCAAAACAATATTTGGTGTGTATGCTCAAAGAGAAATTCACTTCTATGTTTTTCTGCTTTCTAAACGCAACTACATGAATTAAAACAAAAGTTACTTCTGCAAAGTTAGTTTAACTGTCATTGATGAAATAAATGTTACACATGGTTTGTTTTACTTGGTAATCTGGACATATATCTAGTGTCAGTACGTACCCAAAATCAGTTTGATGAAATCTATGTAGTTGACATGAGGTCAGGTATAAACGATCATATTTATCCTCATCTTCATTTTAATTCTTTTCATAGTGAAATACTTGTCTACGACTAATTCATTGTATTTATAGGACTGTACAAAATTATCATGAGCCATATAAAATGGATGTATCTGTGAAAAAATCTAATACAATCAAGTTAAATCTTTCTCTATCAAATAAAAAATACCCCTAGAATTATTGATTCCATTTACCTTGAATACAAATGCAGTATTTAGCAGTAGGCCTAAAGTTATTATCATTTTGCCCATTTTTCTTAACATTTCCTTCCCTTCCTCTTTTTAATGTTGGTCTCATTTTTTATTTCAGTAGTATCCTCATCGTTGCATAATGTGAATGACCATGGTTGTATAAAGTATACATCGTTACATTTTAATTTTTGTATGGCATATGGGTGGTGGCTAGATCTCAGAAAATAATACATCTGTTATATAGAGAGACATTAATTGTAACATGCTTTGTACATGCATTTCTATATTACATAAGTGTACATGTAATGATGAGTTTTCAAAGTGGAACATTTATGACGAGTCTGCTTTCATATATGCTTATAATTTATTGCCTGAAGTTTAAAATGTTAAAATTTTGTAGAAGTTATTACTGCATGCTTCCACTGTTTGCTCATACTTATGAAAGTATCTGATTGTTCATATCGCTAGCTGGCATACAAGAGGAAAAAAAGCGAAGGAATAAATCAATTTGAAATGAATTTTATTTACTATTGCTGTGGTCTTTTGTATTCGCTTTGCAAGGTACCGATGGGACCTTTGAGATTAAATACTGTTTTTCATTATTGTATACCGGTAGTCATTCAAAATGAATTAAGAAGTTAATGGTACATTTCAAAGTTCAGATATATGTAGTAAAATATACGCGTGCATCACCTAAGGCCTAACAAAAAAAGTGTTGTTTTGCTCTTTAGTTGCCAAAACATGGGTCGGTCGGTCGGAAATGTTTTTTTTTCTTTCCATTTTTTCCCCTTTTTTTCCCCCCCCCCCCCCTTTTTCCCCCCCCCCCCCCCCCTTCCCCCCCTTTTCCCCCCCTTTTTCCCACCTTTGTTTTCTACCTTTTTTTTCTTTCCCCCTCTTTGGGCTGATATTTCTTAGTTTTGAATGCTTTAATATTTTTTTTCTCTAAAGCCGACCGTAGATTTCAAAATTTGTGGGTTGGTCGCAAAGGGCAATACAACTTTTTTTTTTAGTCTCAACAGTTACTGCCGACAGCAGTGGAATCAATCAGGGTATGGCTCGCATCTACTCCCCCCCCCCCCCCTCATAGTAATTTTCTTTTTATTAACTTTTGTGCCCTCATTCTTGATACTTCACCTCTCATGAGGAGAGATGGCTCTTTTTTTTTTCTTCAAAAAGAAAATCTCTCCCCTCCCCCTTCTCTCTCTCTCTCTCCTTTCTCTCTCCCTCTGTCTCTATATCCCCCCCTCTCTCTCTCTCTCTCTCTCTCCCCCCCCCCCCCCCCCGTCGCACAATTCAATATATTGCTTTTAAATATCTTCTTGGAGGGCGGGGGGTACACACTATAAAAGAATTTATCTAGAAATGTCGGCCTACTTAAATGTATGAAGATTTTATTTGACTCTTTTTTTTGTAATGCTTAAAACGGGTCCGCAGAGGAATAGTTGAATGAGAGCGAGGGATTTAAATATAACTAGACAAATACAGGACGGCAAGTCAAGATTGTTCCATACGATACCGATTCCACCATTTCAGTATCTATTCACTTTATCTAGCTGATAGCCCTATTAAAGCTTGAACCAGATAATTTATCATCAAATAAATGGATATTTTGTTTTCAATCCAGGGGCGGATCCACGTAGCGATTTTTCCTAGCCCAAAGAAACGATACAAAAAATAGGATAATAACGTAAAGTAAACCTTTTTTGAAACACAAAACAAAAGCGCCCCCCCCCCAAAAAAAAAAAAATAATAATAATAATAATAATAATAATAATTGATTCACCGACCGGCTGAGTCGGCGCTAATTTTTTCCTCCAAAACTCTATCAAAAAAGGAAAAGAAGAAAGGTGCTCTCCCCCCGACTTATTCGCCGGCCGGCTGAGTCGACGCTAAATTTTGTATTAGGATTTGGCTCCCCCCCCCTTGTCGCCGGCTGGATCCTCTGCAGGCGCGGATCCACAGGGGGGGGGGGGGGGGCTGACGGGTCAACAACAGCAACAAAAAAAAAAAACAAACAAAAAAAATTCTCACGAAGAAGGCCAAAAAACCCCAAAAGTGGTCTTACCCACCCCCTCGCCCCCGCTTATTTACCGGCTGGCTGAGTCGAAATAAAATATTTCCTGAAAAATTGAACAAAAAAGTGCCTCCTACCCCCCCCCCCCCCCCCCCCCCGCTTATTCACCGGTGGTTGAGTCGCAACTAATATTTTCTCACGGATTGGGCCCCCCGTCTTCCCGCCGGCTGGATCCGCCACTGTTTCAATCTATGTTTACAATTCAGTAATACTTGGCAGACGTATGGGACATTACGGAAGCGTTAAAGTGCCATTCTACTAACGACATGACGAGATATTTCATCTTGTCAAGTCGACTTAATATCCACATAATATCCACATGAACTTTTTGTGAAGTCGACTTGGCAAGATAATTTATTTCGCCATGTCGACATTACTTTTTGGGTAGTCGACTTGGTAAGATAATATATGTCGCCATGACGACATGAACTTTTTGTGAAGTCGACTTGGCAAGATAATTTATTTCGCCATGTCGACTAATAGAAGTTGATAAGTCGACATGGTAGGTTAAATATCTTTACATGTCGACATGATATGGATATTAAGTCGACTTGACAAGATGAAATATCTCGTCATGTCCTCAAGTAGAATTAACGCTTCCGTAGGACATATACCTTGCTCTTGCCCAAGAAAGAAGTGTCTTAAAAAAAATATTAAAAAATGAGGTGTAGGCCTATATGTTGAGGAAAACAAAATAATGGTTAAAACTCTGAAATGGTGCAAAAGTTGCAACTATAAGCAACTTTATCATAGTGTCCAGCACATATTATGTAATGTTATATCTAGAAACAAACATTCCCAGTGTGTCATGGAATCTTTGTTTACACACGGACTACGTCTGCAAACATGAACAACAAACCAACCTTGCCAAACCGCATAAATATATAGTACCAGTACATCTTACAAGACAGTAAGACCGTGCGTCATTTTTGTCTATGGTTTCAGAAAGATCATTCCCTGGAATTAAAATGAAGTTTCTTTCCATCACGTTGTCGATGTTGACCTTCGTCACTGCGGTGATCGGTGAAAGTCCTCGAGTGACGGTCAACGAAGGAACACTGGTCGGAAAGACGGTGGAATTCAGTGAGAATAAGTTCATCAATATCACAAAGAATGTAGATGCATTTCTGGTAAGTAGACCTATATGATAACTTATAACGCAGATCAATATTCATTTTCCACCAGAGGTAGCCAGGAGCTAAAGGGCGACAGAGGGGCGTTCCGGGGCGTTCCCCTCTGTCTCATGAATCGCCACATTAAGCACTCTTTCGATGAATGTGAGCTAATCATTTCTATGTCGGCATATTCGCTTGAACTGCCTTCCCCTTCGGACTAGATTCATGCTAATACTTCTGTCGTAGGAAGCTATATATCACAACATCTAAGCTATATCGTGAAATCAACGTTTACCTCTGGAGGCTACTAAATATTTACCTCTGATTTATTTCTTTTAACAGTAAATATCATGATCGAAAGAACGAGTGTTGATCATGATACTATATTACACAGTATATCTGTACAGAGTATTGGCTACTAAAAATGTTTTCGTTTCAATTGACCTATATACACCTTTTTATTTCAATTTTTTTTATTGAAATTTTAAGTATTCATCATCTAAAGTAATTGTTGTTTACAGATTACCCCCCCCCCCTTTTTTTTCGGGGGAAGGGGGTGGGTGCGGTCACAATAAATCACACGCGTGACCACAGGTTTTCCCAAACTCCCTCTAGACAAGTTTATCAATTGGTCAAAATCAAACCCTTTTCGAGTTTTTCGTGCTTTTACTGGAAAATTTACCCCCTAAACAAATTTAACACATTCGAACATATCCCTTTAACAATGTCTTAAACCTGCAAAATAAAGTACTTGATAAATACAACTATTATTGATATTAATATATGCAAATCAACAGAGCATGACACGACAAAGTCCAGGAAAGCGTATCCTAAATGCGATTTTATAAACTCTACAAACATGTCGACACCCTAAATGATTCACGCTCTTCAAACTATACCCTTTTAACGTTTTGGGGGTCGCGCGTGTGTACAGCAATTTATTCGACTCCCCCCCCCCCCCCCACCCCCACCCCACCCCTCGGGCAAATTACATTTTTGGGGGGTATAAATCGATGAATAAAAGTATGCACAACGTGTGGATTAGTCCAGCCTCTGTACCGTTTTCGTTTAGCGCACCCAATCAGCTGATAAAATAACACACCCTCAACGTTGAAAGTAGACCTAGCCATTCCTCTAAATCTGGGTCCTGCATGAATACGTGTGGACGGAAATTTGGGGATTGCGCGATCAGTGGAGAGACCGCGATATGTGTGGGGGATAAAAAGAACGAACGGACTGAATCTGGACTACGTGTGGATGTGCTATGGAACAAAAGAACTTCAAAGTCCATGTACAATGATTACTTCGAAGTTTCGATAACAGGGGAAAAAAATATGATCGTGGCCGTCTTTTATGGATATAGACAACTTCCACCAAAAAAATAATTTGCTCTTAAACAAAAGGGTAGAGTTCAGAGAGAAATTTCAAAATCAGATCAAATGCTAACTTCATTTAGATCAAGACAAAATCGGTTATCGTCATTTCTCATGATTTAATATGTGATTGGCACCACAAAAGATAAGTTCAAAACAACATTAAGTTTTGACAAGATTACGTTAGCTAAGATATAAGGAATATACATTTTCATGCTGTATTTTCATTATTTTGGTGTATCCTGTTGATCTTTTTAGGGTGTACCATTTGCCAGTCCTCCTCAACGGTTCTCTCCTCCGGGACCAATGACGTCATGGTCAGGTGACAGGAACGCGACCGAGTTCTCACCAGCATGTCAACAAGCCCAATCCCTCTATTACCCGGTCATGTCTGAAGACTGTCTCTATCTCAATGTCTACACACCAAGCCCGAAGGTATCTTTTCGTTCATATTGGAATTCACATTCACAGCACAGTCACAAACACTTTCGAAAAAAACACATCAAGGGCAACTAACTGTATTGCCTAAAAATGCGATATATATAAATCACGTCCCGATGATGTATTATGTCATGATCATTTTTGAACATTCGAAAGTTGATACATCAAGGCTTATTAGGTTAGTTTTATTGGCTCTCACGATATAACCAATAAATTATGTCTTCAAATTACTTTGAATTAAAAACCGGGGATATATATAAGTTTCCGATCACACATGATTCTTTGACTGTTACGCTTTTACATCACATTTGTTCGAACACATCAAATATTTTCTCGAGAGTAAAAAAAAAATATTAAAAAATTGGACATATTCTCATGGTATTTTAGTTTATAACCACACTCGTGATAAATGAGGCAACATGGAACGTTCTGCGATTGCTTTCTCACTGTAAAGTTGTGCATGGAGGAAATCGGGAAACCAAAATTGTTTTAATTTACTCGCAGCCGTCTGGGATACCGGTCATGGTGTGGATACATGGAGGGGCGTTTTCTTCCGGGTCAGCTATGACGTATGATTACTATGGTGTTCCATTGGTTGCTGTAGGTGACGTCATCGTAGTTACCATCAACTACAGACTGGCCATCTTTGCACAGTTTTCAACCGGTATGTTTGATGGTCATTGAAGATTTTCTAGTCAGGGAGCCTGTCAGAACAGTTTAACCTTAAGTGTCACTCTTTTTTTTCTTTCATTTATCTATAACCTTTACGGAAAATGTTATTTTCTTCATTATTTTACCCCAAACTAGACCATGTGAGTTATTACCCAAATGGACCTGATGGGTATTACCATCTTTAACTGTTGAACAAGACATAATTCAATTCAATTCAAAAGACTTTATTTCCGTTAAAAAACATACAAATATATACATGTGATAAAGTACAGACAGTTTAAAATATACAAATCATGAGCATTAAATTAAATTAATTTAAACAAACTGTGAAAATGAGTAAAAGGAAAAGGGAGCACCTGTAGGAAGCTTATGTTAGCTTGTTGATTCAGGCGTCCAAATGAATAAAATAATTACACAGATATAATAACATAATAATGAGTATTGCGCATGTATTTGTTCTACCCCCCTCCCTCCCTCACTCCCTCCCTCCCACCCCCCCCCCCCCCCACCACCTCCCCCCTCCCCTTCTTTCTCTCTTATGGTAATTTACAAATTATATTTTATTTTAAAATAGGTGTTAAACTAAAACAAATTATAGGGATAATAGATATATTTTAAGATTTTTCTTGAATGAGTTTAAGTAAACATATTGAGTGAGAGAGGATGGAAGAGAATTCCATACTATGGGCCCTGTATACCTTACCGATTGTTGCATGTACTGTTTATCAATATTCCAAATGTGTAACTTTAGACTATTTCGAGTATTATATTTATGAATTTTAGAGTTAGTTTGGAACATAGTGGCAAAAGATGATGGTGCATTACCTTTAATACATTTGAATACAAACACAGCATTTTGATATTTATTTAGGCTATAAATATTGAGGGTATTTAACTGTCTAAATAAAGGTTTAGAATGGGCCAAATAATGAGAGTTTGTACAATATCGTAGACAACGCTTCTGAAGTAAAAATAAGGGTTTCAACTTAGAATGACTTGTATTTGCCCACACGATGTTACCATATGACAAATAAGAGAGAATGAGTGAATTATAAATCATAAACAATACATTTTCTGGTAAATAATACTTCAGCTTTGACAATAATCCTGTAGTTTTACTAATCTTTGTAGAGATCATGGCAATATGGGATTTCCAAGACAATGTTTCATCTATGAGAATACCTAAAAATTGAATATTTGAGACTTTTTCAATAATTGTTTGATCAATATATAATGGTGGAACTTGATTTTTCAATTCTTTTTTGTTGCACTGAGCTGTTCTAAAAAGAATACATTTAGTTTGGTCTAACTTAAGCGATAGTTTATTTACCTTTATCCACAGAGATACATTCTTCATGTGTTCATTAAACTGGTCTATCAGTGAGTATAAGTTATTATGGCTTAAGAACAAAGAAGTGTCATCAGCAAATTGTACAAATTTTAAGGAATGAGAGGAGTTGCATATGTCATTTATATATAAAAGGAAAAATAGGGGGCCTACAAGTATTCGAAAGTTAACAGTAAAGTTTTATATCTTCAAAATCCTCCCGTTTTTGCAAATAGTAAATATTATGATCATGCATGTAAACACAATTGTTTTATGATTATGTCTGATTTGTTTTACAAAGAGGACTTTGAAGCTCCTGGTAACTATGGAATGTTGGACCAGGTTGCTGCTTTGGAATGGATTTATAACAACATCGAAGGTAAGAGCGGTCTACTTATCTCTAACAATCTTATTTGAAAATTAATTGGATCTATTTCTTTATGACTTTTGTTCTGCTATCGCTCATTCAATGAGTCTGTTGTGTATTCTTGCTTAAGTCTAACAACGACTGTCGTGTAAACGCAATCGCGTCAATGAGACAATAGAGGTAGGTGCTATGTCTCGTGATAGACAATTACTATGAGAAAAATTAATGATGGCGCTGGTTGCTAGACTATAGAATGCGCTAAGGTGTTATAATGTTTGTATTCCTCAATCTACAACCAATGCATGAACTTCGATATAACTTAACTGTTGCTTATTCATAAAAAATAAAGTCAAACAAAATGATATCCTTATAAAAACCCGGGATAAAACCCCTCCCCCTCCCGCAACAGAAAAGAAATTTGGATCTACAATATCAGAAACAAACTGATATTACTTCTCCATTATTATGTATTTATCTTTCTTCAACTTCAAGCCTCGTATATTTTGGGAACTTTGCCTCATTCCTACATAACATTGTTAATTTATATTTCATAATAATATATTCATTTTTGTTTTTGAGAAGGAAATAAATGTTTATTGAAATTGAAAATTGAAAAAAAAAAAAATGTGCAGCCTTTGGAGGTAATAAGGACCGAATCACTATATTTGGAGAGAGTGCTGGAGGAGCAAGCGTCAGTTTTCATGTTCTCTCGAAACTCAGTCGAGGGTTCTTCAGTCAAGCCATTTATCAGGTTTGTCTTCGATATCATTTAACTTTGATTAAAACATATATTAAACCTTTATGCTCGACATATGAGAACTTATAGACAGCTCTTAGTGCTAGTGCAACACTGAATGTTGATATTAGAATGGATTTGTTATGTATATAGATGAAAAACATATACATTATAATAAATCAAACATTTTGTTGGGGGATGGATCGTAATGTTGCATTTCCTCATTAACGATATTAAGCTTTTAATAGTCGTCAGACGTAAAGTGAAATGTATAAACGGATGAACAAATTTGCAGATAGAATGATTATCTGAAAATACAATCTGAAAATAATCTACATCTAAAATGTTTATCAATGTACCTATAGAATATCAGCTTTGTTATCATTGATGCCATCGATTTACTTTCTCAAGAAATGTTATAATATTTCTTTATGATTGTGACGAATATGCAAATTAGATGATTTATGAATATGCTAATTTTGGGACGTTGCTCGAGTTTAGGGTGAGAGAGGTCCCGGGTTCGACTCCCGGACGAGCCCCCAATCTGTTGGGTCGGGGCAATTAACTCATATTTTGCCCTTTCACAACTTAGAATTATATCTATATAATAAGAAAACCGAGACGATTTGTTACCTATTGATCCGAATTCGTGGTTTATTATACTCAACTCGAGCAACGTCCCAAAATTAGCATATTCATATTTCATCTAATTTGCATATTTGTTACAATGTTAATAATTCTGATTGGCAGAGTGGAACAGCATTCAATCCCTGGGCCTTCAAGCACAACCCTGCTGAAGAGACGGAGAAGGCCCAAGAGCTTGGGCGATCGATGGGTTGTGATGAGGTATCATCTACTGCTGCTTTGGTCTCCTGCTTGAGGGACGTACAGGACCCTGTGGCACTCGCTCAAGCTGCCGATGCGGTAATCAATATTTATGTTCTATTTCATATTCTCATTGCGGAGCTTGAGATTACAGAGAAAGAGAGAGGGGGTGAGAGAGAGAGAGAGAGAGAGAGAGAGAGATAGAGAGAGAGAGAGGGAGAGAGAGAGAGAGGGAGAGAGGGAAAGTAAAGAAAAGGCTATGAGGGGGGAAAGCGATTGAGATAAGGAGATGTAATTGGATGTAAGTAAGTGATCACTAGTAAGTCTCAAAATAAAAAAGTTGAATACTGAAAGATAGATAGATAGATAGATAAAGAGAGAGAGAAAGAGGGGAGGACACTGAATAAAGAGGAAATTATGAGAGTGTGAGAGAGTAAGAGAGAGTTGAAGAGGAAGAGGTAAGGAGGGAAAGAGAGAGAGAGAAAGTTGTAATCGAACAATCATCGAAAGATGTTCTATTCTGATTATCAAAATTAAAGCAAGGCTAGTTGATATACTGTCAGAAAGCCATGCATTGAAAGGGACCACATGCAGCCTAACCGCTCATGATAGTGATCTCCTGCGTTCTAAATTACCTCTCTAATTTATTGAAAATATTTCATATTTCTATCTTATTGTATGCTTCGTACATGTTTATCGTATGATATCATTGTACATGATTTTCCATTTAATTACTTTTGTAAACATTTTATTCATTGCATTTGTTATTGTTCAAATGTTTGTACTTTGAATTTGAATTTGTATATTTTTGAACGCAGAAATAAAATCAATCAAACAAACAAAATTTAACTTTGTTTTCCTTCAATATTTTTTTCTTCAGATTTACCAGGCAGCCTATCCCGTGACTTTGGATGGAACCTTCTTAGAAGATACCCCAACAAATCTCTACAAGATGGGAGATTTTGCCAACATACCAATCATGATGGGATTCAATAAAGATGAAGGAACGTTGTACATTTTACAAGTTCTTCCCGAGTCCTTCGGTAGTCCGCTACCACCCTATATCAATCGCACTTCCTTTGAAAATTTCATCCGATATGTCATGATTGCCTATGACCGCAACGACGAGATCGTCAATGATGCCGTGTTCCAGGAGTACATTGACTGGACAATGGCGGATGATAGTGCTGCTGATTACTTCCAATCCATGGTTGATTTCGGCGGTGATTTCGACTTCGTCTGTACATCAGATATGGTAATGAGGATGCATACACAAGCCGGTGGTACTGTCTACAAATATTACATGACACATCGTCCTTCTGAGTAAGACATTAGTAATAGAGTGGGTGCGTGTGTGTGTGGGTGTATGTGCGTGTGTGTGTGCGTGCGTGCGTGCGTGCGTGCGTGCGTAAGGGGTCGCTTTGCCATTTTGAAAAGCAAGTTTGCCCAACAATTTCCAATTTCCAAACATGATTGCAACTAATATATAACTTTACTTTCGAAAAATCAACCTAAGTCAATTAAAAAAAACAGTGCGCCACCTATTGAAATACGCGAACGTTAGAATGACCCATACAATATGTAAAGGTGTCGTGGATGTGGATCACAAGGTCCGCGGTTCAAGACCCACCGCAGTACTATATAATGTCCTTTGGCAAAACATTGATCTACATTTGCCACTCTCCACCTAGGTGTTAAAGCTTATCTGCCATAGTTTACAGGAGGGATTAGACCGCTCTGCAAGGTCACTGGACATGTGGTTATCTCATCAACTCAGCTCTCAGTTAACATAAGAAAAAGAGGATCATGGGGGACCAATGGTCACCGATTCTGCATGGTTTGTTATATAGAGGGCGCAAGTAGCTACCAGTAGTGCAGTGGGCCTTTAAATGGGTACCCGGTAGGATGCGAAAGTCAATGTGCTTAGATTAGCAAGTGTGCGCCTGTAAAAATGACGCCTGGCTGGAATGCTCCACAGGGAGTGGAGAATGTGCAGGCAAGCCTTCGATCCTGAAAAGTGCTTTATAAGAACTAGCTATTATTATTATTGAATTTGCACTAAGTTGATTCTTTAAAAGTGGTTGCGATCATGTTAAAAGTAAACAGTAGAAATTATCGACAGATGTTTTTTTGGATAGGGGAAATCATATCTTACCCCACCCCTTCTAGTAGCCACGCCCTGTGGGGGGGGGGGGGGGGTGATCACCCCTTCCATGCCCTGCTTCCTTCTCGTAGTGATATAAGTACTCAGTTTCGCGGTCAGCTGATGCCAACCAAATAGAAACAAAATCGTCTATTAAAGGGAGGCTTTACTACTTCAGCCAGAAGGGATTAGACCACACAGCGAGCCATCGAGGTCACTGTGACAGGTGGCTATCTCATTAACTCAGCTCTCATTTAACATAAGAAAAAGAGGATCATGGGGGACCAACAGGCACCGATTGGGGAAGTTTTCTATATAGAGGGAGCAAGTAGCTACAAGTAGGACAGTGTGCCTTTAAAGCTTATCAACACTAGTGTGGCTAGGAGGGATTATACCACACAGCGAGGACACTGACAAGTGGCTATCTCATCAACTCAGCTCTCAACTAACATAAGAAAAAGAGGATCATGGGGGACCAACAGGCACCGATTGGGGAAGTTTTCTATATAGAGGGAGCAAGTAGCTACAAGTAGGACAGTGTGCCTTTAAAGCTTATCAACACTAGTGTGGCTAGGAGGGATTAGACCACACAGCGAGGACACTGACAAGTGGCTATCTCATCAACTTAGCTCTCAACTAACATACGAAATAGAGGATCATGGGGGACCAACAGGCACCGATTGGGGAAGTTTTCTATATAGAGGGAACAAGTAGCTACAAGTAGGACAGTGGGTCATATATATTTTTTTTTCTTCAAACTTTTCTGTTTTAATTATTCCTTTTCCTTCTACATTAATTGTAACCCTAAACTGAATGTGTTTTTAATTTTTGGTAAATGAATATAGATCATTTGAATTAGTATACATTATAAATTATGAACTACCCATGCATTATTTTGTAACCTATCTTTATTCATCTTTTATTATGTATACTTGTAAGGCCTATTTATTTAAATGATAATCTAAATCTATTTCAAAAATTTGATTTATATTTCGATATGATTTCTCCCCAATTTTTCAGGAGTCTTTTCAAGTATGGTGATGTAGTTCCCAGTATTCCTTGGCTTGGTGCTGGGCATGGGGAGGAGTTGACCTTTGTCTGGGGTCATCCATTCATTGAAGAACTGAAAGATATCCATGGACATAACTTGACGGACGAAGAAAAAGCTTTCTCTGTAAAGCTCATGAAATTCTGGACAAACTTTGCCAAATCAGGGTAAGGTCATAAGATAAAAGGGTTTTGAAATTGCCCTTGAGCTGATTTTTCGAAAGCCTTTTCGATATTTTTTACGGCCAAATCGAAATTGCTCATGCGGCGACACTATTTTGCTGCGGGCTCTATTTTGGTTATAGCGTTGCAAGCAGGTTCTAGGGTAAGTACAGGGTATAGGGTGAGGCAAAGATTTTCGTAAAGGGTTCAAAGGAGGATTTCGGGTAGTGTAGGTTACAGCAAATCCCGCCCCCCCCCCACTCAGTGTTATTTAGGGTACGCATATGCTCGTTCCCTCTTTTTGAAAGCACCCCCTATCTGAGGACTGCCAACATTTCCGAACCCCCCTTTCGCGGGCTTCTCGTGGGCTTTTCCTGCCTTGGAGACACCCCTAAATCAGGAAAAATGCTCAATGTACCCCCCCCCCCTAAATTCGGAATAACTTCTCAGGAGTCCAAAGAGATGAGAGAAAAAAAGGAAAAACATCCCCTTTTTAAAGAAATCTCCGGGTGAAAAGTCAAATACACCCCTTTTTTTTACAATTCTCGGGCCGGACTTTGTCGCGCGAAAAGTACCCCTTTACCGGACATTATGGCAACAAGCATGGGGTCATTCCGACCCCTGAGTGGGGGGGGGGGGGGGGGGGGGGGCGGGCAGCAAATTGTGTACGGTTTGTAAGATTTCGCTATATTCAGCTGACATTCTTACCATTGACATTGCTTCTGTAGAAGTCCCAGCAAGTCAAGTATGGACGAAGAACCTGGAGAAGGAGAGGATTTCTGGCCTCTGTATACGATCCCTGAGCTCAACCACAAGGAACTAGCCCTGCAGCTAGGCGAAGGCAGAGCTGTAAGAGCCCGACAGTGCCATTTCTGGAACGAATACGTGACAGCACTTCAAGCGTTCTCAAGTAAGACTTAAGAAATTAGGTTTTTCTAAATCTGACAATTACATAATATAATAATAATAATATTTAATTTTTTATATAGCGCTTAATACAAATGTCTCTAAGCGCTTTACAAATATACTATTACCCCGGTCATTGGATTCAGTGCTTGCCTGCCCGCACACATTGTTTGCACAATAATATGACGTGTCGTAAAGTGTTTAATGCATAACATACATTCATTAATTTAAGGGATTATGTTCCTGAATTGCATTTATTGCGATATTGTTTGTAGCCGTGGTGTATCAAAATAATATTCAGAAATAAAAACTTGACCTCATTTTTTCAGTTGACTAATCCCGGGCTTCGTTGGCCTAACTTCCACACACCAGAGATTTGCTTGTTTCATCATTTAAAAAGCAATTTTATTTTCAAGAAATGATCAAAAGATATGGTGTTGACCAATCGTCTTCCCATTTATTTTAGGACATTCATAATTATTAGGATACTCTGTAACTGGAAAAGGGATGTAATTTTATTGCCAAGACTGGGTGAAAATGTGGCAAGATGAGTACATGCAGCATACAATATCTGTTAGGGGCTACTTACATCGAATTTCGTCAACCAATCCATCCCACTAAAACGCCGACTGAAGGTATGATTTCTATCTCCAATGTGATTCTAATCATTTCAGGTTCGATTGATGAGGATGAGAAGGATTGGCGGGAGAGCTACGATGATTGGAAGGATGAGATGACGGAATGGCAACAGGCATTTGAAGAATACAAACAGCAACCAACATGCAACTAGACACATTCCCTCGCATCTTCCTTATCTCTGGGAGATATATAAATCTATATGAAATCAATAATTTCGAGAAGAAAAAAAAAACTCATAATAGAATGACTGATAAACCATTATAAGGGACTGCGTATGCTCCTCTCCTACTATTGTATACCAGAGCCTTCGCTAATATATATAGTATAGAGTCCAGTCAATGAAATATAATTTTGTATTTTTCATTAAAACCAAGACCATAAACCAAATTGTGTAATCGTGTATCAAAGCCAAATTAAGCGTCTAACATAAACTTCAAACTAACATTTTAATTTCCATTGATTAAATATTCTTAAAGGGAAATCCAACCTTCATATTAGAACTATTAACAATTAGAAAAGTAAACACTTACTGTGAAATTTTGAATGAAATCGGACCAAAAATGAGAAAGCTATGAATTCAATTTGGCTGAATCAGTATTGTCTTGTGTTGAAATGGTGGTTAACTTTTCCATTTGTACCAACACATAAAATGACTAAAATTTTGAAAAACTGTATGACTTAGGAGGATCTATTCTCTTTAAATGACCTATAATGATATGCTATGCTATCCACAATGTATTTTGAGTAATGCCCCAAGGGAGAAGGTACTAAGGTGAAAACCAGAAATTAATGATATTTTTATACACGACAAATGGGAGAAATGTCCGCGACTACGTCACAATCCACTGACCAAACTGTCAATTTTAGATTTGCATAGACTAAACGATCTCATATTTCAAGTATTCATAACTCTCTCATTATTGATGGTCAGATTTTGTTCAGACTTTCACCATTCTGTGTAGGCCTATCTTATTTTTCTACTTTCATACAAAATAATGAACTTAAAGGAAACCAAAACCTTCATACTAAGTTATTTTATTGTAAAGTTTAAGATATTTGAAAAATATCAGTGAAAATTTGAACAAAATCGGGCAAGGAATAAGGAAGTAAGAGGTTGGTTGGTTCTTCGTTTAGATGGCGCTCTTCAATCTCAAAGATTATTTGCGCCAGTCAATTTCGTGTATAGCTTTGGCGTGGGCTTCGGAAATCAAGCCCACGAGCGACTTTCCTTGGTGAAATGAAATTAATAGTGATATGGTTTAAAAAAAAAAAAAAAAAAAAAAAAAAAAAAAAGCTGCAATATTAAAATTGCATAAAAATGCACATAAAAGGCGAGATGGGAATTAGTTGCAATTGTTCATGGAAAAACCGCAAATACTTCATTTTATATATTATTACAGGATCGACATAAGTTAAGGGGATCCCTGATAGCTTTAAAAGCTATCTAAAACGATTAGTATCGTATATGTAACCCAATAATTCACGAGTAAAAATTGGGTTAGACGTCAATAATTGTTTCAGATTGGGGTTGTTCAATTTAATCCTTTCTTTTAAGAGACGTCTATCTTTGTCGTATTTTTTACAATAGAAAATAAAATGTTTAATTGTTTCATCTTCTTGACAAACTTCACAAAGACCAGTATCGTGTTGGTTAATTTGAAAAAGGTAATAATTTAAACTACAGTTACCTACTCTTAGTTGTTGTATCAAGCATTCTTCTCTGCGAGATAGGCCTTGTCTATGTATGGGCTTTGAAACGTCGCTATGCAAAGCATATAAAAATCTACCGTGTTCTGCATTGTCCCATTCTGCTTGCCATAATTTGTTATAATGGATCAAACGAGAGGCTGCCAATTCACTTCTTGTATTTGGTATAACTATGTCTATACACCTTTTCATGGCTCCTTTTTTGGCAGCCCGATCTACGATCTCATTGCCCCTAATATCGCAATGTGACGGAATCCATTCAAAAGCAACACAAACATCCTTAAACTGCAAAATATTAATTATGGATAAAATTTCATTTACAATAGCACATCTAATAAAGTATGAATCGATCATTTGTAAAGCTGACAAAGCGTCGCTAAAAATTACCACCGAAGAGGATTCAATAAATGTATTAATCCACTCTAGTGCCATTAGTATGGCCACTAGTTCTGCTCTCATAATACAGACATGGGATAATCTAAAAAATTTCACCACATTATAATGAGACACATAAAATGCGGCTCCTGTCTTCCCATCCTCGAGTTTAGAACCATCTGTATATATATGTAAAAACCCATTCCATGAATTTCCAATGCTATCTAGAACAATCGATTTTATTTCAAATGGAGGCATTTCCTTTTTTTGCACTTTGCCATGGTGTTCGAAAGACACTTGTGGTCGTGCTAACCGCCATTCTGGGATTTTCGGCAATAAGTTGGTTTGCCCTTCCACCACTACTTCGTCTCTAAAGGATCGCAGTTTAAAAGGTCCTTCTCCTATCTTCCATTCTAAGTTATTTAAATCATAGTCATCACCCAATACTTCTTTTGTTGGGTGGTTTAAAATGATTAGTCACTAGAGGGCGGTATTCAATTTGATGACATCATCTGTGGACAACTCTCCATGCCTTTTGTACGTCAAATGTCATGTTTTTCCTTCTTTCTTGTGATTGAGATAATGTACTCCCCCGAAAGCAAGATATAGAATGCAAAAAGATATTCTACTTCACATGTTATAAAGTCGGATCAAGAACACAAATAAATACGAAGAAAACAAAAAAATTGTGAAATTTTATGTACAAAAGGCATAGAGAGTTGTTTACAGATGACGTCATCAAATTGAATACCGCCCTCTAGTGACTAGTCATTTCAAAAAGCTCTTACTTCCTTATTCCTTGCCCGATTTTGTTCAAATTTTCACTGATATTTTTCAAATATCTTAAACTTTACAATAAAAGTAACTTAGTATGAAGGTTTTGGTTTCCTCTAATACAAGGGTTGGATTGCCCTTTAAAACATGGTCTGTTGATATCGAGATTTTACTAATCTTCAGTGTAGCTTAACAACTGTATTGATGGCGATTTTTATAAACTGATAAGGTTCCTATTGCATGTCAAAGGTGCTAAACAAATCTCATACTCTTATGAAAATATAAATCCTCTGTTTTGAATGTGATAAAATTTAGGTATGTCGAGTAAACGTGAGAATATCAAAATATTATTGAAGGAAAATTGCATATGAGGATCGATCTGTACATGTATATTCATTTTAGGGACGGATCCAGGAATTTCTTGCTGGGGGGGGGGGGGCACACGGTGGGAAAGAGAACATATATATATATATATATATATATATATATTTTGGTCACCAAAAAATCGCAACGGCTCAGCCAGCGGCTGAATAATCGGGGGGGGGGGGGGGGGGGGGGGGCAAGGTCACTTTTTTGGCAAGGCATTAGCTTTTTTTTTCTTTTTTTTTCAATAAAATTTTTAATAATTTTTTTGGGGGCCGGTGGGGGGGGGGGCACGTGCCCCCTGTGCCCCCCTGGATCCGCCACTGCATTTTCATTTACACAGAAGTCTGATGGTCGAAACATGACGACTTTCAAATGTACGCGAGAAAGAAGGAGAGGGAGAGAGGTGGAGAGAGAGAAAGAGAGAGAGAGGAGAGGGGGCAGGTGAAAGGAGGCAAGGAAGGTTGTCGGAGAAAAGCAAGAGAGTTTTGATGTGTTTTTTGTTTAGTGCCATGTGATTGTGTTGCTTCTGTAAACTCTATTTTTTTTTAAATTTGCCTTGGGAATCAATATAATTCTAAGGGCATATTGGAACTTTCGAGATGGGAAAACAAAGAAGATCATTGACAATTTTCATTTTTGGCAAAAGAGGCGAAACAGAAAATATTTCTTTTAGAACCATAACAATGCACTTAATTCCCCGATATAAACAATTTCACCCAAACCCTGACACTCAACAACCAGTAGTGTGAATCTCCAAGCCCCCGCCCGCCTGCCCCAATGGTAGTCTTCTAGAACTGCTCCTGTCAACACTGCGTATTGCTTTCAATATGTGTATTTCCATGACTCAAAATTTATCATAGATATGTCTTACTTTTTCTCTTACAATTCCTTTGTCGAGGCATTTCTATTGAAAGTAGACGTTACACCATTACAAATTGCTGGATTTACGTTATAATTTTTATTTTATCGAACAGTAGATTTTTGTTTTCTTACTTGGTCCCTGTATGTCTAAAACTTCTTCTTTTTTTAAGCAGAAGTATATATTTCACTCTGATTCAATAATACCTACATGTATGTCAATGCTTATTTCCTTAATATCAAACAGAAATATTTGACCCTACTTTGATAATACTTTTGTTGATTTATTTCTGTTAATTTCCATCATATTATATAGATTTACTGTGATTTTTTTTACATTCCAGAAATGATAATACTTCTGTAACTTGACATCTAACTTAGATGTTTTTCACTGTGATGTGTTAATACTTGTGTGGGTGTATACTGCATTAATTTATTTAATTCCTATTTTCCAATAGATTTGGTTTGCCCCCGTTGGGAGGGGGAGACGTTCCCACTGCCCCCCCCCTCCCCTCTACCACCAGTATCATCGCCTGACTCCGTCTCTGTGAATTACGTTACATAATTAATCACCTAATGTGATTTGATAATCTTCCTCGCTGACTTCATCTCTCAATCAGGGGGACGTTTCATAAAGCCTTTTTTCAATGACAAATAACAAAAATCAGTGACAAATCTGCTGATAACCAATCAGAAGCAAGGATTTCAGTATCTTATAACACAAATTGTCATTTGCAACAGATGACAAGTTTTGTGAAACGCCCCCCCCCCTCGCAGATCAAAAAATTTAAAGCTGTTAATCGAATAATACTGATTTTATTAGTGTAAAATGAATATCTCTTTAGTTTTAAGTAGGTCCACAGCTAGTCAATCTTGATTCCAATGACATTATCAATTGCAAGTTGTACATTACATCTCCAGAAAAGCTCTCTCCGATTTAAGATGTTTTAGGCCCCCCCCCCCCCCCCAATCCGGAGGGATACCATGCGTGTTCACAAACTCTCCCGCTCGTAACTAAAGAAAACGGTCTACCCGTATTGACTTTACACACCGGACTTTTGCTGAAAGAGGGGGGGGGGGGATGCTGAAAAAGGCTCGTATATCAAAAGAAAAAGGTCGACCCGTATTGACTTTACACACCGGAATTTTTGTTGAAAAAAGGGGGGGGGGTCGCTGGGAACACGCATATGCGTACCCTACATAACACTGAGTGGGGGGGGGGGGGGGGCGGGGTTTTAGGGCGAGTTAAGAGTTCTGTGAATCGTGTGCCCAAGGGGCAAAGCAGTCCTTCTTGTACACTGGTGTGATAATATACTCTTCAAGTTGTCGGGGAAGTTCTAAAGCCTTGCAGACGTCCTGGCTAATCCGATACGGCCTGAGAGCTCTCCTTACAGATTGGCGACATAGGTACGCAAGTGATCGGGGCGTCCTGGCAAGACGATGCAACCAACAACTCAAGTCGAACGCTTCGGGAAGAGTCAACAGTCTCGGGAGTCGGCCATCCTTGTCTGTGATCCTGATGTAAGTCGTATGGTCCATGAGTAGACAGAAACCGGCCGAATGACGGATGTTCTTTCCCAAGTCAGGAAGCCTGATGCGTTGGAAACGAGACGGCCGCAGGACAGGCTGATGTTGCTGTTCGACAACGTTGCTGTTAAGATACATGAACAGCGCCGACTTGCCCTGTGTGTTTGTAAGATCCGGGTCGGCACCTCGACCTAGAAGGCGAGTTATGATATCGGTCTGGGTACAGATACTGACGGCTAAGTGAAGTGCAGTATTCATCTCGTTATCGGGTTGGTTGACGTCATCCACAACAGGGAGAAGAAGCTTGATGCACCCAAGACCCGAATGAGCATAGTTCTTGGATGCGATGTGCAGGGGTGTTTCTCCTCGGGCGTTCCCTAGTATCGGATTCCCGCCATGATCAAGAAGTGCCGTCAGGGTCTCCGCGTGGCAGAACATAGCACAGACGTGAAGCGGGGAATTCCCATTGATGTCCCTTGCATCTGCTTCCGCACCGAACCCTACCAGAACGGTTACGCAAGATGGGATGTTATAGAAGGCCACTAGATGCAGGGGTGTCTGTCCTGACCCATCCGAGCAGTTTATATCCGCACCGCCTCTCACCAACGTTTCCACGCAGCCGACCGTCACGTCGAAATCCTGGGGTCGACTCGAACAAGGACTCGAGTGGGACACATTCGAGTGTATCCGGTTCATGAGGCAGTGCATGGCGGTACGACCGAAAGTGTCTTTGAGATTCAGGTCCAGACATGAACAGAGCAGCATCTGCAGGACAGGACTGTCCAGTGATACATTTCTTGACAGGAACATGGTGTGAAGGGGAAGCTGGTTTGAAGTGTATTTACCTCTGCTGTCAGGGACGAGGATTGCATTCCAGTTGATATTTTGCTGAAGGTGTGATATAATAGGATGTGGAAGACTCTTAATTCGGTATTCTTCAAACAGGCCGGATAGCCCCTTCAGTAGTTAAGGTACAGTTGTACCCAATATACTTAAGGGTTTTTTAAATATCTGTTTATATAGGCCTTACTTTTTTAGAGATCCGATACATTGACAAATTATTCACAAAGAAATCGTAACTCTTGATTTTTATTTCACAATAACTGTCAAAATGGTCAGGGATATCAATGACACTTTAATATTACTGGGGTAAAAATGTTCCTTCTGAGAACAGTCTGCAACTTACTGAAAGAAAGTATCTGCAAAATTCAACATCTCCACTTTCGATCGCCTGGCACAGCTTCTCACTCGTTTGGGTCACGTCAGGAAAAGCTTGTGTCAGCCGATGGTTACCGATGTAAAGGCCACTTGGATGGTGATGACGCTGATCAGGGTATCCGGTCCTACAGGGTGCGTCCATAGGACATTGTCGATGACTCTCAGAGATGATACTGAAGGGGTTCCGCTGCGAGTGGCATTGGTCCGACTCCACATCATCTGTTGTGAAAGATAAATATATTTAGTGTACTGATTCTGCAGCTTCGTAAGAGGGGGCGCAGATCACAATAGCGCAGATAAAGACGGGAAAACAGAAGAGAGAATGGTCCTTCTATACATTGAAAATTGCATTCCGAGAAAGGTATCAACCTGTTTGGAATCTCATTGGGCGACCAAGATTGTCAGAAGGTGTGTGTTAGTGGGGGGGGGGGGGGGGGGGGAGTCTGGAACTAGATCCATAACTGGATAAAAGTTTGATTTAATTAAAGATCTATTCAATGGATTAAAGTTTAATTTAAATCATCCTTCCATGTCACTTCTTTAGGGCCTACCGTTCTTTGAAGCGGCCTCGCTCATCGCTCTACAGCTGCACATTAAACTCTTCGTCGCATCTTCTTTTATGAAGTTAGAAAATATCCGCAGATGAAAATCATGAAGAGTATGAAAAGAATATCATTTTTGATCAATATAAATTTACTGGCGCCAAAAAATGCATGAGTTTCATTGCGCCTAGCTAGCTTTGCATTCCCAAAGTGCGCATTGTGGCTACCTGCGCGCTGTCTTGTCCAGGTCAACAGAGAAATTTAATGCATTATATTGATGCGGAAAGAATTATTCTTTGAAAGACTACCTTAAGAGCAGAGCTAGAGGCGGCGCCCCCCACTCACTTGTTCATGCATGTACCCCAATAGTGCCCCTATTACTATGTTAAAGCACCCTTCCCTTTTCACCTCTGATAAGTGCCCCTTTTATTTTGACACGTACCCTTTTTGCTTCGACAAGTTCCCATTTTCCTTTGCAATAAGATTCCATTTTCCACCTCATAAATTCTCTTTTTAATGTCTAGTAAGTGCTCCTTTTCACTTGTAATGAGTGCCCCCTTCACCTCTGATAAATTCTCTACTCAAATCTGAGAGGTGCCCCTTTTGCTAATGATAAGTGCTTCATTTAAAAAAGAGCCCCTTCCCTTTTTCATATATGCCCCTATTTACCTATGGAAAGTTTCACTTTTTTTGGGGGGGGGGGGGTAGCCCCGGAAATTGGAAAATTACGTTTGTTCAGTGGAACTTACTCCTCCTTTTAGTCATTATTATCAATCATTTGCAAATCCTGAATCCCAAGACAAAAAAATAATTTAAACACAGGATGAAATTAACTAGGAGAATGTTCAGAATGTGCCGCTGTATGTAGATTTGTAATCAAAGTTCGCTGAACGAAAAAAATTCTGTCTGAACCCCCCTCCCCTCATTTGAAGAATCCCTCATCAGGCAATGTATAACGTCATTTTGGTGAAGGTCAAATAATTGAATAAATGTATTTTAGAGCGAGAGACACAATAAAAGTGTATGGACTATCATAAATCTTTAAAACAGATATCTCTTTAGTACGGATGGGGTTCGAACCCATGCGGACATTACGTCCATTGGAACTTAAGTCCAACGCCTTAACCACTCGGCCACCATACTGGATATATGTGACAAAATGTAGATAATGTAGTGAAGGTCAAATTTGAATAATTTATTTGAGAGCGAGAGACACAATAAAAGTGTATGTTATCACAAATCTTTAAAAAGATATCTTTTTAGTACGGATGGGGTTCGAACCCATGCGGACATTACGTCCATTGGAACTTAAGTCCAACGCCTTAACCACTCGGCCACCATACTGGATATATGTGACAAAATGTAGATAATGTAGTGAAGGTCAAATTTGAATAATTTATTTGAGAGCGAGAGACACAATAAAAGTGTATGTTATCACAAATCTTTAAAAAGATATCTTTTTAGTACGGATGGGGTTCGAACCCATGCGGACATTACGTCCATTGGAACTTAAGTCCAACGCCTTAACCACTCGGCCACCGTACTGGATATATGTGACAAAATGTAGATAATGAAGTCAAAATTTATTTTAAAAAAGGATTTGCCGTTGTATGTAGAACAGGTGTCACATGCATATTCACCTTTTTACATAATAGCAGTGAAGGGATGTTCCTTTGTCTACCTGAGGAACTGTATATTTTGTCCGCTTTCATTGTCAGTCATATTCATAGTGTGTAGCTAGCCTCGCATTTATCTTTCAATTTGACGTCATACCCCCCGACAACTACCCCCAGACAACGACCCCTAGTTGTCGGGGGGGGGGGGTAGTTGTCCTAGAGGATGGTTGTCATAGGGGGTAGTTGAATGGTGGTAGTTGTCCGGGGTGGATGTCTAGGGGGTAGGTGTCCTAGAACCCGAATTTTTCTCGGCAAATACGCAATAATAATAATTAATAATTACAGTGCTTATATAGCGCCTAACACTTACTTTGTCAGAAGTCTCTAAGCGCTCTACAATAATGCAGCATAATTACCCTGGCTTTAGCAGTGCAGCTGTTACGCGCGCTGCGTTTCAAGGAATAAATTCCAACCAGGTACCCATTTACTTCACCTGGGTGCGCCACTAGTTTTCCTGTCGGCAGAAAAAGGAAAGAGAAAATAGGAAGGGGATCGATGAGTGAAGTGAAATTCAGTATATTCATCTCGTTATCGGGTTGGTTGACGTCATCCACAGCAGGGAGAAGGAGCTTGATGCACCCAAGACCCGAATCAACATAGATCTTGGATGCGATTTGCTTAATTACTTTGATGTTGAAGCAGGGGCGGCCGAGCGACTTTCAAAGTGGGGGGGGGGGCACCAACAAAAAAGGGCACTTTCTGGAAAAAAAGGGCACCTACAGTGGAAAATCTCAAAGCGAAAATATACAATTTTTATTTTTTTACAATGTATATACCCCTACATTGTGATTACATTATCAGGGATGATTTCAATATTTGTTTCTCTTCATACATCATACAAGATATCGCTTAAGCATCAAACTTTACAGTTGGGTGTGATGTCTGAATATGCATTTACGAGCGAGCGAAGCGAGCGAGAAAATTTTTAAAGATCTGTGAGGTCGCAGTGCGAAAAATTACATCTTATAAAGAGGAAAAAAGCTAATCGTGATGGGGTTATAAGCACATTCTCATAACGGAAGACTGAAAAGACCTTTGATAAGTAACATAATTATATAATCTTTAAATGTGAGCGAGCGCAGCGAGCGAACTTTGGGGGAAACTGCTCTTAGCCGCTTTAAATAAGGGGCACGTTTAATGATTACATGAAAAGGGGACAATTATCGAAAGGGATAAGACACTTATTAGAAAAGAAAAGGAGCACGTGTATAAGTACAAAGGATAATTATAAGAGGTGAAAATGAGGCATTTTTTCACTTGAAAAGAGGCACTCACCAGTGATGAAAAGGAGGCGTTTACGAAAATGGGAAATAGGCATTTGTTGACGGAAAAGGGGCACGTATCATTATTAAAAGGGGAATTATCAGAGTTGCAAAGGGGCACTGACCAGATATGAAAAGGGGCACTTATGAAAATGTAAAAGGGGCACTTATAATAAAGGAAAATGTGCATTTGTTGAATGAAAAGGGGGCACCGTTCAGATGTTTAAAAGGGGCAGTTATGAGAAGGGGAAGGGGAAGTTATGAGAAGGGGAAGGAGCTCTCTCTTTTTAATGGGGGCACTTATCATAAGGAAAAGGGGCACTTATTAGAAAATAAGAGGGGCACATGTTAAAATGAAAGGTGCGCTCATCCGAGTTTAAAAAAGGGGTAGTTATTAAAAAGAGAAGGGGCACTTCTTACAAAGGAAAAAAGGAGAAGTTGTCAAAGTAAAAAGAGCACCTCTCAGTTTTGAATAGGGCAATCATCAGAGGTGAAGGGGCCACTTATTAAAAGTGAAAAGGGGCACTTATCGTACCTGAAAAGAGGCACTTAGTAGAGATTAAAAAGGGCACTTATTCAAGATAATTTCAAGATTCATAAGAATGGAAAATGAACATTTATTGCAAAGGAAAATGGGAACATGTCGAAGGAAAAGGGGCACGTGTCAAAAATAAAAAGGGAACTCGTCAGAGGTGAAAAGGGGAAAGGGGCACTTTTACTAAGTAATAGGGGCACTTGTCAAAGTAAAAGGGGCACCTTTCCTATGTAAAAGGGGCACTTCTTACAAAATAAAAGGGGCACTTTTCCTATGTAAAAAGGGGCATTTTGGGGGGTATCTGAAAAAGTGGGGGGGGGGCACTTTGCCCCCCCCCCCTGCCCCCCCGGGAGGGCCGCCTCTGTGTTGAAGCGTAAAGATAAACTTATTTAAACTTATAAACCACTCGGCCACCGTACTGGATATATGTGACAAAATGTAGATAATGAACTCGAAATTTATTTTTAAAAAGGACTTCAACGGATGTAGGTAGCCACGCATTTACCTTTCAATTTGACGTCATAGAAATGAATAAGCACATAAAAGCAAAATACGTAGTCTTGGTTCGACGGCTCTAGAGCAACTGCTGTGAAAGTTAAATGGTATTCAGTGCACTGATTCTGCAGCTTCGTAAGAGGGGGTGCAGATACAGATTGGAAAAAAGAAGAGAGAATGGCCCCTCTTTATCTAAAATTGTGCCTTTGTGTTAGCGAATAACGCTAAAATTCGTTGAGATTTTACATAATATGACTCAATAATAAATTTACATTCCAAGTAGTGTATCAACGTGTTTGGAATCTCATTGGGCGACCAAGATTGCCAGAAGGTGTGGGGAAGAACACATGTTTCTTTTTTTTTTGGAGGATGGCCACCCTAAAGATTTTTGGAGATATGTGAAATCAAGAAGAACTGATAACACTGGAGTTCAGCCGCTGAAAGCTAACAACAAGCTGTTCACGAATGACAAGGATAAAGCCGAAGCCCTTGCAAGCCAATTCCAGGGTGTCTTCACACGTGAGGATGTATCTCCGTCGTCGTTCCCATATCTTCCTCCAAGTACATTCCCTGACATGCCGCCCATCACAGTTGACGTTGAAGGTGTCACAAAACTTCTTCTCAATATAAACACAGCCAAAGCAATTGGACCAGACCAAATCCAAAGTCAAGCTTTAAAGATCGCAGCAGAGGAGATTGCTCCCATACTACTACAGTTTATACTTCAGCAGTCATTGGACACCGGAGATCTCCCCCTAGATTGGAGAAAGGCGAATATCACCCCGCTGTTTAAGAAGGGTGCTACTACTGACCCTGCAAACTACGCTGGAATAGCCAGACTCATTACGCAACCGGCAAAGCCTCAAGGGTCCTTAACTTCCTAAGGCGCAACTTCCATCACTGCTCATTATGTTAAAGAAAAGTTGGTATCTTACTCTTGTATACGTCCACACCTTGACTACGCCACTGCAGCATGGGACCCTTATACAGCCAAAAACACCTATGCTGTCGAGAAAGTTCAACGTCAGGCTGCACGTTTTGTCACCAATAATTACGGATGGGACACCAGTGTTACCAAGCTACTCAACCAACTCAACTGGGGATCTCTTAAAGACAGACAGAAAGGAAGCACACCGTCTTACCTGCCTCTTCAAAATGAACAACTCGACATCGACTACCAATCTCACACCAACCCTAAGCCAGACATACGTAGACGAGGTCACTCCAACCAATTTGAAATTCGCCACACCAACTCGGACGTCTATGTCAACTCATATTTCCCAAGGACTGTAAAGACATGGAACAACCTACAACAAGCAACCATCGACCAAACCTCCCCGCTCTCATTTAAAAATGCAGTTACTAAAGAACTTTTTTCCAAAATGTAATTGTCCACCCTCCACCACCTCCAGTCAAAACTCTTCCTCGGAGTATTTAGGAGGAAAAGAATCCAAGATCCAAGAAGGGTGGGGGTCTGTGTAGATCCAATAAATGGATTACATTTTGATTGGAATTATCCTTCCTTCACGTCTTAAGGGCCTACCCCGGGGGCCTACCGTTCTTTATAGCGGCCTCGTTCATCGTTCTACTGCTGCACATCGATTTACCACATCGTCACATGCCTATCTTCTTTCATAAAATAAAAAAATATGCACTGATGAAAATCATGAGGGGTACGAGTATGAAAAGTTTATATTTTTTTTATTGATAGGGGCCTATTTTATCTGGAGCATTTTTTTTTTTTGCTCGTGCGTTGTGTGGTGAAGTGCGCTAAAAATATTTGTTTTGCGCATTTTAATATAAAGTTTAATGGCGCCTTCAATTTTGCGTTACCAATGTGCGCGTTGTGGCTAATGCGCGCTGTCTATTTTATACCACGTCTTGACATTATCAACAGAGAGAAATGCATTGATGCGGAATGAATTATTTTTCGAAAGACTATTTTAAGAATTGTATCTTATTAAAAACAAAACAGTGGTTCGTCATGTAAATTCTGGATGTAAAGGATCCCTTTTAGCAGTAACAATGACAGTGACGTGTGAAGCATCAAGATGCATCTATTATGGATGATTCTCTTCTCGTTATGTCTTCTGGCTGCCTGTGGAGCATCAGGTAGGCTATTCCGGTCGTTTTTTTCTCTCTCTCTCTCTCTCCCTCTCTTTCTGTCTCTTACTCCAATCTTTCTCTTTATTCTAAATAACAGTATTTTCTGTATGTATCGATCTCCCTCAGTTTATTGAGGTAAGAGATTCTAAGATTCAAATAATATTATCTCGAAGTCGTACAAGCAGGCGTGTGACGTTTAGGACGGGGGTTGTGTGTCAGGACACTTGACAAAATAAAGCCGTCTGGATTAAATGAAAAATATGTTTCATACAGACTATCCACCATGAGTATGTTTGTCATTGAAGATATTTCTCAACATAGATGTTCACTGGTTTCTGAAATAGTGCACGGAGATTTGTTCAATTTATTACGATGGGGGTCTTGTGTCCGGACGCTCAAAAAATTGAAGCCATCACTTTTGAATTTAGATCAGATTTAACCAAATTTATTCATGAAATAACACTGACCATCATAAATATTTATCCTTTGTAAAACTGTCTAACATTAGTATTACAAGATTTATAAAATAGTGCATGTAAATTTCTTCAAATTTCTGTTTTAAATCAACTACATGTATCCGCATATAATATGTCCGGCCACAACATGACAGCCCAAAACAGGTCGAATGTATGATTTGTTTTCTTCTTCTTGTGTTGTTGGGTTTTGACATTTTGCTGCGTGCTAATTAAAGTATAATTTATTTCTTGAGATATGTTAACATTTAGGTCTGTATTTTCTACTGAATGATTCCAATTTTTAGATCCTTTAGATGGTTCAGTCGATAAAGAAAATGTAGGACGGAGAGGGGTTCGACCTCGCCCTGGTAGCCGGCGGGGTCAACAGATTGACGAACGAGTGATCAGTGATGATGACGCCGACATCGTTGATGACAAAACACCAGGAGATCAAATTAACTCCTATGACGGCGATTCAAGAAAATCTCGAACCAAGTCAGGCAGTGCCAGAGACGGTGAAGATGCGGATAAAACCGGTAGGAGCCGGGTAAGAGTTCTCAGCGCTGGTTTCAGGCGGACAGGCGATTCTAGTCTGAGACCACTTCATGATCCGACACTCACAGACGATGACTTAAATCGAATTGACGATCATAATATCGAAAATGAGCTCAATGCTCTTACTGAGGGGCTCGGTCAAAAACATGACGTTAGTGATAACTATGAAGGCTTGGGGTTCGGAGACACAGAGCATGACAGAGTGGACACCAATTATCGCGATATTTTCACTACTGATGCCATGGACACAGACACCCATATGCATGTTGGACCCCCTTGGTCAGACTGGGGGCACTGTAATGTCTCGTGTGGCGTTGGAAAGCAGTCGAGATGGAGGCGATGCAGGGAAGATGCGGAGCGGGGTGATTGTAATCGGATGACAGGCCGTCATGTCGAGTGGAGGAGATGTCTGGGTATGGAGTGTGATCAGAAGACCATTGAAGCTCTGGGAGGATGCAAAGGTAGTATGCTAACTCTAATTTAATATAGAGATTATATTCACCTCATTTTACCGCTGCAGCTTGTAATTATGATATTACTCCCTTCACCCTGACATCCATATCTCTTTCTTTGTTTACATCTTCCTTTTCTGATTCTCCTTCTTTTCTTCTTCTTTTCTCTATTCTCTGCCATCCTCCTCCTTTCTCCCTCTCTCCCTATACCCTTTCTTTCTTTCTCTAACCATCCTTCTTTCCCCCCCCCTCTCTCTCTCTCTCTCTCTCTCTCTCACTATCTTCCACCCTCTTTTTCTTCCTTTCTGTCTCTATCTCTCACCATTCGTTCCTCCCTTAATTCTCCCCGTTTCATCTTTTCTTTTCAGTCTTCCACTTTCCCATTCCTACCTCAATCTAAAGTTCTAAACTCTCTCCCTTTTCTATTCACCGCAGACTTTCCAGATACCACCAATTCTTTGAACTTTAATGAACAGTTTTAACCATCAACCCCCCCCCCCCTCGATTTCCATCCTTAATTCCACTTGGATCCTTTTCCCAGTTATATTCATTATATATCATTTTTCTGTAATAATCTTAACTTCTATTTTAAAACGTGTAGGCCTTACCATTATTAACGTAATTGAACATGTTGAAATCATTTATTTTGTTGTTAATCTTCAAACAGATCAGCTGATGATGTCTCTGTTGATTGGTGTCTTGATCGGAGCAATAGCATCTGTGACATTGTCTGGAATCATAAGCTGTCTCTATTATTGCTATAAAAACCCAATTCAATGGTAAGAGCAAGGATAGGAGGCCGCCTACCGATTGAGAAAAAAAAACAAGCCTATGTGATGAGTAAAATTTTTTGTTTAAAGTTCAATGTCCTCCGCTTTTTGTGTATTGTGAGGGCCGACGGGATTGCCAGTGTAAAATAATTTCCGGCATAACAAAATGTTGACGTTTCTTCTTTTTTTTTTTGGGGGGGGAGCTACCACCCCCCCCCCCCATCTCTCCTCGACTGAAAGAGGTTGGCGAGGGCCTTCGGGATATCGGGATTCCTGCGAGAACATAATTACTGCGGAGAAAAAAATCTGAATCTGCATTTTTGTTGGTTTACACTGCCCTCCACCCCTCACAAACACGCGCAAGATAGATTCGAGCAAGAAATATTTCTGCGGGAAAAAACCCTCCCATTCCATTAGACTGTATGCTCCTGGAAACTAAATATTGTCGGAACTTGTCCCCCCCCCCCCTCCCCTCTAATTTGAAAAATCTCTTATCAGCCTAAGTAAATTAAAATTCAAACTTTATTGATTTCAATCCAAAGTCTAAACAGATAGGATCAATATATGTACAACGTATTTATGGCGAATGTATTTGAGAGCGAGAGACGCACAAAAAGTACTGTAATTAATCTTTAAAAAAAAAGATCTCTGTTTAGTACGGATGGGGTTCGAACCCATGCGGACATTACGTCCATTGGAACTTAAGTCCAACGCCTTAACCACTCGGCCACCGTACTGGAGGTGATCAACAGAGAGATAACGTACAGAATGAAGACAAAATGTATGAAAAGGATTTCCCATTAAAGCCGCTTTAACGGATGTAACTTTGACTTTGACGTCATAGAAATAGTAACAATACTTTGTTCTTTTATAGCGTACTTCATGTCTATTGACATCAGGGGGCGTTTCATGAAACAATAAATTAGTCGGTGGTTTTCACCGACTAATATCATTTACACCGACAATTCTATTGTCACCGACTATTTTCCAGCCCGGCTGATTGGTCAAATTTAGTCAGTGCTGACTAAATTGTCGGTGAAAATGATATTAGTCAGTGAAAACCACCGGCTAATTGTTTCATGAAACGCCCCCTGGCCTTCCCTGTAAAACCGCTTTATTCTTACTTTTCACTTGTTTCCTTATTGTTTATGTTTGCTCTCCGTTTTTGTTTTACTCATAAAGTGAAGAATATGCTCGGCCGGGTAATGAATTTTAGCTTTTTGCATGTAGCCAATTCTTTTTGTGTTGGGGGGTGGGGGGGGGGGCAATGAACAAATGCATTTAATTAAAACGTATACAAAATAACAATGTTGAAAGTGGATAGGATCATTGTAATTGTAGACCTCAGTATTTCTTTCACATTTTATGAAGTTCATCTTTAAACTTACTTTGAAGGCAAGTCTTAAATCAATTGATTTTTCTTCAATTCTAGTTCTCTGTTTTTCTCATCTTGTATTTTCCTCAGGAAATGCAGAGACCTCTGTCCCGAGTGGTGCACGAATCCTTGTGCTGGCTGTACTGACAGATGCACTGAATGCTGCCGGGAATGGTGCGATCCCTATACCGGGTGTTGCGCAGGTTGCGGCGGACCTTGCCTGTGTTGCTGGTGCCAACCATGTTGCGACCCCCACGCGCAACAGGAAAGGATGTACTACAACAAACAGATGAGGATGAACAACGCGTATCAGCATCACAACCTCGGACCGCCCGGACCCTACAAACGACCTCCAGCACCCTTGTAAGATATTGTTATAAAAAGTCTGGGTTAACTGATCCAGTGGCCGAATTTGCAGCGGCCGGCCCACTATTGATCGAGAAAGAAAGAAAGAGAGAAACAAAAGAAAAGAAAAGAAGAAAAAAACATGAAAGACGAGAAATTAGATGTAGGCCATACAAATATATTCTCACCCCTCCCTTTTATTACCTTGTGAAGGCCGACCCGGCCTGGAAATTTCGCCGCCCCCCTTCCCCTTCTAACAATCCTGGATCCGTGTCCTTGGAATACTAGTACAGCCAAAAAAGTCCTACTACAAGTTGAGACCATGGGCGGTATTCTGAAACTCGTTTTATCTCTAATTTTGTCATCTCTTTGCCATACAAAGATACAATACAACTTAAGACAAAAGTTACAAAATTGTTTAGAATACCAACTTTATCTATAACCTCAAAGATACAGTACAACAATGTACGAGATGACACAAGTTTCAGAATACCAACCCAGATGTTTTTATAATGCAGGTTCGTTTGAATGTACGTATTCACCGGCGTATACAGATTTAGTTACTGCTACAAACAAATTTGATGATAAATTTAGTCTCATTTATGGAAAATTCATGGTAAAAGTTAGTGAAAATGATGAAGACATATTATGTGTATGTGTGTATGTGTGTAATTATGCCAATAATGTGATGTCAATTTATTACTCTTCTCAAAGAAAATACATAACTTCACCAATTAATATTGCCATCTGAAACGCCCTTTTTCCTTCAAAACTCTTTGCACAGGCCTCGAGAAAGCGTGAAAAGAAAGCCTTATTATGAGGATCCTGAGTATGCTGAAATCGATCAGTTCTACCAAGACAGTCCTCGGAAGAAACACAGAGAAAAACAGAGGGAGAAACAGAAACAGAATTACGTTAAATTCACGTAAGTAAATAAATCATTCTACCCTAAGGTCGATGGATCTCTTAAGCTCCAAGATTGTTTTCTCCGAGTTGAAAATGCTTATTCTATTGCTCAAAACAGTTTTCGTCCCATTTTATTATATTAATCTGTCGCATGAGGTAAAAATTCCATTCCTAGTTTCCATTTACAATTTAAGGCGAAATACAGTGCGTCCCAGAAAAAACGAAACCGAGAAGTACCGATGTTTTTTTTATAACTTAATCACAACCATAATTAATGAATGATACATATTTGGAAAGCTGAGAGTCTCCTCTTTCAGTTGATGCTACTCACGTGATGCATATTTGACGCATGAGTGATTCAAAGCAATTTGAAGAAAGGAAACCAAAAAGTAATTTGGCGGGCGGTATCTGAATTTTAAAGAAAAATTCATATTTCTAGAAAGTTCATTTTCTGCCCTTTAATATGACACCTCAATCAGGAAAAAATGAGCAAGGAATGACAAAGTTCTGTTTGTTTAAAGTAGTGCTTGCATTTCCATAATTTTATTAAACGAAATCGTTTTCACTGGGTGCCTGCCGTAGCAAAAAGCAGATTTGACAAAAGACTTAACTCCGTTTCGTTGACAATCAGCCATGCATGAAGACTCTCGTCTACGGCTGAATGTCAACGAAACGGAGTTAAGTCTTTTGTTAATTTCGCTTATTGATACGGCAGGCACCCAGTGAAAACGAATTCGTTTAATAAAATTATGGAAATGCAAGCACTACTTTAAACAAACAGAACTTTGTCATTCCTTGCTCATTTTTTCCTGATTGAGGTGTCATATGAAAGGGCAGAAACTCAACTTTCTAGAAATGGGAATTTTTCTACGAAATTCAGATACCGCCCGCCAAATGTCTTTTTGGTTTCCTTTTTTCAAATTGATTTTAATCACTCATGCGTGACATATGCATCATCTGAGTAGCATCACATGAAAGAGGAGACTCTAAGCTTTCCAAATATGTATCATTCATTAATTATAGTTGTGATTAAGTTATGATAGAACATCGATACTTCTGGGTTTCGTTTTTTCTGGGACGCACTGTACATTGAATGAAATCTCAAACCAAACTATCATGAATGATAACCTAACCTAATGTTTTAGTACAGTCATTTCAAGAGGCCAGTATAAACGCGTGAAGAGATCAGCATATCACCTTCCAGAAATAGTGCCTCCCACAATTTCCAAAAAACAACAACATCATCCCTCCCCTCGTTGCCATGGAATCTGATAAGGAGTATATAAGCGTTAATACTTTATTATTTCAATAATTTGTAAATCATTATTGTTCTTTATCGGGTAAAATGTTTATCTCGCAGATAGTTCGTTCCAACGTAATATAAAACTTTAAACGTATTAACTAAGATCAGTCATAGATATCAGGATAATTAAAAAAAATCGTGCGACTTTAATAATTATTTAAATAACATCTGTAAATTCAACTAAATATACTTTCTCACAACTATGCGCTCTTTGTTATGCAACAGTAAGGAACCAGCAGCTCAGCAATACCACGATTCATTCGACGAGGGCGTCGGTAGACCTACTAAAAGGAAAGCCCGAGAGCAAGTGGTGGAGAATGATTACATCGATATCTTAGGCGACGAGGATGTCGAGAATGCTTACTTAGCCCCAACAATGGGAGGAGAGAGATATGAGTGAGTTTATAATGCTCCCAGTTTGCGTTTACATGTTAGCATCAATTCTAATACTTGTTTGGTTCTTGTAAAAAAATTGCATACAAATTGGATGCATTTCTTTGCGACTTCATTTTAAACCAAAATGTGAACTCACTTTAATCCTCATTTCTTTCTCTTGCTCTCTCTTTCTTTCTCCAACTTATTTAGATAATGAAGAATGATAATGTCATGAATAGTGATTGTTTGTCAAAGAGGTTTTAACTCTGTCTTATTCCTTTGCGTGGTTATAGAAATATAATGGTATTTTGTGCATGACCCCCTCTCCCCCTTTCCTCTCTACCCCTCCCCCTCTCTTTTTTCTATCTATCTCTCTCGCTCATTATCTGTTCTCTTATCTCCGTTTATGTCTTTCATTCTATGTCTCTGTCTCTTGAGCTCTTTTCCCACTTTCTCGTTTCCCTCCAGATCTGACTTTGAGCATATGTATGATCGACCACAATGAGAGAATGATCTGAGTTATCTGCCAGATTGCCTCGTCATCGAGGGATACGCTAATCACCAGTCGTACTAATCAATTCATTCATTAATATTTCGTCAGCTAGCACTGCCTCACTTTTGTATGACTAGACCAGGGACCTGTTTCACAAAGCCTTTTTTCAATGACAAATTACAAATATCAGTGACAAATCTGCTGATAACCAATCAGAAGCAAGGATTTCAGTAGCTTATAACAAAAAATGTCATTTGTCACTGACGACAAGTTTTGTGAAACGGGACCCAGGGATCAAGATCGTTTTTATTTTAGCGCTTTCCTAACCATAAGTGAGTTGCAGTGGATGTGAACAAATCATGTTGTACTTGAACATGTGTTTTTACATGCATGATATGGGCTTCTTTGTACGTAAAGAGTTGCGATTGTGGCTAAATCGCTCGTTATATACTAAACTCGAAAATGATTTAATAGCAACTCTGGGCGATTTGACACAAGTCTCGAATATCTAATACAATTAGAAGATATGGGACAGGTTTGGCTTCTTAATATCAACACTATAAAACTGGAGCAAACACATTTTGAGTTTCTTTGTCAAATCGTTTTAACTTAGAATTTTGGCAAAGTAGACTTCAGGCAGACTTTGGTAAGAGAATAGTACTTAAACTTCATTGATTTTTTTTTTCTTTAAATGTTTGACAGCCTTTGCTGTATCTGTACTACGTTAAAGCAAAGACATTGAGAGAGTCGTTAATTCAACATTTTTCTGATTCAATGATATAACAAATAATAATGATATAAATTCGGGATTGTCTTCTAAACCAAATCAATAAAGGACTCCAAATCCATAACTTATACAAGATTAAAGGACGGCTCGTCATGTCTGTATTGCAATAATCCCCAGCCATTATTTTCCTCATACAGATGCTTGTATTGTAATTTAATATCTTGGTATAAAAACAGCTTGGCAATTGATGCCATTATATGAGCAGTTGATGAAAGCATTTCTGTAAATAAAGAAATAACTGACATATTATGTAGATTCTGTTTCTTTTGTTATTTTTGCTGCTGCTGATGGTGGTGGAGATGATGGTGATGACGATGATGATGATGGATATGACGATGATGAGGAGGGTCTTGATAATGATGATGATTATGAAGATGATGGTGGTAATGAGGATGATGATGATGATGATGATGATGATGATGATGATGATGATGATGACGATGGATATGATGGTGATGAGGAGGGTGTTGGTAATGATGATGATTATAAAGATTATGATGGTAATGATGATGATGATGATTGATATGAGGATGACGAGGAGGGTGTTGGTAATGATGATGATGATGATGATGATGATGATGATGATGATGATTATGAAGATGATAATGGTAATGATGATGATTGATATGAGGATGATGAGGAGGGTGTTGGTAATGATGATGATAATGATGATGATTATGAAGATGATAATGGTAATGGTGATGATGATGATGATGATGATGATGATTATTCAAGATGATAATGGTAATGAGGATGATGATGATGATGATGATGGTGGTGGCAGGCCTGAATGGTAGTGATGATGAAGATGATGAAAACGTGTTCCTGGAATAGGAGTAGTTTAGAGAGGACTTCCCTTTGAATGGGGCTTCGATTTCTTTCCATGAACCAATGGAGGACGGGGGGAGGGGGCGGTCAAACGTACAGTGTTTAAATATCATTTAGGCAAGTTCGGTGAAATGGAGGCCTGATCGAATTTGGGTATGACTCTCCTCATCACTTTCCAAATAAATGTTCCTGCCCCAGCTACTGGAAACATATTACATGTAATTTATTACTTCTCCTATATTCATTTTAAAATCGGAGTACATAATGTCATGCGAGAGAGAGTAGCGACCGAGCAGAGATGTTTTTCAAGTTGTATAAAACTTTTTATACTAGAACATTCCACCTATCATTGTTAGTGTACGCATTGCTATATGGACATAATTTTGCAAATTGTTGGGGTGACCTGTCCCCCTGCCCCCTCCCCCCTCCGGGATCACCGCCCCTTAGCTCTGTGATTATGTGATAGCTTTATTAGTCCTCCTGTTATTCTTCTTCTCTTTGTCTTCCACATTAGGATTATCACCATCTTCCAATCTTTGTTTTCTTGTACGTATTTTTCTTCGTGATTTATCCCATTATGTTTCTTAAGATTTCTATCTTTATACGTTATTATAATTTTTCAATTTCTTCTTCTTACTCTTCCTTGCAGATTATGAGGTTTTAGTGTACCAAAAGAAAATGATTATTTAAATCTTTTCAGAGCTAGTTCAGCTATAGACCGAAAATTAGTATTTCGTTCCGGGATATTCATAATAATGAAGTCTTTGAAAAGAGTTTCAAAGACAAATTTGTTTTTTTTTTGGGTATTTTTTAGGCAGAGGGATTTCTTTTGTCTAATACAGCTATAATGCCATGATTATAGCTGTATTTTCAAAGAGATTCGATCGTAGTGCTCCGTAGGTATGTTTTGTTGGAGCGCCATCTGTTGTTGTGAACATTACAACTTTTTCGATTGAATCGAATGATCCGCCTATTTTCCAGAAATTTTCACATGAAATTACGTTACGACGCTGGTGGTAAGTATATAGAGTCTACTTACTCTAGTTTTCGCATGATATGTTACATTTGTATTTCTGGTGTATGATTATTAGCTCCTTGACCCGATAATCAGACCGGCACACTCCATCTTTAGATTATTTAGAGCTGGTTAAGTTTGGTTCGGTCCCACTCGCGTTCTTTTGCGTATTGTAATTTAGAACGGTACAGAAAACGGAAATTATTGCTGACGTCAGATAGACCTAATCAGATTTTGAGGGAGTCGAGAGAGAACTCATAGAGAATGCAAACGGAGTGTAATTATTAGCTTTAGGTCTAGGCTTCTTAATATATACTGGATAGGAACATTGATCTATTCTAATAACAGTCACTTTGTTGAGATTTTGAGGCTTGACTTCACTTCTGCAGACTTCAGCAAGAACTGAAAAATGGAAGAAAAGAAAAATGTATTAATTCCTCTAAAGTAAAGGTCCTATCCCTAGCCAATAGAAAATGATGTCTATCACAGTATCGGTCATATTATATTGAAGGAACTTTGAGGTCAAGAGGTAAAAGAGTTGACGCTGAGGGTCTTACTCATTATGAATATTAGATCAGTTCATTTTTCCTAGGTCTATAAAATAGACTGAGCTGAGCTCAGTCAGTCAGCATGGTCAGTGAGCTGTGATTCACCAATTATTTTGAATTTAGTCCAAGACTGTCTCCAAGCCCAAGGGCAAGAGGCAAGACTAATCAGTTTTATGTCGTTTTTTTATATGAAATTTTGTAGAAAAGAAACTAGAAAGTAAATGCAACCTTTATCCCTAGAATCTATAAGATTTCCAGTTATTTTCCACATTTTCTTTCTTGTCATTATTAATATAAATTTGATATCTTTATGTGATCGGTAGATTTACTGACAAAATATGGGCAAGCCTGGGAAACAATGCCCGCATTCTACAACTGTAGAGAGATTCTTACAAGAACATTTCCTGAGCTTCAAACAGGTGAGTGTTCACAATTATTAACCCCTCCTTTCTTTTTATTTTAAACCTTCAGAAATTGTTTAAGCTCTTGGCATACTACGGTTGATATTCTATGATTTATCGTTGTAGATTTAAATCTTGTTTTATTGAATTTTGTTTACATTTCAAGCAAATTCTGATTGTTAATGTCAACCCTAAATCTCATATCACATGAATTTACAAGTTTCCATCATGTAAGAACTTTGCAAAATAGTATTTGAAAAGTATTTCACTTTTTAGATTAAATCTTTGTTTATCTAAATTTACATGTGAAAGAAATTCTAATTGTAAGACCTTGTCAGCTTATTTAACAATACCAGAAAAATTTGCTGTTTATCAAATCTATCTGAATGTGACAGAGTTGGAGTCATGTTAAAGATTATTACATTATTGACATAAGGAAAATCTTGTGATGAAGCTTTATGGTTAGTTCAGTAACAAATACATGTACCTGTATATATGTTGTGTTATTAATCCTTAGTCAGTGTCTTTTTATAAGAATATCTATGAGAATTTGTGCAATGGTCTTTCGAATAGACTTACATGGCGACTATTTTTGATATAATTGTAATTATTCCAATGAATTTTTCCATGATTAATAAAGCTTCCTCCTATCTTTTTTTATTTTTTTATTTTTTTAAACAGGGACATTGCCAGGAGTGTGATGCCAAAGGATCTAGTCTATGGTTATGTTTAGAGGTGAGTTTTACTGGCGTTATCAAGCAGGATGTCACAACAAAACTTGAAATTAGAGTAAAATACTTCTTACAAGTTTGCTTGACAGGAAATATTAACTATAAAGAGAATAAAACCTAGAAAGTTGGTAGCAGAACACCATAGGGAACAAAATTACTAGTTAAAAGTCTGACATACATTTGGAAGTTATAAATTGTTTGAAGTTGAGATTGCTAAAGTGTTGGATAATCCTCATTAAACAATCATAATGCAGGATGTAATTTCTTGTTAATAAACACAAAACAGGCATATTTGTTGATATATTATAGATTATACATTGTAGAAATTTTAGAAATAGGATATTTTAATTAATATATTATATCATTCTCATCCATTTATGTGACAGGTTGGTTGCCGTTATGTGGGATGTGGAGAATCAGTGTCAGATCACAGCTCTGAACACTCAGAAGTAAGTCCTTCATCTTTTCTCTATGTGGGCAGTCAGTGCCTTCATAATTTTTGACAATGAAAGACACGGTATATTGAAAATAATTAATTTTCTCATTGACTAGTTTTGACAATCTTTTTTGTAGGGAAATCAAACCTAAGTGCTCTTTTCATCTCATATAAAGTTGTGAATGATTCAAAGTGATTGCAAGTTGTTTATTCAAATACACAATTATAATCTTTTCCCTTATTAAAGGTTGGTTGGTTTTGTTTGCTTTACCAGACTGCTAAGAAAACATAGCAGTATGTATGCTTGTAATTAAGCAATCAGGGGACCAACAGTTCTACCTGAGGGACTAGTTAATGATGAGTTATGCCTTACCAAAGGGCACTAGCACATGAAATTGGTTTTGAACCCAGGACCTCCTGGTTAGGAGACCACTGCTCTACCACTGAACCATCGCACCCCGAGATCAATATCTCAAATTCACGATTGATTCAGAATAGTCACAACTCTCAATGGAAAGGGGCTCTGGTGTGCAGTATGCTCTAATATGGTTTATGCTCATCAGGATAAATGAAATATGTTTTAAGAAAATTTCAGTTATGCTATTGTAACTTTTTAAGTTTTGCTTCATGTAACAATACAAAAATTAAAAATGCATTGCATATGCATTAAAAGGGTACTCTATCAGGTCTGATAATTACCTGACTTAAATAGGTTTCCCGACTATTTGTTTTTCCCGATTTTTTCTTTCTTCCTGATTTTTTTCTTCTTTTTTCCCCTGATTTTTTTTTTTGCCCAATTTTTTTTTTTTCTTCCCGATTTTCTCCCTTTTTTCCTTGTTTTTTCTTTTATTTCTCAATTTTTTCCCATTTTCCCTATTTTTTCCCCAATTTTATTACTCAAAAGGGGGAATGTTGTTGGATGCCATTTTTTCTTCCCTAAATCCTCTTCGTTTTTTTTACTCAAGGGGGGCGTGGTTGAGGTGAAATCACCCCTGTCTATGCACTGGCAATACAAACATGTTTAGCAATTTTTTTATCGACAGGTGTGTTTTTATGAATTGATGATATTTCCTTTCAGAGTGCCAATCATAAACTGACCATCAATCTCCTATCTCAACGCACCTGGTGCAATGTCTGTGACTGCGAGGTTTTCCCTGACGTCATCATCAAGACCAAGGCAAGCATGGTGGCGGACCATCCTCCTCCAGGGGGGAGGAGACAGATCAGTATCCAGGGCGGCCAGGAACGCATCACTCATCCTCATCAGCAGCATCATCACCATGGAAACTCGGAAGAGGAGGAGATGGAACATTCAGGAGCAGCTGCAGCACCAGAATATTATCCCCAGTAAGGAGAATATCGAACCAAATAGCTTCTTTTTTTTTGGTTCACCATTATACTAGCTGTTAATGTTTTTACTGTATGGGCAATCAAAAAGCTATAAATACTAACATGTAAAAGTACTGTAGTTCGCCGTGGAGATAATTTTAAAATGTTTAAATTGTATTTGTGCTAAAGAGTAATTTCATCCAAATTGCTTCTATGCATAGGAAGAAAACCGAAAGCTATCTCTTTCTTGTTTTGTAAGATTCATTGATTATAATGTACACACAGGAGTTCAGTGAACATACTATTGTTGGTGTATTAAAGTTGACTTGCAAGACATGCCATTTATTCTATCTACATATTTGTTATTTCTCTCAGAATACCTAGTTTCCGTACAGTGAACACACCGGTCACCCAAGCCCTTGATGAGATAGCACGAGATGAAACCAAACCAAGAGGTAAGAAAAACAAGAAAGAAATGATGATCAATTGATTGATTGATTGATTTGTTTCATTTCATATAACAATTGTTTGCACAATAAAGAACATAGATGACAAAGTAAGATCAAAATTATGAAATGAAACAGGAACCTACTGGAAAGCATAGCTTGTTTTTGTAGGTTCCCAAGAATGAATATAATATGAACATTATTTTCATAAATCATTTTATCTTAGTTAATAATCACAGTAAAATAGATGTAGTATAATAACACATTTTCATAAACCATTTTAAAGTATCTAAATAATCAAAATATACAAAAAAAGAGAAGAATGACAAAACAGGACACAAAGGACAGGAAACTGACATAATAAGATAAGACAAGACATGACAAAACAATTCATAACAGGACAATTCAAGGAACATCAATATAACTCGAAGGAGAATAAACCATTTATAGAATGTTACCCAGATTCTCCTAGGTAAAGTAAGATTTTAGATATAAATGAGTGAAAATATGAGATAATTCAGAGGAGGAGATAAAAAGTTACTAAATGTTGAAAGTTTATATCCCTGATGATATGAGGAATCTCCTTTTGGCATCTAATAATTGGTGACATAATATAATATTTTATTTTACTGAAACAAGAGACAAATAACTTAAGGTTTAGCAGGGTTATGATTATGTCTGTAATGATATTTCTCAAACTTTAGTTGATCATAATTCTAAAAGTTAATAGCATCACCTTGTGTTGATATGTCAGGCATGCACTACACAAGAGATAATCTGCTGTATGGATGATACAGATGTAGTCTCCCGTACAGATAAGTATGTCTTGAATAATGAGGTTTCTTTAAACTCATTACTCCATGTCAAGCTTGGTTATTACATCGAGGGGTCAGTGACACAAAGACGTAACTCCATTTTGGCCAGGTGGTTTATGTGTCACTGAGCACTTAGGCCTTAAGAAGTTAAGTCTATGTTTTACTAGCCATTGACTTCAATGGGGTGTTGGGTGGAGTTAAAGGTAAAGACCAGTTATGGTCATGCGAATGCATTGTGAAAGAAAGGTTGTGGAATCGATCAGAAAAGGTTGATCTAGCATCTAGCATCTGCAAGGTTCTGGAATCATCAAAATGATAAGAAATTTGGCCCATTCTTCGTAAAGTTACAAGCACTATACACAGAAAGATGTATATGGGACTACCCTATATCTCTCACAGACCATGAGAGAAACAAATTTACCAAATATATGAATTAGTAGGCAGTTTCCCGGCAAATTTTTCATCATCATGTATTAGTCAAAACATATTCTTTCACATGATTGGTAATGAGAGCTTCCATTTCATTTTTTGAAATTGGGGCGTTTCCAATACTGGTCTTACCTTTAAGTCTTGTGTTTCCTGTAAAGCCCACATTTTTCTGAACATTTTGATATCAAATACTCATTTTGGCAAAATATGGAGTTACATCTTTGTGTCACTGAACCCTCGACACGGTGTCTGGAGTGTGATCTCACCTCCATACACATACTGGTATTCCTGCAGTACTATGATCATATTAAAAGTCATAAGCCTTTGAACACAGCTCCTTTGTTTTTTATCACTTGTTGAAGAGTAAATCATGTTTTATATTTTTGCCTGTTCGAACCAGGGCTGACTGGACTGAGAAATCTAGGCAATACTTGCTACCTGAATGCTGGTATACAGGCTCTTTCTAATTGGTAAGTAGTAAGTCTTGTTATAATCCTCCTTATCTTGTGTGCATATTTTTTCATTATTCAAGAATTGTTGCAAGTTTTCTTGAAAAAAAGCATTCTACCCCTCATTAATAAACATAGATATAATGTGTTAACAAATTGTCCACATGGTACATTTTCTGGTCTGTGAATCAAAAATCTAATCCACTACATGTGGGAAATTTATTCTGAGCTCCTTTTGTTAAGATTATATCATACAGATGTAACCATTTACTCTAAAACTATATACTAATATGCTCTGTTTGGAAAGAAAAAGATCAGAAATTGGTGCTTGACTACTATAAAACAAGAAACTTAGAAGTGCAAGGTACTTTTGCAAATTTAACAAATGGTACAAATTTACGGAGGATTCACGTGGGAAACTGATTTAATCACAACCTTAAATTGAGTGATTCATAAAGGGTTGGTTCAACAGTTCTATCAAAGAGAAAACATTTTCTTGATGATCCCTCACACAGCACTTAATGCTGAACCCTTATGTATTACTTGGCTTTATTTATTCATTGTGTTTGTTGTTTCTGTATACCATGTAGCCCAGCATTTGCACACTTCTTCCTGGAATGCAATGGTTTTGTGAAGACTGAGAAGAAGCCTTACCTAGCAGCCTCATACCAGAGACTCATGGAAGACATATGGGGACGAAGAAGGTTGGTTTTGGTGCAATGCTACTCTCTCAAAAGCTCTGTGCATCCATGTTGTCGTAATCCATGTAAATAAAAACTATGGCAGTGGCAGTGACGTATTTGCAAGAGCATTAGGCCTAACAAAAAAGATGTTGTATTGCCCTGTAGGTGCCAAACTGGTCGGTCGGTCAGAAACCTTGTTTTTTTAAAACTTTTTTGGGGGCTGATATTTCTTAGTTTTTAATGCTTTATAATACATTTTTTTCTAAAAATGGTAAAAAAATAAAATAAATAAAAGCCGACCGTAGATTTCAAGATTTTTGGATCAATCGCAAAGGGCAATAGAACACCTTTTTTTTTAGAGGCTTTATGGGCAAGGGCATCATAGCTATATAAATATGTAACGGTGACTGACATACATGTATGTAGAGGTGTCGTGGTTTAGTGGATATGTCACCAGACCGTGGATCACATGGTTTGCGCTTCGAGTCCCACCGCAGCACTAGTGTCCTTTGACAAGACGTTAATCCACATTTGCCACTCTCCACCCAGGTGGGTTAATGGGTACCCGGTGGGAAGAAATTCCTTAAATGCTTTAGCGCCTTATTATGGCAGCTCAACTCCAGCCGGCGTAATAATATGATACTTTGTATTAAAGGGATTTTGTCTCAGATTCTGAAACAAACTCCTGGATTTAGCTCATGCTGCAATGATAATTATAAACTTTTAGGTCAGTCAGGAACCCCATAACTTGTACAAAGCTGATCGCCTGTCTGATTATCAAGATATTTATGATTGGAAATCGAATTCAAATTTTGCGTTTTCCTAACGGTTTTCCTAACACCACAGTCTATTGGGGAAAACTACTATGGTAAAACATTTTGAAGCGCAATTTTTTTAGGGCTTCAATATTACACCATGCATCTAAAATTTAACATTGTTAACCGATGCCTTTAAAGCGCAATCGAGTATATACATAAAGTAGCTGCGCTATATATATAAATGGACCTATTATTATGTATGCTCATTGATCCGTGTGTTTTGATAAATGGAATTACGAAGCACACAATTGTTATCTCATTTAACATTGCAGCACATTTTTTTTAAAGAGGGGTTTACCACCTCAGGCCGGGACTGGATGGGCCCCTAAGAGCACTGGAAGGTGCAGTTTTTGACAAAATATTGTAACAAAGGTGACTGGAAAAAACAATTTCTCATGTGGTGAATTGTTCAAAACTATAAAGGTTCAAGTTAAAATCTCTTCTGCTCTATGTCTTTCAAGAAGACAGTTGAAGTTAAGCCGTCTAGCAAAATATTTGTAAAAAAACACAGTTTATGGTTAGTCATTTCTAGTCATTTCCAATGTTTTTCTTTTGTTTGTTCAGACCCAGTTATTTGACTCCATCAAGTCTTGTAAACAGTGTGAAGGCTGTCTTTCCTATGTTCAAGGGCTTTACACAACAGGTGAGAATTCCTATCAATGTTTCCCTGTCACTCCCTGTGCCTTCATTCTTCATCCCTCCCTCTCATCTTTCTAAATTCTCTCTCTCTCTCTCTCTCTCTCTCTTTCTCTCTTTCTCTCTCTCTCTCTATCTCTTTCTCTCTTTCTCTCTCTCTATCTCTCTCTTTCTCTCTTCCTTTTTCTCTATCTCCCTCTTTTCTAATTATTCTAATTTGTTTTTCTCTCTCTCTCTCTCTCTAAACTATTTCCTAAAAGTCTTTTTTTTTAATAAATGATCTAATCTCTCTCTGTCTTTCTTTATTTTTCACTGTATGTACATGGATAAAAAAACAAAACGAATGAGGTGCATGAATCCATTATATGATTTTAGAAGACTCACAAGTCCCTAATTTCTGTTTGTGTATATGTCCATATGTTCAACTTCTCTTAAAAAATTGTATAGGTTTCATAGAGTTCTATTAAGTTTAGATATTTATGAGATCAAAAGATATCAGCCTTAAGTGTAATGCATTTCATTTACAGATGGTATCTGTCCATTATTTTAAGCACTGCCAACTAGTACAGATTTCCCGTAATTGGTACAAAATTAACGATCATTACAGCAGTACGGAATGTTGTCTAAAATTACGGATTATGACAATTTTTTTTTTTTAAAGACAGAAAAGTATCAAGTATTCTCTTTAATAGAAGCCAATTTTTTTAGATTCATAGCGCGGCATAGGAAATTACTGATTTTGAGCCTTGTGATTACTGATTTTCTGTTCTGGAGGTTGGCAGCTCTGAGTGGAAATAATGGATTCTACTAAAAGTGATATATATTTCACAAATGGCAGGATTCGCAGGAGTTCCTTCGCTGCATCATGGATCGTCTCCATGAGGAGCTGAAGGAGCCGGTTTACCCGGAACCAGAGGACGACGACGACACCGATGGAGACACTGTCAAGGACAACCCAGAGAAGGACCAACAACAAACCGCCACCCGACGACGCAACCGCGCCCCTTCCCCATCCCTCGACACGTCGTCCTACCATCGTACCCGCTCTAACGATTCCTTGAGCATCACGGAAGAGATGGAGACGACGGGGAGCTTGCCACCGGATAATGACCATTACAACGCCTCCCAGTCACAGGAGGATGCTGCTGACGAGAGGACATCCCTGCAGCATCATGGAGCATCATCGGCGGGAGGTGAGGAACCCAGGGGTCATGGGGTCGATAAGAACCATCCGCATCGGAAGAGGACCACCGATTCCTTTTCAGAGACAGAACCACTTCATCCTAACCCAGTACCAAGAGGTAATTGTTGGTCTAAATTCCAGTATGTTGCGCGTGATCCATCTCTCTAGTGTGCCCTCAAAGTTGTTTTCGTCTGTTAATCACAACCATAAAGAAGAAGCGACTGGAAGACCAACAGGACTACCTTTTCTTCCGTATACTGTTGATGTTAATGTTTTGATGTAATTGCAGTTTAAAAAAAAGATTCCTTTCTTGTCTTGTTGCTATTACAAAATTATTTGTACAGTAACTTTATATTCTTTGATATGGATCAGCGAGCAGGCTCTTACAACATCTCGAACATGACGTGACCCATAGTGTGGCAATTGTTACAGTGAACAGGTTAATCCTGGGTCACAAATGCCATTACGAACGCCGTACAAACGATTTTCAGACAATGGAAATTCAGGAAGACAATGGAAAAATAGGGAGATTCGTACGAAATTATCGTTCATACAAACCATTGTGACCGTAGCATTATGTAATGCATTTTTGTTGAATAACCTCAACCTCGTGTTTACAACACGACCTAGGTTTCCAACAGATGAGCAAGTATGAGCAAGTTGAGATTTATATTTGGATGATATACAGAATGTTGCAGTGTAGGAGAATCTGATATGCATGAGATTAGTATAAAGCAAGAGCAGTATTGAAATTCATATTACCAGAGAGTTTTGTCAATATTTAATTCAGAATACAGGAATTTTGTTAAAATGTTTTTCTTGTTAGCGTTCCCTTGATCTATTAGTGTTTGCAAAGTAGAGGAAGTATGTTGAAGATGGATTTATTGCCAGAATTGGTATTTATAGAGAAAGATTCATTTCCAAATTTCAGTACTTGTTCCAATTTTTTTTTGACAGTGACTAGTCGAACACGCACCACATCGTCATCGAGCACCAAGTACGATCGGGAAGTCTACGACAGTGAGAAGGACATCGACGAGATGGCTTCTGGTGATCAGGGGATGAATAACAGCAGAGAGCATGGTAAAGTTTTAATCCCTTTCCCTAATCCCTTAATCCCTAATCCGATTCTGTCATCACACTCTCTTTCCTTACTACACTTTTTCTCTTCTCCACTTTTGTGTCTATCAGTCTTATCTGTCCCTTTCCATCATTTTTGCTTGTTTTTCTTTTCATGCCTCCACCACTGTGATGCCAGAAGTATTTTATTATTTTTTTTTTTCCTTTCAATCCTCCCCCACTCCTTCCCTCAATCCTTCCCTCAATCGTTCCCTTTCTCATGCTGAAAACATCAGTCTATCTTTTCCTCTCGTCTCTTATGCCTTTTGTATACAATAATTTTTAAATCTTTATATATCAATCAATTATAAATTTGGATCAGGAGTGTCAAGTCTGACAGACATGAGCGCTATACAAGAACCCACTATTAATATTATTTTAATGATTTATTCAATTTATCTCAATAAATTATATGTTTAGTGATGTATAAGTAGATTCAATAAAATATGATAACTGAGATTTGATGGTCTTTCAATGGAATTCACCTTGTGTAATGTGTATACAAGTCATTAGTATGAGATATATAAATTAAAAGGAAATTCCACCCTGATAATAAGTTTGTTTTAATATTAGGAGCAAAATGAGAAGAACAGATCAGTGAAAATTTGAGTAAACTCGGACGATAAAGAAGAAAGCTATGTATTTTTTTAATCAATACATTTTAATGAAATACTTAAAGGATTTTGAAAGACCTGGTTGTGTTTCACAAAAATTTTTAAGTTGAACTTATCTCTAAGTTGGACTTAACAGTTATGGAAAGCCGTTAGCATCCTTGAAAATATTTTGTACAAGTTATTTCAAAAGGCATAAAATGTTGATTCAAATCATTCATATTTTCTATTATCAAGGAGATTTCATGTTCTTGATGTGGAATTTATGAAAAGTCTAAAATACTTGAATTTTTGCTTTTGCTTTTTTTTCATTTTAAGGCTACAAATGGTTCTCCATAATATTTAAGTCCAACTTAGAGTTAATTTCGACTTAGAATCTTTGTGAAACACCCCCCTTATCCCAATTTGATTGAACTTGATATTTGCAGCCAAGAAGAAGAAGCAGCCTCTGAGGTATCGTAGCATCATCTCGGATGTGTTTGATGGAAAGATCTTGAGCTCAGTCCAGTGTCTCACCTGTGAAAATGTAAGTTCAAGTCAGGGTCCTGTTTAACGAAATTGATTAGAAAGAAAACCAGGTCGCAGACTCGCAGTACATGAAATTTGATTGGCTGAAATCATTGCATTTGAGTGAATTTGAGCAAATATGTTACAGAATGGAGGTGGTTGTTATTTGTCATGAGATTTATGAAATTAACACCAGGGCCTTGTTACGTAATTTTGCAACAAATGGTAACTTCCATGGAAAGCTTGATCTGATTGGCTGTTGAGTACTGTTGCCATGGTAGTTAATATTGATGGAAAAGTTACCATCGATGGCAAGTTTTATGCGACGGGCCCTAGATCATTCCCCTCCACTTTGCATGACACAATGCAGGAAGTTTCATAGAACTTTCATCTTTTATTCTTAACAAATGGCAACAATGGTATTTCTCCTTAATATATTGCTTCATGTTTCTTTTTAACCAGGTAATCTGAACAATAGATTGAAACGACAGTGAGTGATAAAAAAAAGGATTTACATTTTGTATGGAACAACAGTGATTTTGAAGATGGAAACATGTAGACAACTTCACAATTTTATTGATTATGGTGCTAAAAATTGAAATTGGGGAGAACATTGTTCATTCTACTCATGCATCTGATGTATTTCTTATGAGCTTTGAATCAAAGGGCATACTTTTTCATTCTGTATGACACTAGATTTCCTGTCAAAAAGAAACGTTCCAGGACCTGTCCCTTCCCATCCCGGGAAAGGAAGACCTGGCCCGGATCCAGGGCATGCTTAACAAGTCCACGGTCTCGTGCGCTGACACTAGGAAGACAGGATGGATGACATGGTTATATAGCTACTGGCACCTTCCAGTGTGAGTAGAGATGGAGAGGGGGGAGGGAGGGAGGAGGGAGGTGGAGGGGGGTGTGCTTATTAAGACAGGATGGATGACATGGTTATATAGCTACTGGCACCTTCCAGTGTGAGTAGAGATGGAGAGGGGGGAGGGAGGGAGGAGGGAGGTGGAGGGGGGTGTGCTTATTAAGACAGGATGGATGACATGGTTATATAGCTACTGGCACCTTCCAGTGTGAGTAGAGATGGAGGGAGGGAGGGAGGAGGGAGGGAGGGAGGAGGGAGGGGGAGGGGAAGAGAGGGAGGGGGAGGGGAAGGGGGGAGGGGAAGAGAGGGAGGGAGGGAGGGAGGTAGGGAGGGAGGTGGAGGGGGAGGGGAAGAGAGGGAGGAGAGAGGGAGGGAGAGGGAGAGGAGGAGGGAGGGAGGAAGGAAGGGAGGAGGGAGGGAGAGAGGTGGAGGGGGAGGGGAGAAAGGAAGGGAGGGAGGAGAGAGGGAGGGAGGGAGGGAGGGAGGGAGGGAGGGAGGGGTGCTTTTCAAGTCCACCATCTTGTGTGCTGACACTCAGTTTGGATGATATGGGTCTATATCTTCTTTCCAGTTTAGAGACAGGATTCATGACTGAGAAAGAAATAGAGAGGGAAGTGGGACAGCGATAAAATAGGATGGGGGTGTTTGGAAGGGAACAGGTAATGGAAGAGATAGACAGAGAAAGGGAGAGGCAGAGAGCCATAGACAGAAGACTTTTAAGAACAAACAGAGACAGAAATATACTCTTTCTTCTTTAATTTGTTCATGCATGATACAGTGAACTCATGTATAGTCTTTTAATTTAAATGCTGTCATATCTTTGTCATTTTATTTCAAGCGAAATAGGAAATAATTTTTAAAAATTGTTAAAGTGTAAGTATATGATTTATTCACCATATCAGGGAATTTGACTTCCATTGGTTGGTACAAGTAATACAATATATACTCATACATACATAACATAACAAAATAACTGAGTTGTATCATCATCTTTGCAACCAATTTCATCAGAAAGGTTATTAAGTAAATGAGCTTATTATTATTATTATTAATATGTGAAATGATGTTTATTTCTATGGAGATGAGAATTGTATCTGTAATAACATTTATACAGGAGCTGGTTCTGGGGTCCTAATGTCACCCTTGATAATTGCTTGGCTGCTTTCTTCTCTGCTGATGAACTCAAAGGTAATAAATAGAAGATTCTTTAAAAGTGATTTTCTCATATTTAAAAAAATATATATATTTATTGTCTCTGAAAAATGCCTTATAGCCTCAGAGCACTTTAGGCCTTTAAAATAACGATGCTGTATTGCTCTTTGCGTCCGACCCAACATTTTTCAAATCGACAGTCGGCTTTTAAATTTTTTATTTTTGTAACTGTTTTTTAGAGAAAAAAATATTAAAGCATTCAAAAACTGAGAAATATCAGCCCAAAGAGGGAGTTAAAAAAAAAAAAAAATGATTTCTGACCGACCGACCAACCCATGTTTTGGCACCTAAAGGGCAATACAACATCCTTTTTTTTTTAGGCCTTATGCAGAGTTATATTTTTAAACTTCTATGAATTTGTTTAGATTGATGTGCTCCAGAGCATGTATTTTCCAGGAAATAAGATGTTTTAACATTTTAATCTAATACCATGTTCCATGTCCTTGAATGTCCTCCGTTCACCTTAAACTGCAAAAAATATATTTATAGAGATGTTACATCATAAATGATCTAATTCTGTTTGTCTCTTTTACGTGCAGGTGACAACATGTACAGCTGTGAAAAGTGTAAAAAGTGAGTTTTTAAAATCCTTTCAGACGATCTTTTGAGTTACTGAACCGGAGTTGTTACCTATAACTAAACAAATCTTAATATGTAAACGGTTTATCAGTGTATTTGCTTTTGAAAAATTGATACCATATCATCTGATGTACTGTACATCTTTGTGTATAAGACGCACCCCTATTTTGGGGGCCTAGAATTTTTTTTTTTTTTTGCCGACAAGTCTGTTAAAAAAAAAAACACGTGGGGAAGGACTTTCATTTAACTGCGAGGTGCAGTTGAAGGCCCCGATTTGTGCTTGTAAACTTGTCACAAAAAATAGTAACAATGTCGTTTTTAGAGGAATAGAACCTTGTGGTACGCCGTGTGTAATAGAAGAAAAATTGGGGGAATTATTATGATAAATGACATATTGAGATCTGTTAGAAAGATTAGTTTCAAACCAAGATGACAGACAAATTTGAGTGTTGTTCTAGTTTCCGAGTGGTGAGTCAACACACCGATTACTGAGCTGGGAGACATTTGCCAGGCATAGTGCCAGGTGGAGGGGCATAAATCGAAACTTAAATAATTATTATTTTTTTGTTTGTGTGTGTGTACCTGTGTATATAAAGACGCACCACGACTTTCAATTTTTTTTCGTCAGCAAAAAAGTGTGTCTTAATACACAGAGATTTACGGTAACTTCATTTTATAATGATGATGAATTGGCGGCTTCTTCTATAGCGCACCTGTCCGTCACTCAGTGACGCTCTTGGCATTTGGCCCTCCAAACTTAATTGATGGAGTTCATGGTTGGCGGCCAATAGGAATCACTCTAGCATACCAGGTAGCCATTTACACCTGGGTGGAGAGTGGCAAATGTGCATTAATGTCTTGCCAAAGAACATTAGTTGGTGGGCGGGCTGGGATTCAAATCCTCTACCCTTGGATTGAGAGTCAAGTGAATGACAGTATGTTGGAGGTGTTGAGGTACATGTACCACGACACCTCCAACATACTGTCATGTAGGGGTCCACTTGTTTATGTACCATCTCTTCATTTAGACCAATGCCTTTATTTTAAATGATATTTCTCCAAATTACAAAATGTCCTTGTTACCTGAAGGTGGCTTGCCTTCATGTATTTTTCTTACCATTTCGAGGGGTCATTGACACAAAGAGGTAACTCCATTTTGGCCATTTTTAGAAAAAGTGGTTTATGTGTCACTGAGGACTTGGGCTTTAAGGCGTTAAGTCTATGTTTCACTAGCCATTAACTTCAAAGGGGTGTTGGGTGGAGTTACCGTAAGTCTTTGTGTTTCCTGGAAAGCCCACATTTTTCTGAACATTTTGATATCAAAATACTTATTTTGGCAAAAAATATGGAGTTGCGTCTTTGTGTAACTGAAACCTTGATTTGTTCTCTCTCTCTCTCCTCTCACCCAGACTCAGAAATGGGGTCAAGTTCGTTCATGTCCTAGAACTACCGGAGGTCCTCTGTATCCATCTGAAGCGGTTCCGCCACGAATCCTTCACCTCCTACTGCTCTAAGTTAAACAACTACGTCTCCTTCCCTCTGGACAGCCTGGACATGACACCGTACCTCTCTAAAGGTCAGAGGTCAATGATTTATGTCAGATTCAGTCGTCAGGCTATGACTTATGTACATATGAGCCTCTAAATTTTAGTTCTGCCCTCCCCCCCCCCCCTCCCCTCACTGGCAAACCCGGATTCAAAACCAAGTCGATGCGCTACTGCCCTTTGGTAAGGAATTAATCCTCATTATCAGGTCCCTCGGAGAGGACCTAAAGCCGTCGGCCGTCTGGTTGCTTACTTACAAGCAATTATGCTTTCTTAGCAGTCAGGTAAAATAACCACCACCACCTATATAGAAACAATGTATAATAGGGGGCATTTGCATGCAGACCCTAAAAATTATAAACTTGACCCCCTGTCAAATAAGTTAGTGTGGATTTCTCCTATATGATGGAAAGGTTTGAGTATCTCTTTGACAAAGCAACGACTGAAAACACCATCATTTGGCATAACTTTGGAAAAAGTGGGGGAAGTTTTATATATATTTAAAAAAGATTTATTGATGGTTCCCACTGTATTATAAAGAGGAGACAGGAAATATTAATGTTTAAAAGAAGACAGAAAACACTGATGTTTGTAAAAGATGACAGAAAGAACACACATTGTGAAATTGCATCAAAAATATTAACTCATTTCTAATAATTATTTTTTACAGAGCACTGGTATTTGAAAAATTAAAATAATATATTGTTCTGTTCTTGGTTGTATTCTGTACAGATTGCAAGAACAAGTGTGCGACCTATGACCTGAGTGCAGTCATATGTCATCATGGCACAGCTGGAGGTATACTATGACATTTGCTTTCACTGTTAGTCCCATGATTTAAAGACTATAATCTCCTTCTCTATTTTTAAATTTATTGTTTAAAGGGCCACTCTAACCAACTAACATAGCCTTTCAAAACATGAATACACCTCTACTTATTAATATTCCAACCTCTGATTTTTCAGAAAATCGCAAAATTGACCAGCTCCAAAACTGGGCTTTTTTCTAACCGTTTTTAGTTGTCATTTTTAAAGCTAGATTCCAGAATTATTGGTGATTTCTAAGAAAAATCATTGTCATGTTCGAAATGTCCGTCAAAAATTATTCTATTTTTTAAAACATTTTTTAGCCCTTTTTTTTTATTAGAGTGGCCCTTTAATTATATACTTCCATTTATCTCTCTTTGTAAACATATGGATCATCTGCGTCCTATTTATCCTCTCTCTCTATCTCTCTCTCTGTTCTATCTCTTCATCATTGCTTCTTTTGTTTCTCTCCTTATTAAATGCAGCTCCTCTGATAGTACAGTGGAACCTCGTTATAACGAGGTCCTTGGGACCATGAAAATTACCTTGTTATATCAGGGATCTTGTTTTAATCAGGGTTACAGAACAAAAAAAATATAAAGAGCTGGAACCAGCAAAATCACCTTGTTATAACAGAGACCCATGTATATCAGAGTTCTTTATAGCGAAGTTCCACTGTAGTTTAAAGGTAAAAACCAGTTTTGGAAATGCCCCCCTCTCAAAAAATGAAATGGAAGCTCTTGTTACCAATCATGTGAAAGAATATGTTTTGACTAATACGTGATGACACAAATTTAGCCGGGAAACCGCCTACTTTTTGATATATTTGGTAAATTATTAGATCTATTTGGACTGGATAGATATCTTGTCGCCTAGTCCCATATACATCTTTCTGTGTACAATGCTTGTAACTTTGCCAAGACTGGGCCAAATTTCTTATCATTTTGATGATTCCAGAACCTTGAAGTACACAACAATACTTATATGCTAGATGATCAACCTTTTCTGATGGATACCACAACAATGCAATCGCACGACCAGAACTGGTCTTTATCTTTAACCTCATGTCACCAATGTTCAATCCACACTTCTTTGTTCTTCAGGTGGTCACTACACCAGCTACGCTGTGAACTGGCTCAACGGACAGTGGTACGAATACGATGATATCTATGTCACTGAAGTCAGCACCATGCAGGTTGCTAACTGTGAAGCTTACGTACTCTTCTACAAGTAAGACTTAGTCTATTTGGGAGTGAAATAATGAAGGCACATAGTCGTTTTGATATCACATAGATAACGATGTTGACATTTTATAAGCTCCACTACACCTTCACATATAGTACTACCATTTTACTTAGATACCGTAGGTATATGGTCATCAAAATTGGCCGTGTACGGATCACAGAGTATTTCCTTTCGATAGCTGCTTTGTGCGAATTCAAAGATTTTCTGGCATAGAAGGAATCAACAAGCACATGTTTTCCTTAGCCTTAATCTGTGAATGAATACTGCACCATACACAAAATTGAGCAACTTGTGTATTCTGTTTGTCACCCGGAGTAGCTTACAAGCTGGGTGAAAATGAAGTTCACTGATGCCTTTTATGTGGTATCTCCGAGACTGTGACCCTGATAATTAATTCCTAGTCTTTTTGATGAAGTTTTCTGTCATTAATGAATTCTATCTATTACATATCCGTGTCTCGATACATCCTAAATGTTATGTACTAGATATTTTCTTAGTAATGATGCAGTGTTGTCCTCCTATGTTAATCACCTAGTATCAAAAAGTCTAAACTTTGACTTTGAAAGAATATTCAGGAAATTTGATAGGAATATTAGGGAGAGACATTGCAGTCGGGTTTATACTGGCTGTAAAGCTAGGCTTTAGTCATTCATGAAAACTGGGTATTCATATTTCTTTGTATATGTCCTTCAAACATTGTTTGTATTTGTGAATGTTGATTTGAAAAACATGATTGAACCAATAAATGAAATGAAATGAAATGAAATAGTATTTTGAAATATAAATACCGGTATTACAAACAACAAAAAACAACAAAACAACAACAATATTTTTTGTTCTTATTTTTTTCTGATTTCAATGGTATTGTATTAACAATTTATGTAATCTTGCGAGTTATTTTTTACTTTCATTCTTACAGAAAGACATCTGAAGAAGCCAATAAAGAAAGACAAAGAGTCATAGATCTCTTTGAACAAGAAGAGGTAGGTTGAGTTTAAAAAACCTTTTTCATTTATCTACTGCTGTTATGGAAACATATTTTGAAAAACAGCATAAACAATACAATACTTGAGCATTGTAGTCATGTAAATTTATTGAAGGTTTTTCTTTTTCAGCACACTTGCACTGTGTTATTCATAGAAGCATTGAAACTTTATTTTTTAAGGTTTATATCTGGGAATATTTTATTTTGTGACTCTTGAGTTTTACAACGTGGAAGGATTTCTTTTAAATGTATATTAATCTCTTTTGGGGTTTGCATATAGTATTTTTTCAGATTTTGCCCGTTTCTTGTATTTTAGTCAGACCTTAAAAGGCCTGAATTCACAAAGGAGGTTTAAATTTAACCCATGGTTTAAATCCTCATTTACATAACCCATGGTCTAAAATTAGCGTAATTCATCGCGTACACAAACAGAGGTCCAATATTAAACGTGCGAAGCCTAGGTACAGTCATCTTGCGCTAATTTTAAACCACGGGTTATGTAAATGAAGATTTAATTGAATTCGGGACTGAGATTATTTCCCTTCTGTAACTCATTGTGCTTTACAACTATTTTTTTCATTGGTGCAGCCAAGCTTTCTTCACTTCTATGTGTCTCTGCAATGGCTGAACAAACTGAATAACTTTGCCGAGCCCGGGCCAATCACAAACCATGACTTCCTCTGTAAACATGGAGGTAAGTTGAACCAATTTATTGTTCAAAAGTTGATGTGTGACGAAAAATTTCCTAAATTTCTTCAATGTCACCAACGGATGCACAGTAGTACATCACATCTGATGTTAAAATGATTAAACAGTCTCGTTTTACAGAGCCCAAATATATTCTCTTTTCATAAAGAACAAACTGATTGGGACCAAGAAATTGGTGTGTTATAGCGTAAAGTTAAGCTTGTTAAGTTGTGGCTCATTCGTTTGTGTCTCCTTAGATCAAGATTAATGTATATTGTGGCTAAAATATGATAACAAAACAAAAATCAATCAAATACAAAGAAGTAGGAAGGTAAAAACGACCATGTCATAATGAGTGTTTGTTAATTAAAGCCCCACTGTCCTACTTGTAACTACTTGCTCCCTCTATATAGAAAACTTCCCAAATCGGTGCCTGTTGGTCCCCCATGATCCTCTTTTTCTTATGTTGGTTGAGAGCTGAGTTAATGAGATAGCCACCTGTCAGTGCCCTCGCTGTGTGGTCTAATCCTTTCTGGTCCAGTAGTATTGACGGTCTTTAAGTACTCTTTATGACTGGATTCCTCTGAACAATGAAGTAATGAGTTTAACATTACTTTTTATTGTGTAGCAGAAAGCTAGAGTAATATTGGGCAGATGATGAACAAGGTGTTGTTTTTGTACATTGTTTGCAACAGGAGTGCAGCCCAGGAAGGCAAGCTATGTGGAGAAGTTGGTATTGAAGATACCTCAACCTGTATGGGATCACCTCTACCAGACGTAAGCAGTGATTATGATATTAGAGGTTGTGTGGTGATAGTGGTAGTGGTAGTGGTAGTATGGGATCACCTCTACCAGACGTAAGCAATCATTATGATATGCTCAGTTATGATGGTAGCAGCGGTGGTAGTGGTAGTTGTAGTGGTGGTAGTGGTAGTAGTGGTAGTGGTGGTAGTGGTAGTATGGGATCACCTCTACCAGACGTAAGCAATGATTGTGGTATTCAAGGTCGTGATGGTACCAGTGGTGGTAGTGGTAGTGGTATATGGGATCACCTCTACCAGACCTAAGTAATGATTATGATATTCAAGGTGATAATGGTAGCAGTGGTGGAAGTGGTAGTTGTAGTGGTAGTTGTAGTGGTAGTTGTAGTGTTACCAGTGACAATGATGATGGTGATAGTTATGGTTGTGGATGTTTTGGCATGATTATGATTATAGTGAGGGGTGATGTGGTAGTGATGATGATCATGATAGTGGTGGTGGTAGTGATGATAATTGTTTGATGGATATGATTGTTAAAAGGTTAGGGATGATGGTGGTAATGACAGCAATGAGGATGTTGGTTGTGATGGTTGAAATGACGGTACTCACCAGAGATGATGGTGATAATGATAGTGATGAGGATGTTAGTTCTGATGGTTTAAAGCCCCACTGCACTTCTTATAGCTACTTGCGTCCTCTACATAGCAAAGAATACCTAATCGGCGACCATTGGTCCCCCATGATCCTCTTTTTCTTATGTTAATTGAGAGCTGATTTGATGAGATAACCACCTGTCGGTGACCATGCAGGGAGGTCTAATCCCTCCTGGCCAAACTAGCGCAGTAGGGCTTTAAGTGATGGTGCTCAGCAGTAATGATGGGGATACTAAAGGTGATGATGATGATCATAGGAACTATTAATGTTGAGATGGTGATGATGGTAAAGATGACAATAAGATGGATGATGTGGATTTTTTTCGGGTGAAGTTGCTTGCAGCGGTCAGGTTAATGTCTGTAGCTGATGACATAACCATAATTGTAGTGACAATTACAGGGGCAAGTAAAAAGAAGACAATAGAAATTATTTGTAATGGAAAGAATGATGCAAATGAAGAAGAAAACATAAGAGAATGAAGTTGTCGGGATTCAATATTTGGGAGTTATAATCATAAATGCAAGGGGATTAAAGTAATAATATTAAATACAAATGTCAAGCACATAATGTGTTTTTTCATATCTCGATTTGGTATTGTGTACATAGGTTTGGGGGAGGACCAGCTGTCAATCGCCTCTCTCCATGCTCTGTGTGTCAAGCTGAAATGGAACTATTAGAGAGAAGAAGAAAAGAAGAGATGGAGACGTTCATAACTGTAAGTGCAGTATTTGTCAAATCATTGTGTTGGTGCAGATGACTCTGATAACTCTCTTTTTGACTGCTCGATACATATGACATGAATATTTATATAAAATTGACTGGCCTTGAGGGAGATAAAACATATTTCCCAAACTAGACTCATATTGCCTCGAGTCAAAGGCGAGGGCAATATGGGTCTTGTGAGGGCAATATATGTGGTATCTCCCGAAAGTTAAGCCAGTCAATATTGTTATTGTTATCCAAATCAGACATCTAGAACAAATACATAAATCAAGCATGACAATCTCAAAGAACTGAAGAAACTTTGTCAAACCAGCACCGTGCATCCAGTGCTTGACGAAATTTTTGATACACTGCAAACAGTGTGCCTTTGGTGTGATATTACGTCACAATAGAGTGCGCGCAAAGTGCGCATGTTCTTGTACACATAATAGATGCGCAATGAAAATGACAAAATACGGCACAGTGAATATGAGACTTTATTTCCTGCTTTTTTGTCTCGCCTGCGTAGCAAAAAGCGAGACATAGGCGCCGCTTTTCCGGTGACGGCGACGGCGACGGCGGCGTCAACATCAAAAACTTAACCTAAGATTAAGTTTTTGAATTTTTGATATAATTTTTAAAGTATAAGTTCTTAGTCAATGAAACTTTGACTATAGGGTAATCGAGTATCCCCAATCATGTGAGTAGAATTTCAGATCACAAAGTCAAGGTCAAAGGTCATTTCAGGTCAACAGACTTGGACTATGTTGTAGCATCATCATCGAAAACTTAACCTAAGGTTAAGTTTTTGAATTTCTGATATAATTTTGAAAGTGTAAGTTCTTAGTCAATGAAACTTGGACTATAGTGTTATCAAGTCTCCCCAATCATGTGAGTAGAATTTCAGGTCACTAAGTAAAGGTCAAAGGTCATTTAAGGTCAACAAACTTAGACTTTGTTGTGGCATCAACATTAAGATTTTCAAAATGCTTCTTCTTCGTTATTTTTCAACCGATTTTGATTCTGATTGTTTCATATGATAGGGCTAGGAGGGGGATTGAAAATTTCTACACAGAATCGTGAAATTCATTATCTATGCTGATTTATGCAAATTTATTCAAAATCACAAAAAAGGCTTCTTCTCTTTCATTTCTCGACCGATTTTGAATTGGTTTGCTTTATATGGTAGAGCTAACTTGGGTACACTAAACTTCTACACAGAATTTTGAAATTGTTCTCCATTAATTAATTATGGTAATTTATGCAAATTTATTCCAAAAATAACAAAAATTGCTTCTTTTCCCTCATTTCTTGACTGATTTTGATTTGGTTTGCCTTATCTGGTAGAGCTAAATTTGGAACACTAAACTTCTACACAGAATTGTGAGATTTTGCTCCATTGATTATTTATGGTACTTTATGCAAATGAAATGAAATTATGTCCCTTCCAGGGCATCAAATTTTTATTTTTTGACCAGTTCAAAAGTGTACCACATAAAATTTACGATATTTGTTGTTGCGAGATGCGGATGAGCACTACGTCATTGACGTTTTGGTTTATCATATTAAATTGCGTTATGCAGGCGAGACCGCCGAGAGCGTTTCCCTTGTTAACACGTAAAGTCTATAAGCTTTTTCATGAGAGGGTAATATGGTCTTATATTTACTGATTAGCTCTTTAGGATAACAAACAAGTGTCATATGATTTTGTAAAACCACTGCTCAGATGTCTGATACGGGTAATGATTAAACATAGCAGGGATTTTCCTCTTTATCAACTAAAAAAGAATGGTAACTCCCTAATTTTAAAAGTCTTGTTAAAAATAAGCACATACTTTTGAATTTGTTTAGAAGCAATTTAATGCGAATGACCTGCTTATAAACGTAAAGTGCACAGCGGCAGAATACCACAACGTGCTTAGGCCCCTTGCTGCTCCAGTATGGTGTACAATGATATCAGTAAAGAGCATGTGCATGCATAGAGTTCATCCTGTAGCATAGCATATAGGGACTATGTCAATTCTGTTTTAAATGGGGGGGGGGGGGGGGGCATGGTCATTTTTGTCTTATCATCTTTCCTTCATACAGGGACAGCCTCTCCTCCATGTATCACTGTTATTCTGAGCATATCATGGATACAATACTGTGAGAAACACTTTTTTGGGGGGTTAGTGAGTTGCTTTTCTTGCTAATCAGTTTACATTGCACTTGAACAGCTTTATATATATTTACATTTCAACCATTTCTTCCCCTTTCTCCTCTTCCCCTTCTCCAACCCCCTCCTCTCTCTCTCTTTCTCTTCCTCTCTCTCTATATATCCTTCTAACTTCTTCCCCCTTTCTCTCTATCTCTCTCTCCTCCCTTCCCCTTTCCTTTCCCCTCTCCCACCCCCTCCTCTCTCTCTCTCTCTCGCTCTCCCAATATATATATATATATATATTTCCGTTTTACTTCCTCCCACTTTCTCTCTCTCTCTCTCTCACTCTCTCCTCCCTTCCTCTCCCCTTGCTTTCACCTTCAAACTCCAGATGAACGAAGAGTTCCAGCAAGACGAGTCAACTAATTCATCCGTGTACTGCATCAGCCTGGCATGGTTCAAACAATGGGAGGCATTCGTCAAAGCTAAACAAGCTGGTGAGTCATGAAGGTCATTCTGAATGATATCCTCAAGGTCATCCTCAAGGTCATTCACCGGCACATTCACAAAAGGCCTGTCCTCATCAGCTCAAGATTGCCAAATATCCCGCTATTTTAACTATCCCGATCGCAAATTATCCAGTTAATTTACGTCTTCATCAGCCCGAAGTTGCAATTAGCGGGATATTTGGTCGAGATAATCATCCCAAGATATCTTGGGCTAGTTTGCAAAATATCACTACTTTTGTCCGGTGCGATATGGTAACCTGCATTAGGTTTCCTTCATGAACAATAAATCAATTAGTTTAACGCTTTAAAGATTTTCAAAATTTTCAAGAATTAAAACTAACATTGGACTGTCTCTTAAAGAGAAGGTTTAGTTCTGGGAAGAGGTGGAAAATAATTGGTGAGGGTTATCATTGTTATTATGCAAGTGTGGAAGAACATCAGATAAAACATTGTTTCTTTCACAATGCAATCGCATGACCAGAACTCAACTTTATCTTTAAGTTTACATGATTTAATTTGATGTTTACTTTTTAGTTGTCCTGTCTGTTTCTTTACATTATGTCTCTGTATGACCATGGTCTTCATTACCAATCCAATCACTTTTTTTTATCCAGAACCTCCTGGACTGATTGACAACAAACTTATTGCAGTGACAAAAGGTGGCTACACAACACTCAAACAAGGTAGGTCTTTACACATCCCTTAAGCGCCAAAAGGGTAATGATTAAGTTGATGGAAACAATAATAATAATAATAATGATAATGATGATGATGATGATGATGATGATGATGATGATGTTGATAATGATAATTATTAAAATAATATAATAGTAATAATAATAACAACAATAACAACAACAATAATGATAATATGTCTTGTTTACCCAGGGTAGCCTCATCAGTATAAATACTGTCCTCCCTGAGGGACCTGTAATCATATTATTACCCCAGCATTAGCCGAGCTACCATGATGAGGCGCTCAAGCATTCAAGGACTTTCTTCCTGCTGGGAACCTATTTACTATCCGTTAAAGAATACAACTCAATGCCATTATGGCTCAAAGAACTGGAAAGAATGTAGAGTAAATAAACTTTGTGTTTCATTCTAAGGTTAAAAAAAGGTGCCAATAACTGCCTAACGTGTTTTAAGAGTTATGTTTTGTTTCACTTCATATTGATTTATGCAGTGCTGATTTAAGAAATGTAAATTTTTGTCGTTTCTGATCATGTAAAAGTCCTACCATCAGTAGCAACAATGTCATTTACAACTAGTTATTCACCAGCGTCTGACACCAAAAGAGCCCCCAGTTTTTTTACCCCAGACCCCCCCCCCCCCCACAAAAGGGGGCCTTGCGTATAGACCATACCAAATTTCAGTCTGACCAGTCTGTGAAGAAAAAAAGAGTTAGTGTGGAGCTTAGTGTTCATGACGATTTCTTTATTTTGGTGTAAACCGTTTCCTGTGGAATTCCTAGTTTCGTAAACCACTAGAGATCAACCAAGCCTGATAATTTCCTGAATTTTCTGATTTTTTTCCAGATTTTTTTTTCTCCCAATTTTTTTTTTTCTTCTTTTTTTCCCCGATTTTCTTCTTCTTCAATTTGTTTTCTTCTTCCCGATTTCACTCTTTTTTTTCCTTATTTTCCCCTTTATTTTCCTGAATTTTCCCCCTATTTTTCCCAATTTTCCCCAATTTTCTTACTCAAAAGATGCCATTTTTTTTTTCTCGAGGGGGGCTGGTTGACGAAAAAAAAAAAACATATATTTTTTTAAGTGCTCACTATCACCCCTGAGATCAACTCCAATTCAACCTTTTTCCCTCACATGCTAGGAGCTGATTCTGGACAGATCTCTGAGGCCATGTGGGAGTATCTTCATGGAATCTATGATGGTGGACCAGAGGTCGTCCTCCGGCCCAACCCTGCCCCCAGCGTCGAAGGCAGAGGAGAGGAGGGGGCACCTACGGGTAGCAACAGCCCCAGGGAAGAAACGTCCTAGAACATCTTGCTTGAATATCGGGCTTTTGATTTAAAGGCAACGTTTAACAGCGTTAAATGTGAGATGCATGGCCCTACATGTTATCAGTGTCTGTGATATGGTGTAATATTGAAGCCCTAAATAAAATTGTGCTTCATAATTATCATGAAGTGCCTCCAAAAAGTAAAAATCTTTGAATGACTGGTTTTACCATACTCATTTCCCCCAGTAGACTTGTTTTATAAAAACCGTTAGGAAAACGAAAAACGAAATTTTGATTTCCAATCATAAATATCTTGATAATCAGACAGGGGATCAGCTTGTAAAGTCGTGGGATTCCTGACTGACCTAAAGGTTTATAATTATCATTGCAGCATGGGCTAAATCCAGGATTTTGTTTCAGAATCTGAGGCTTTAATGAGCAACATTCGTCTTTATGGTGGGCTGTGGATTGTGACAATTATACAGGTTGAAACAATGTTAGGGAGATTATGAATCAGAAGAGGAGGGGAGGGCACTTCACCAGTAGCAGCAGTACCCCCAGCAAGAAATGCCCTAGGTAATCAAACCAGTCAGAGGAGGTCCCAGCGCCCCCTGAGAAGTAGTATCATAAAATACAATAATGCAGGATCATATGATGTCAAGGAGTATATGATTCTTATCAAGGAGAGGCGAGGGGACACCTTCGGTTGGTACCACCAGCCCATGGGAAGCACTCTTCTAGAGTTTCTGAGAGGAACCTTTAGATTTGGTTGATTGATTGATGATTAATTTAATCTGATCACGGAGAAAGCAACCCGTTTGTTGTTTTATGGTATGTAGAACAAAATTGGTATCAAGGATAAAGTTACAGTATAGACAGTACGATTCTGATTGCACTTTAAGAAAGAGATCCTGAAGTAGAGAAGAAATTCATAAAATTTAAATAAAAGGTTTTTTCAGTTGATGCCTCTTACTGCTTCTATTATAGATCAGGGCCCCTTTTCACAAAACTTGTCATCATTGACAAATGACAATTTTGTTCTCATAAGCTAGTGAAATCCTTGCTTTTGATTGGTTATCAGCAGATTTGTCATTGATTTTTGTCATTTGTCATTGAAAAAAGGCTTTGTGAAAAGGGGCCCTGTACTTGGACTTTGGGGAGTAGGGAGGGGCCTCCCGGCAGGAGCGGCATCCATGTTGGTACCAAGAGTGATTTATTTATTTATTCATTCATTTAATTCCAATAATCATACAGGATGGCGTATTAAGTCTTCAATTTGATTATCGTAGAGAAATTATATTGTATTACAGGTTTTACAGTCCCGTTTGTGTGTCAAAATTTAGCAAGAGGGTACATACAATGAGTGATTTCAAGTTGGGTGTTTAAGGCTGGTGTTAGTGTTTAATAAACACTTACACCAGCCTAAACACCGAAATGGAAATCAGCTGGTGTTAAGGCTTTGACCTCTGAATATGGTCAACTTCCGGTAGCTAGTGTTATCTGCTGAACCGACCTTTGTGGCTGGTGTTAATATTTTACGTACAAATGTCCTATTCACTAACACTAGCCCCTAGGGATTAAGCAAATGTTGATTTCCAGTTCGGTGTTAGTGTTGTACCTGCACACAGTCAACGCACGAACGACCCCAATTTATTGTCTGACGATCAAATAAAAATATGTGAAACAGGTAATTCATATATTCTTTCGTGTAAAATTAGTTATTTTATAAGACCAGAGAAATAGTTGTAAATTTATTCTGTACTTTTCATGATATCTTTAGTTTTGATGTACTATTTTTGAAATCATTGTCGTGAAATCAAGTATGTGGTGACGTCACGGCTGGTGTTAAGCTATCGATTTTGATATCGGTATCGGGCTCTTAATTTCATCAGCAAATTCTCCGCTTGATTTAAGAGCTCTTGACTGCTCTTAACACTAACACTAATACTAACACCAAACTTGAAATCACTCAATGTATTTAGAACATGGAGGTCGGTATTCATGTTGTTAATTATTGTTCTTAATACTGCCAATGTTAAACATTTGTAGACAGATTCTGAGAATACTCCCATGTTGTATATTCTTAATCAGTGATTCAGAATTATATTTCATCTTCAAAACAAGGTAGCAAATATTTCTTATGATGGTAAAACATTTTGTTTACCTAAGCTGGAATATATGAAGTATGCTCATATACTTATCAGAATATTGTTAACACGGTCTCGATTGAAAGAAATTACATATAACACCGAAAACTTGTTTTCTTCTTCATCATGTTCTATACTGCACTTAATTGTATGTTTTTCTAATTTCCTCATGTGATAAAGAAATCCATCAAAAGCATTTTAAGTGCTTTGAAAAAGTGAAAATATGTTAATGTATAAGATACATCTTTTAATATATTCATAAATTATCACAACTAATTCAGGGAATGTATATTATCTGTTTATTAAATTGTTTCAACTGTAGCTAAAATGTTGGAGATCCCATTAGTCTTGCCAAAACCCAACAATATTTTGAAAAGAAAGAAATTACCTTGGAGCCGGGCAATTATCTTTACATTCTACGCGATGGCATTCAATGGCAATGACACACGAGTTGTCTTTATACTTGTTTACATTTTCCTGTGATCTACGTTAGTTTATTCAGTCTACATAGAAAACAATACATGTCATTTTGTAACAATTGTGAATATATCTAATCCATGCGAACACGCCTGTGGTTTGCATCATGTGGATAAGCCTGTCCACTGTATCTTGACTTGAACATTATCAAAATAATGATTTGGGATTGTACCTGTATTTCTGATAATTGAATTAATGCATGCTTTATTTGGTATTAACTTTATAGCAATTTACCGGCCGATGAACATAAGGGTTTGTTCAGATATGAGGTGGCAAAACCGTAGCAGTTTTTGTATGATGACCATAAAGCGTAATTCGCTTCGCGTTTCTGTATTTCTCAAAGAGCTCATTTTTTGTAGGGTTTTTGCAGCATTTTTTTGTTGTGGCGGTTTACCATGCCATATCTGAACAAGTCTTCATATGTTAGAACCTATCAACAGGCATTTGACAAATGTGACAACAATCAATTAGATTATTTCTTTTCTACTCTCCTATTTTGTGAGGATTCTTTCAGTATGACAAGTCCTTGTCTCATTACATACTTTTACATATATTTGTCTTTCTCTGTATCAATACATGCTATATTTTGTAGGCAGCTGTGAAGTATGAAATATGTTATAGGAACATGAATTGAAGTGATATTTGCTATAAATAGCAGTTAAACCTCGCAAAGTGTATCTGTTTTCCTCTAACAATTCTCAATCGTTACCCTTGTAATACAATTGTTTGCCATTTGATTTATATTGCTCTTCTACCTCCCTCCCCCTCCCTCTCTCTTACTTGCTTCTCTTCTATCCATTCCCTTCCTCTTCTCTCAACTTTTTACATCCACTTTTTTATGGCTGTAAATATATATTTTTTCCATTTTAAGTACAACTTAGAAACAGGCTTGCAGCTTGATATATACAGGTACTTTACTCTTATTATTATTTGGGGTTTCGGTCATTTGAGAATTCTACATGTTGTGCCAGATGCCATATCTGTATAGTTTATAAGTTAATTTATTGAGATGCTGATATATGTTTCATCTTTTTATTTGTAATCAGGCTTTTTGTTGCTTGAAGATTTTTACTCTTTGGAAAATGAGATTGTGAGTTTTCTTATTATTTTATGTCAATGAATTATATTTAGTCATTATTCCAAAATAGAATATTGTATACATCAAATTATTTATTGCTGATTTCAATAAAAACTGCAAACACATGCGGTTCTGTAATTTACTATTTATTTTGAATTGAGTTGTTTATAAGGTCGATTGTGTTGTTTCATAAACGTTATTTTATATAATTAATCAACAACATCGTTTATAATACCAGGTATATATAACTCGGCTATCTACAGGTTGAGTACATACACATGGTTAAAAATGCATGGGAATTATTATGTTGGCTTATTACCAATAATTGTATTTCAATAGTTGGAATTCATAATACATATATTATGTATTGATAGGTAGGGCAATTCAATAATGTTAGGTAACCAGGGGGGGGGGGGGAATTTCATGAAGATTTTAAGTCAAACTTAACTTAAGTTGGACTTAAAAATTATGGAGAGCCAATTGTAGCCTTAAAATAAAATAAAATACAAAGCGAAAATTGAAGTATTTAAACTTTTTATAAATTCCACATCAAGAACATGAAATCTCTCATGATAATAGAAAATATGAATGATTTAAATCATCAATTGTATGCCTTTATTTTCATAGATACTTTTACTAACGGCTTTCCATAATTGTTAAGTCCAACTTAGGATCTTTGTGACCCCCCCCCCCCCCTGTCATGGCTTTGAGTATATCGTGGAAATGGTCTATTTGTAGGATAATTTAATGAGTCATCCTTGTTCCTGCTTGAAAGTTGCTTTCAAAATATAACTTTTTTAATGAGGGAGAGAGTTTGAAATGCATCGTTGAAAATGATTTTGATATCTTGGAACAAAATAGTTTAGTAATTACCTGCAACAGTATGCATAATGGGTTGAGGTCCATGATATAGTATTTACTTGACATGATTTTTAAATCTTAAAAGAAAATAATTTCTTATAATTTCTTTAATTGCAAAAGTAGGAAAATTGAGGTCGATATTATCGACTGTTCAGAATAATTCGCGAATATTCTGTTTGACTTTACCTCAAGAGTTAAGCAGCACCAACTGACTCAATTTGCCTGCTCTCTTCGATGTGATGTGCCGGTATGCTGTCGGCAGAGACGCCACTCGATCGCTTGGGCTGCTACAACCACCAAACGCCGACCCTGCTGATCTATTCTAGGTGCTAGCGGTATCAACCACTGATGTCCGTACACAGTTCTTGACTAGGAAATTCAACAAGAATTGCGTTCGGACAATCAACGGAGAACACTCGCATGGAAAATACGATGTTGCTTGTCGGTGGATGGGTGGATGATGATGACTTCAGCATCCCTGCTTCCAGTAGCTAGCTGACCCGAGGATCTCTCCGGCGCAGAGACGATAGATAACTTGATGCACTCTTATTTTTCAGCCCCTATTCTAAGAAGGCAACAAACAACAAGATGCCTGTTCATCCTGGTATTTAAGTTGTTCATGTATTCAATTTTATGCAAATATATTCACATTTACGGATGCTTGCTCCCAAATCCCGGTGGCGAACTATTTGTGGTCATTATCTGTTTGAATGGAATCAACCATGCATATGAGCTTTGGTGCTATATCGGGAAAGGCAAGGGGTTGTCTAGATCAATCTCAGTTTGAGAAATGTGCATTAAATCTGAATACATTTGTACACCAGCGTTTTGTATTTTAAAGAATGAACACTTTTCATGATGCTTCGCTCCATTGTCATTAATAAGCAGCTGTAAAATAACATTTATGATTAGATCGTCCACTTGCACTGCATGCACTCTAAATGTCACGCATAGCCGATTTCTACTATCTATATAGGGCAAATTGGAGTGTCAGAAGTTAGGAGGACTAGCAATGCATTAAAACTAAATTAAATGAAAGTATTGAGATAGTGCCTCTCACATATGGATCAGTGTCTCCATGCGCGCGTCCAAATAGCATTATGGATTATTATCTCGGCTGTATCATGTAGTTGCCCTAATGAAAACGCAGAAGCATTCATGAAATTACTTCCTACCAGCAACCATTAACTCTACCTGGGTCGAGTGCGGAAAATGTAGATTAATGAATTGCCAAATGACATTAGTGGCGTGGTTAGGGTGTACAAGATGTGTTAGACCAACTCCCTGGTTAGACCAGAGAAACGTGGTGCTAATCGAAGGCTCATTAGCTTAAATCGGAGAGCACAATATATAAACCCACATCGTTATCCTTATCAAACCAGTGGGATGTGACCAACCTTCATTAATAGAAGGCATACCCTGGGCGGTGGACAGAGAAAGAGAGAGAGAGAGAGAGAGAGAGAGAGAGGGGGGGGGGGGGGGGAGGGAGACGGGGGCGGACTGATCGGAGACGGACAGGCAACTAAGCAAGAAACAGAGGATTAAAATAAGCAAAAATAATATATTCAACGCTTTGATATCGTAATTATTTCGTAGAAATTAAACTCGGTTCTTTCACTCCGCAAGCTTAAATACGCCTACACCAAAGCATATAATCCCCATCGCAACAATAATTATCGGTTTTAGCGGGCTATATAGCCTCGCTCATAAACAGATTGATGGGTGATTGCTCATGCAAGACCACTTTTTATTTGTTTGTTTCCTTGTTATGAAAAGGAAGATGCACAGCGATAAAAACTACTCGACCAGATTAATGACCGTCTTCTTGACTTAAATGCTGAGGAATTTGATTGAGTGTCTTTGCATCACTCAAAAATGTCCTCTAAGAGTGGCCTGAGTGGGTGGTAGCCCAATGGGAATCAATATGAAATACTCTTCCACCGGCGCCTTTCATGGTTGGTTATATCAATCAAGGTTTTTATATTTATAGGAAATATGTTGACTTGCGTAACAAGCTATACATGAATGAGAAAGAAAACGAATGGGCCTAAATCTGTTCTAAAATCATGCGTTTCATGAGAAATATTTGAATTGTAGATCATCTCGACTAAAAAAAATTGGCAAGAACGAATGAATTATTTTGACTCTCTAGAGTGTATTTTAAAGATTACAATTAAAGATCACGGTTACGATTTCACACTTGTAAAATGACACTTCGTCTCTCGGTTTTGGGTAGAATACATAGCACATGTACAAACTACAAGTAAAAACTTTTAAAGGTGACGTCAAATTGTGATTGGTAGAAACATTGCTGATCATAATTGTATAGGCTTTAAATTAATTCTGACATGAAATGATGTCGGTATTTAAATGATAACGTACATATAGCATAGTGTACCGTTAAATGTTAGTGTAATTATATTTCGCTTTGCTTCAGGTAAAACATAAAGTATACAAACTTAATGTAAGGTAAAGGTGTGAAAGTGAAAAATGAAAAATAACTTAAGTAAAAACTAGAGAATGATCTTCTAGAAAACGTCTGAACTCGAATTTTTAAATGAATTTACCACACGAGAGGGTATGGAATGCATTTGACATCATACTCTTGCATCATGTTTACCCCAAAATTGATTAGCTGTATTATTTTCGTATCTCCAATCTCGCTGGGGATTAGCCCTTGATAGGCCTTGGGCCTTTGCTAGCCCCCCCCCCCCCAAAAAAAAAAGAAATTTTAAAAATCAATTATCATGTTAAGGATGTAGAGTTCTTTATTGCATGTTTATGTTACTAATGTAATATGTCGATGTTTTTTAAAATGCGTTGCACACATTTTTACCCGGATGTTTTATGAGTTATTTGGAAATGAATGAAATAAATGGAATTGAATATAAATATCTAAGTCGTTCAATATACTTTTAGATATTTAAACAAAAACACATAAAAACTAAACGAGAAACTAAAAACTAAACGAGATAATCATACCTGATCATGAATCCACCAGCTATGCATTGCTCCTGTTGATGAGTAACTCCCAGTGTCAGTCGACAAAACGTCTTAACTTTTTTTTTAAATATTAAAAAAAAAAGTGTACGATTAGGTCAAGATGTCGACGGATACACCGGTTCACGCTTATTTATCTCTGGTCACCGAGTATACTGATGGTGTGAACCTCTTACACCCCTCTTGCACCCCTCCTGGACTTCAACCCTACCTCGTGAAGATCCAAAAGTTAAATGAATTACTTCTGATCAACCCCACCCCTTATAAAGCAATCCGCCTCCTTCAAAAAGGGGGATGGGGGGGGGGGTTATAGTTTTGAAGATAAAGAGGGGAAAACAACAACACTAATCCTTTGATACCGCCCTCCTTTAAGCCCAAATCAAAAGTCCCACCTTCCAAAGGGAGGCGTCGGGATCGTTTATTGCCCACCAGTGCATCGCATGTCTTTAGAATCCACCCCATGTTGAATAGACATATAGAAAGAATCAGTGCGGGCCCGCTTGAAAGTCGGTGGCCCCTATTGAAAACATTTGGGGACTAATTAACTCCCCATCAAGTCGGGTAATAAACCTTCACATTAACCCTATCAACGCGGAGCCCTTTTTTGTTTCTTTCTCACCAATCTGCCTCCTTTTTGTCTAAAGATTGAAGGAAAGGGTGGTCCTGCGCCGCCGTGGCTTCTTAAGTACTTCACCTCTTGATCAGCTCTGTTTCTTCTTTCTTTTTTTGTAATTGAGCTTGAACTGCGCTGATTAGATTAAGGATGTTTTGATGGCTTTGGTGCAGTGACAGAAGAGAAACGAAGCCATTCGGCGGACCCGTAATAGGGCCTAGATCTAATCATTAAAAAAAAAAACAAGAACAATTTAATGTCGAACGCATGAAATTGCACATTTCGTATTATTAGCCACAGATGTTGAAATGGACCCGCGAGTGAATTCAGCGAATATCTTGTTTCTTTAATTAATTTTTCTGCCGATGATTAATATTCAAAATAATCTCAAATCTGTTATGATTGTATTATATCAACAAAAAATATAGATGTATTTATTGTTAGTATTATTATTATTATTAGTTGACATTAAGGCTGTCGCGAATCGTTATTTTCACTTGCTTGTGCTCATGCGCATATGTATAGGCTCTAATAATATAATGGCAAGAGTTAAGAATTTCCGCCATCACCACTGATGATTAATGTTTTGTTTTTAATTTTTTTTTAAATTAACGCAAATTTAATGGGAATGCATAATTATTTTGTTGAAAGGGCCAAAATCTGGATCCCCCTATTCAATGTTTACTCCACGTAAAGAGCAAAGACAAAAGGAATATTAATTTATTTATTATGACGAAAACGATAAATATAATAATTATGTGGAATTATTGAGCATATCATGTAAATACAATTTTACTTGCAGAGAGCATGCGACATGGACTTCGTAATAGGTCAATGATTAAAGCAAAGACAAAATAAAGTAAAGAGAATCATAAAAAAAACAGACAAATTAAAAGTAATTAACTCTTCTAAAAAAATACATGATTGTTTTTTTTCCTTCATTTTCTGACGAAGATAATTGAAGGATTTATTTGACGCATAATGCTTTGTAAGAACTGTCATCTTGTATCTCTCATAAACACGTTGCCGCGGTAGGTGAATGAGCTTATAGTCTTCAAGCACAGACCAATATTTAATCATAACGTATTATTGACCACAATCTGCTCCATCTGCCTTATAGCCTTTACTTAGGCCATCTACTTAATTAATGTTCTTGAATAAATATTTTGTAACCAATTTAAACTTGGAATGAACAACAAAAGTTTTTGATTTTGTTTGTATTACGTCAAATTACAGTCTGATATTCCAGACTAGGTCGAGTGCAAAATCTCCGCGCAAAATGGTGTTCGGCGCCACGTAATTCCCATACAATATGTACAGTCGTGTATTATAGACGAGGTTTCGGCGATGTAGCCCCTGCCCCAGATAGATTTTAGGGCGTGGCACTACTACTTACTTTGGATTTCAAAGTCTACAAATACTTTATGGCTTTTATTTCAAGTACTTTCATGGGCTGTTTTTAAGTGATCTGTTTTGAAAATAGTTTCGATTAGATTAAGAAAGGGGGTTAGTCTCTCCAATAACAGACCATGAGGGAATTTGGGCTTAGCAGTCTGTGACTCTGTGTTGGGTAAATCTTAATACATTTTCAAAGTCGGAAGAGCAACCGAGTGCCCACAACAGAGTTTAAAGATGATCATTTTATAGTGTAGACTATATAGGATAACATTATGGCCAACCGTCACGCATAGTCATAACCCTGAGACACAAAGTAAAAACAAATGTAATGATATATCTATAGCATTGGTGTCATCATTTAACAGTACAGTCGAACCTGTATTAGTGGCCACCTCTCTCCAAAGGCCACCTGTC